GTATATTTTCACAACAAAGATACGGTAGACACATTTGGGTCAATAATTGCACAAGATTAGCTTCTCTTGCTACTTGTTCGAAAAATCCACGAATTAAACTTTGAGTAATATGACCTTTTATAACATGATGGATAGGAAAAAATATTTTATCAAAATCTTTTGAATTTACTATAAGTGAATAATCACAAAGTTTTAATAATTGGTATGTTTCACTCAGGCTTGAAGAGCATAAATCAAAGAGCGATAAACTACTATTAATCATTGTATTTTTGGCTTCAGCAAAGCCGCCTTTAACTTTCTGTTCATCTATAGAGTAGCCTTGAGAGGAATCAAACATCTGCAATTTATCTTGAAGATAATTGCGTATTGCTGGATCCAAGTACATTTGTCCTATTCTTATGGTATCTAAATGGTCTTTAATAGATTCATATACGTCGTCTTCCTCTATCATGTCTCGTACTTCTTCATTCCCACGAATGAATTGATCAATTTTGCCTATATAGCCTGATAAAAAAAAAATTATTAATCATATATTTCTTGTCATTCAAATAGTTTTAAAAAAGATGAGTTTTTTTACCTAGTTCTATTTCATCTGATAAAATGCTGATTGATTCAATTTCATCAAACCCATTCAAAAATTTCATGACAGCCAGCTTTTGATAATTACTCATAAAAAATCCTTTTCTCTTTAAAAGTGCTATGATAGCTAGAAGATTTTGAGTCATTTCCAAGTTTCGTAAGGTTTTGCTACCAGGGCCTAATAAACCTCCTTGGAATTTCACAGCGTCTATGCAGGCACCATGTTCCAATAGAATCTCAACTACGTCATAGTTGCAATACGAAATAGCCACATCAAGTGGAGAATTTCCATCGTGATCTTGAATGTTGACATCTGCTCCACGTTGTAATAGCATTTTCACTACCTCAATAACAGTAGGATCACTTTTTCTGAAATACATTTCTTCTACATTAACCATGCCTTCTCCATCGATTTTCCAACAAGGAAGCAAGTGCAATACTGATTTGCCTTTCTTGTTTACATGTGCTAAATCAACATTATAATTCAAAAGCATTTCTAATGCTACTTGTTGTGCTGGACACATACCATAAGCTTTATCATAAAATAGATTCAATAGAGGACTGTTACCATCTTCATCTTGTGTATTGACATCAGAGTTATACTGAAGTAACACTTGAATAGTCGACAACCAATAACTGTGATTACGAATTGGTAATTCCAACGACATTTTTAAGCAAAAAAGATTCAAAGGTGTGAAATCTTGCCATATTTTGCCATTAAGATCTGCACCATTGCTTAACAACATAATAACTGCATCAATGTTAAACGAGTGAGTCACAGAATGTAGTGGTGTGGAATCATCAGCGCTCAAGTGATTCACGTCAACGCCTTGATCTATAAACCATTGCATCATATCAACATTGCCACATAGGCAGGCCATATCAAAATGTGATAATCCTTTTTTATTGGTATAATTCACATGATCGTATATGTTGAAAAGTAAACCCACAACTTCTGGACGATCTTCTTCGGTCCTATAATAACCCTCGCTCGCAATGTGAATTGCCGTTCCAGTTGACTCGTCAAGACGGCCGACTTTTATGTCAGCTCGAACAAAATATCTCACGATTTTGAAATATCTCTTTTTGACAGCGTGTATGAGTATCCAATTGAGATCCATGGAATTCATATCCACCAAATCTTCATCGAAAAGCGAAACGGAAAGATCGTCGACGTTGTCCACGCTGTCGCACTCTCGCTTCATGTTTTCGAAGAGCCTCTCCTTTGCACTTGGGGCATTCATTGTATCTATTTTATGTTATCACACAAGCAGATGCACTTTTCAATTCGATGAGAATGTGGATTTCACACTTAACAATGGGCAATTTTCACTTTGCTGTGGAATCACTGGTCACGACTTGTCGACGTTTGTTTTTGTTTCTTTGCGGCTATGCAGCTCACTGGCGATTGACGGTTGTATTGTAATTAGCAAGGCTTTCCCGGCCGCCGCTCGCTGTTTGCTTAGAACTACACGTACTTCCGTATGTGGCGCCACAGGGAAGATCTTGTAAATTCCGAACTATTATGAGTTTAATATGAAATTCAATTTATGACTGCGGTTTGAACCTAAGTTAATTCTATTTGTCTATGTATCTAAATTTTTCTGCACGATGTACTTGTTAGTTGTTAGCACAAGAAACTGGACTTTATTATTGATGAAGGATGATGATGAACTCAACTATAAATCTTTATACCTAGTGTCTTTCCGCGTGTGGCGCCTCAGAGAGGATCTTGTGAGTCCCCCTATTATGACTCATATGAGCGTAAAATCAAATTTACTAGATGGGAATTTCCAAACATCAAATGATTATTATACTCTAGTATTCTTCATTTATGCCAATGATGTCACGTACCTTGAAATCAGTTTGGTTGAATCATTCGTTATCGAAAGGAACATCAAAAAGTTATTTCAGAATTGTATACATATAATTAAAAAGTTTTGATTTTTTTATTCGTGTCGAAGCGCGACGAAAGCATCAATGAAGATTTAAAAAGAATTTTTTTAGGTCAAGAATATAAGGAAAAGTATTTATTTTGAATAACAAATTTTCAAGATTCTTTTTAAAATTCGTGCTTTTTTTAAAAAAAGAAAGCCAAATTCATCAAATAAAAAAAAACAAATTATTTATTGTCGATAAAGTAGAAATCTCAGACAAATCCCCGTCTTTTCCCCTTCTTTTCGCCTCGAATGCCACACGTATAAGTGAATGTATATGTAGACGTTTTTTTACATATATAAGTGAAGGGCCCCGTGGGTAAGTGGTTATGACGCTCGAGCCTCTATATACAATTTTCTGACCTGAGACATATAGAGGTTCAAGGTTCAAATCTTATACGGGGCCCGGTGGTGTTCAACGTTGGATCATCGTAGAAACGTAGTTGGATCTTCACAAGAAAATCAAGGTCAATGAAAGAAGATGAACAAATGATAAAAAAAAATGAAAAAAAAAATAAAATGAAATAAATGTAATAAAATAAAAAAAAAATTTTGTTTATAAATAATTGAAAAGTTTTTATTTTTTTATCGTTTCAAAAAATTTTTTTTTCAAAAATTTCAAATGATCGTAGATGTTGAAAAGTAAATCCAAAACTTCTTGTCGATCTTGTTCGGTCATGTAGCCCTCGCGGGCAATGTGAATTGCTGTTTGAGTTGACTCGTCGAGGCGGCCGATTTTGATTCCAGCTCGAACAAAATATCTCACAATTTTGAAACATCTTTTTTGGATAGCGCACATTAGTATCCAGTTGACATCCACGGGACTGGTGTGAGACAAATCTTTATTGAAATGCGAAATAGAAATATCAGCGACGTCGTCCACGCTGTTGCACTTTCTTTCCATTTTTTCGAAGAGTTCCAATTTATTAATTTTAACACTCATTGTGCTATCTAAGATTGTACACACAGATACACTTGTATGTATTATAATTAAGTATTAGATTGAAATCCGAATCGTCAATCGGCAGTTTTTACTTCGCTGCAGAATGACAACTGCAGTTTCTTAGATTTCTATCTGTACTGTAGATTGTCGATTGTCGATCGAAACTGCAAATGCTAGGCATACTCACTTCACAACTCAACTATAGAGAAGGCAGTCCACTTTTGTATGTGGCACCACGAAAACGATATTGTAAATCATTAAATAAACGAACGAGCGTCATGCCGTCATATAATAATATTGTGAGTTTTGACATATGGAAAATGTTTGAAGTTCGCTGCTACTGGAAGTAGCTAAACTCTAAAACTGGCCGGCAGACGGCAGTCGAGATTCGCGCTGCGCTGCCGTTACATAACCATGAACAGGAATTCGTTTTTCAAATTTTTCAAATAAGTTAGTCGAATCAAGTAGATAGAAATTTTCAAAATGAAGCAATGAGTAAATAATTTCAACACAAAATAAATGACATTAAATTTATTGATGTTTTTCTTCAATGAAAAAATTATAATTATGCTTATATAAAATAGCATTATTCACGGAAAATATGCAAGTACTTTAGATCTTGAATGGGAAAAATCCAAAGTTTTAAATAAAACACTATTGTTCCATTTTGTTGAATCAATACCTTTCATTATATGCCACGTAATATGAATAAAATATGGCACTTGACAAAATTATTGCAGATAGATCGAGTAGAAATAAATATGGGAAGGTTCAGCGCGCCACAAGTTTTGCATATTTTGACTAGTCAATCTATACGTGGGTGTGCATGCGTTTTTTTAAATTGAAATGTCAATGATCTATTATGTTAAACTAAATAATATCCTAAGAATCTTTCATTTTACTTTCATCAAATTCAATGGAGAAATTGACAAAAAGTGCTTTTTATTTTTTGAGTTTGTATGAATGAGTATATGTCTTTACTTATAACGCATGTGCAGCCGACATTACTTTGGTTCTAGTAGAAAAAATTTTTGATAGCCAGTTTAAAATTTTATTAGTTATAGTTTTAATGGCATAAAGAACATGAAAATTTATGGATTGAAATTTTATTTTATTTTATTTTTTTATAATTCAAGACCAATAAGAATTTTATTTTTTAATTTGCATAAAAAATTAAGTAATAATTTTCTGATATGAAAAAAATACTTTCTATTTACATCGGAAATCAGTGATCAAAAATACAAACATGTTTCATACAAACAAAAATAATAATAACATTTTTTTAAAGTTATAGAATATTTATTATGGTTCATGCAGTTGGAACATATTTTTGTGGACTGTAGAGTTTTAGTAAGCTCCTCTAAATACACTCATTGAAATGAACATTTGATTCAATAAATAACTTTAATATTGAAGATAATATCACTTTTTTTTTGATAAAATATATTATTTCTACGAATAGAAAAATCAAAGTCATTTGATACACAATTTTTTTCTTTTTACAATAAAATGTTGTTTTCTATACTTTCAGTGTTTTTCATTATTATTTATTATCCTTTAACTGTACACACTACTAACTTTTATAACACTATTTTATCAAGAAATGTTGAAGAAAAAATACATAGCATTGAATTTGCATCAGATGTTTATCATTACAAAAATATTACGTTCTTCAACAATGATTATGATTACGAAACAGATATTTATCGACAGAAAAATGTGCAAAAAAAGAATATTATTCTCAATTCATCAAACAATATGAAGCCAAAAACAGAAAATTTAGCTGAATACAACATTTTTTCAATAGAATTCCACAGAGTTGAAACTCCATTTATTATTGGTATTTGGATTTTTTCAGCAAGTGTAGCAAAAATTGGTAATATTACTGCAAGATTTTACTATAGCAATTTTTTTTATTCATAATCATTTATAATTATTGCTGGTCTTATTTGACAGAAAGTTATAATTGGTAGTATCTTTTAATTGAAAGAAGCTATGTGAAAATCAATAGTGCCATTGAATCCTATCAATAAATATAAATTTTCTTTTATAAAATTTGGAATAAGATTTTTGCAGGTGAATATTAACATCATGCTTGAAGAAATGAGATGATATTCTCGACTAACTTATATATCTCAATCGAGAATTCAAAATAAATCTCCATTAGAATCATAATAGAGATCTTTAAAAAAAATTTCAGATAGAAACTCTAATGAATTGAAAAAAAATGTTTCTTCAAATGCGTATTGTTCAAAGTAAATTAATTTTTTCCCCCGAGTATATTGCATTTTAACAGTGAAATACACATTTTAATTTAAATAAAATAAAGTAGTAAATTATTATTTTTTAATTTTTTGGGTACATCATTAAGTTTTGGCTTTTGCTTTTTTCCAAAAAATAATTTTTTTACTTTTAACCAAATAAACACATGACTAAATGACTCAAGAAAATTTTATTTTCGTTTTATTTCATTTATTCGTGTGAAATCTCAGAAAAGATTTCAGTGCAAGATCTCAATGGAGATTTCGATTGAGTACTCGATTACAAGCAGGACGGTGAAATAATATTGCGTTGACCGTATAATTTGATTTCCTGTTTAAAAAAGTAAGGGGAGAAATAAGATGACTTATCATCCCAAAAGACATCAAGTGATTTTTAAACAGATTTTCTGTAAAAGAAGCGACTTTTTATGTCAAATTAAAACGATTCATGCAATATGACTTTTAGATAATATACATGCTAGCTAAATTATTACATAATATTTTTAAAGTTTAAAAGTTCAATTCATTTTCTCATTTCTATATCATTTTAAATGATATTTTGACTGTTTGTCACGATCTAGAAAAGTTTAATAGGACTAAATGTTACGTATTTAAATGTTTTGAGTTCATATAATTATTACATGATTAATTTTCAGGTTTTCATATGACTCCAAGATTAAGCAAAATATTTCCCGAGTCCTGTTTACTCATAGTTGTTGGAGTAATCGTGGGACTGATATTATTCAAAACAAATAACTTGCACATGTCGCCTATGACTCCAGATACGTTTTTCTTGTACATGCTTCCACCGATCATATTAGACGCTGGTTACTTTATGCCAAATCGACTATTTTTTGATCACCTTGGAACCATTTTATTATTTGCAGTGGTTGGAACCATTTTTAATACCATGTCTATAGGTAAGTGGAATATGCTATTAATTTTTTGGTACTTCGTAGAAGCAATTAGAACTTACAAAGAGAGCTTTTCAGGTTTGGGTCATGGATTTGCTCCAAAAATTTTTTGCGGTCTCCTGGTACCCAATACTGAAGCTCCCTGTGCTTAGTTTAATCCAATGAGCCTTGGGACCCATTTTGTAGAGGATTTTCCACATTATAAAAAATTTTTGTTATTTCCTATATCGAAATAGAAGTACTTAAATGAAAAAATGGGACGATCAAAATTTTTAAAAATTTTCAAAGAATCTGCTTGAATTTTTTCAGAATTTTTGGGACCATGTATCACTTAATTTAAGAGGCCCACATTTGACGCTTTTTTTAGTAGATTTTAGGACTTCGTAAAGGGAGTGGTAGATAGTCCCAAAAATTCTGAAAAAATTCAAGCAGATTCTTTGAAAAATTTTAAAACTTTTGATCGTCCTATTTTTTCGTTTAAGTACTTCTATTTCGATATAGAAAATAACAAAGATTTTTGTATAATGTGGAAAATCCTTTACAAAATGGGCCCTAAGGCCCATTGGATAAAACTAAGGACACGGAGCTTCAGTATTGGGTACCACGAGACCGCAAAAAAATTTTGAAGCAAATCCATGACCCAAACCTGAAAAGCTCTCCTTGTTAGTCAAGAATCCAAGATGCAAAGAGAGCACACATACATACGAACATTTGTTAAGAATTCAATCTAGTCTACGAAGATCTCCTACTTAAAACTGCAGTATATGGGTTTACTGATGTAATAATCACCCCTTTTTTCAAATCTAATCATTTTAAGTTTTTTGAAAATGTTTCATTACTAATCCAATCAATGATTTTTTTCGTCGTATTTTGAAAAAAAGAAAATTTCTTCGCTCCATGATCTTAACTGAAAGAGATAGTCTTCGTGAGCATCAGCGAAAAATGTAAACTAAATGTACTACGATGCTTGGTTGAAAATCTCATTTCCTCGCCTATCACAGAGCTTTCTGTATGAGGAAGCAATATCAATTACATAAAATTTTTTGAAAAATAAATAAACTTAATTACAATACACGAAGTTATACATTCAAATGAAATTTATATTTTTTTATAATTAGGTCTGACATTGTGGATCTTTGGAAAAACAGGCTTGTTTCAATGTGAAACGCCAATTTTGGACATGTTACTATTCGCAGCTTTGATAAGTGCCGTTGATCCGGTAGCTGTTTTGGCTGTATTTGAAGAAATTCATGTGAATGAAATTCTATACATTGTTGTATTTGGAGAAAGTCTATTAAATGATGCTGTTACAGTAGTAAGCTCCCATTTGATTTTAAAATAATTTATTTGTCAATATATTTATTTTTTTTTATTAATAAAGTAAATAGCGACAGGCCGTCAACTTTACGCCGTAAAGTATTACTTATGGTCTTTGAATCAAAAATATCTAGAATGAATCTTGTGTAAATATGCTTTTCTAAAAGCACACCTATACCCGTTTCATAAATCGAGGAGCGTACTTTGCGCTCCCTCGAGTAAATATGGCAGAGAAGCTGCGGCGTACGCTTGCTTACATGAATCGCGCATCAACCGGGTTTTTCACGACCCACAAAAATTTTTTTTTCAATTAAACTTTCAGGAGATATCTTCAATAACAACTAATTTTCCAACGGTTCTTACTCAATGTTTTATTTAAAAAATATATATAAAAGAAAAAAATTATAATTATATTTTCGAACTGCATGAAAATTTGTTTCATGCAAATGACGAATGATGTTTTCGCAGGTGTTGTATCATATGTTTGAATCATACAGTGAAATGGGGTCTCAACGTATTGCTTATTCGGATATATTATCAGGAGTTTTATCCTTTATTGTTGTTGCTATTGGAGGAGCAGTGATAGGAATAATGTGGGGCTTTACAACAAGCTTCGTAACAAGATTTACTTATCAAGTACGAGTTATTGAGCCAAGTTTCATTTTTGTTATGGCGTATCTTGCTTATTTAACAGCCGAAGTATTTCATATGTCAGGGATTTTAGCGTATGTATTCTAAAACTAGATATTATTTTTTTCGAGTCCATGTGTCAAATCTATTTTTTCTAATTTTTTAGTATAACATTTTGCGGAATTACTATGAAAAATTACGTGGAAGCCAACATTTCATTTAAATCTCATACGACAGTAAAATATACTATGAAGATGTTATCAAGTAGTTCTGAAACCATAATTTTCATGTTTTTGGGAGTTGCAACGGTAAATAACAATCACAACTGGAATACTCGATTTATTCTTATGACTGTATTTTTATGCTCTATCTACCGAATAATTGGTAAGCACAAACGCAGACAACAAAGACATTTGAACAAATTTTTATCGTTACATTTTTTAACATCTTACTACAGTGTTAATGTGAATCTAATTTGTATTCATTGCAATATGCAGGAGTCATTGTATTAACGGGAATCGCCAATCAATTTCGTTTACACAAACTAAATAAGGTGGACAAATTCGTCATGTCTTACGGAGGTTTACGAGGAGCGGTCGCATTTGCACTGGTTCTTTTGATAGATCCAAATCATGTACCCTTACAACCAATGTTTGTTACAACAACGATAACTGTGATTTATTTTACAGTTTTCATTCAGGTATAATATTCATTTACTATTCTTTATGTAAATAGAACTGAATTCCTGTCCCAGCTCAATCGTGATAGTTGAGCTTGAAGTAAAAAATTGTAAAAATTTCCACGCTCATGGCTAAAATCATTTTTTACAGGGAATAACGATAAAGCCATTAGTCAAAATACTCAATGTCAAAAGAGCTGAAAAAAGGAAACCAACGATGAATGAAAGAATTCACGAAAGGGTTTGTAATTTTTGTCTTTATTTTTCCTATTGTAAGAACACCCGCATTCTATAACAAGTAAATTTCTATTCTAAACCTTTTGATTGACGTAAGAAGTTCATTCGCCTGCTTTTTAGTCCTTTCTTTCCTTTAATACTTTATTCAAGTGACTTCATGTTTTAATATTTACATTGTTAATAATTTAACATAAGCTTTTTAAATTTAAAAATTACTTATCATGTTTTATAGATAATTGACCATATCATGGCAGGAATTGAAGATATATTGGGAAAGCATGGAAACTATCATGTTCGGGACAAGTAAGATTTATTCTTCGTTTACAATTGAATATTTTAATTTTTATAAATTATAGTTTTTGGTTCAGATCCGTGGTTTCATTTCTCTTATTATCAATTGTTTCCATTTTAGAAAAAATAACAAAATTAAAAATATTCTGTTTGAATCTTTTTTGAGCAACATACTCGACGTAGTGCTTCTTGTCACTCGTATCACAGCCGAGCTCTATCTCATGCATATTAAAAAATTCAGTAATTATATTAATCCTCAATTAAAATCTTAATTGGAATTTGATTTAGGTCTCGATTGATATCTTGGACCAAAAGCCTTCGTAAAAATTCATTTGAATAACTTAAATGAAACGAAAACCAATTTTTCATAGGTGCTTCAGTAATGTGTCCAAAGCGCGGTTTAGACACCTTACGCCCCCAAAGCGTCGCTTTTAACGAAAACAGCCACTCCCAAAATGACAACAAAAACTATCACTTCTAACACTTTTATAATAGTATATTATGCCGTGGTAAGAATGGGCTACTTGAGTCATAAGTATCATATGCTTTTTTATAGCACTGTGCTAAATTCACGTTTAGGCCCCCTTTGGCGAGATATAAGGTGCTCATAATAGCGTCGCGGTGTGAGGTTAGCGCACGAGCGTAGCGAGTGTGATATGCGCGCCGCGGTGCAATAATGAGCAGCTTAAGTCACGGCAAAGCGTGCCTTATACGTGAACTTTAGCCACGCAGTGCTATAAAATTTTATAATTTTTTCTTGCCATAATTATGACGATAATCTTAGAGAAAAAAAAAAAACTTTCAGCTTTTTCATGACATTTATCGTTAAGAAATGATATTTTTATACCAGCGGCCCGAATGTGACTACTTCACTGCCGCGGCACAAAGCGGTAAGAGCGATTTTCGGGACACTGTGTATGAAAAATAGTATACAGGCATATGCCGCGAAAAAAGAAAGACCCAGAGCGAGTGTGAATCGACCAATTACACATACTCTGGGACTTTTCTGTTTTTCGCGGCCTAGGGCAGTAATATACTGTTCCTGTATACGCGTTTTACCCTTATACGTGGATTGCTAAATACGACGATGTATCGTTATACTCGGTTAAGTTCACCTTCTACGCGGTTCCAGACGGTCGAAAAAAATTTTTTCCTAACCTTGTATGGCTCCGAAAACTCGAAAAAATTCAAAAAGTCTAGGTAAAAAAGAAAACTTACGAATTTAACTGAAAAATTGAAAATTCTAAATTTACTCAGAGGAAGAGTAAATTTTTATATTAAGTTGATGCTGAAGCCCCGATATCGACCGATCGAGCATTATAAGTATAAATTCAAATGACTTTTATACTGTGGAACCCTCAGTATTGATGCTGTGAACAACTGCACCAAATTTCATCCCATTTCATTCAACAGTTTTTCCGGAAAATGGGATCGAAATTTTTAATTTAGGTTTTCAGACTAAAAAATTTCGAAAATCGGTCTAGTAAAAAAGTTATTTAAATTTACACTTTTAATGCTCGGTCGGTCAAAATCGGGGCTTCGGCATCACCTGAATATAAATAAAAAAAACACTATTAGCGTAACCATCCGCTTTTACCCTCGTTATACGCGGGTTTCGCTATACGCGGCACTTTTTCGGAACGTAACCCCCGCGTATAACAAGGGATCCCTGTACTTTATTTTTGCAAGTAATAATTTGAATTGTTTCATTCTGGCACATCTCACTTATTTTACAAAACTATTTACAGATTCAAACATTTTGACAATTCTTATATAAGACCATACATAGTCCGTAATTATTGTGGTGCTGAACCGAAAATACTTGAAACATATTCTAAATTGACTATAAGAGATGCTATGGATTTGATAAGAAGAAACGCTTCTAACGCAGCATTTTCAAATGGAATAGATGAAGTCAATTTTCATCGTTCTTCAAGTAACTACGAAAAGCTAAACGCAAGGTTAATATATTATAATTTTATATAATTTTACTTTTTCAATTAAACAAACAACATTTTTAAGATTTTCGCCTGAAATGTACATTATCTGTGAATAATACATTCCAATTATTCAAACAATCTTTCGAATTATCCAATTCGTCTTAAAAAAATTTGATTTGGGTCTAGCTTTGACATTTGAAACTTCATCGATTGAGACATTCGGTTAGGGCACGTGAATTATTATCAAAATCTATTGAAAAAGAATCTAAGAAGACTTGAATATCATTGCAATTCAGATTTCTTCTGTAAAATTTCATGTGACTTTTTCAATAAGGAGTGATCTACTTAGTAGTTTGAATGAGTACATCGAGAGAAAAATTAGGCGTCAACGCCGAAACGTAGCGATTTGATGCGTGAATGATCGAGGAGTCGAACAACTATTGCTGGCTCTCTAACTACGGTGGCCACTGCAAAGTGAGTTAACGGCCAATCGAATAACGGTTGATTGGTTGACTGTCAGCAAAAACTGCCGGACGCTCGAGCGTTTTTTCGATCGCAAAATATTGCGCGTGCATAACTATTGTTGAAAAAGCTTTGTTTCTTAAGTCTCTCGTTCGATTCTCCGCCCATCGAAGCGCCAGAATAACCTCCGATAATCGCTGAGTACCGTTCCAGCGCTACTCAGCGAGGTAGAATAATTTTTTTATCACAGTACGTGGGAAGCGATACTTTCCGCACGGCGGAGCATGCCTATTAATTAACACTATAAATTATAGTTGATTCGGAAGAAGATTTATAAGCTGAAATTAGTTTGTTAATAGCTACAAGGAATTAATTTTTTAAACTGATTTTTAAACATAGTTATTTAAGTTTTTAATATGGTCATAATTAATAACGAAAACTAATTCTAAAAACTTGGAGAAACATAAAATTATAATTGAAATATTATTGAAAAATTATAATGAAAATATTATATTGTTTTTCTAAAATCAGCGGCCTAGATACCCAATCAGGTTGGAATATTGACTTTCAAGAACTTGATTATAATCCATCTAAAAAAGATATGGGTGAAGCGAAAATCCATCATTTATTGACTGAAGAATTGTGCAAGCCGCACAAAAGGGTAAGCTTGAGTCATCTTAAAATTGGCAAAGCTATAACTTTACTTCATATTACAGCATAGACGGCTAAGCTATAGTAGGCACGCTGTTGATGATAAAGATTTAAACACTCAAGTTAATTTTAAAATTCATATGAATATGAGAAGAATACTTGGAGAACATAAGCACCGATCAAGGCGAAGTAAAAAATCAAGTAAAGTGAGTATATTTGATCGTTTAAAATATTTCTGTACACTTTGACAATGAATTTTTATGAAGTTTGTGAATTCAAACCTAAAGAAGTTTTTATATGTAAAATCGCATCCATTTTCAGGAAATGAAACCAAACCGAGTGAGTTTTTCTAAATCATTGGGGACTGATTTGAGTAAAAGTAAGTTTAAAATATTAATTAAGAATTATTAACAAATGTCAATAGACTGCAAAAAACACCACGTATCATTATTTTTTTGAAATATTCTGCTTATCATTTGTATAATATGTGACTCATTTTAATTTTCTGTATTTATAAACAGAGAGAAACAAACCCAAATGAATCCACAATAAGATTTCTACTTTAAAAAAAAATTTTTTTAATATTTCTATCGCTATTACGAATGAATATTTTTGCAGGTGAAACAATGAAAGAAGTTACACCAACTGCAACAGAATCTGTATTACCATGGAAACGAGAAGATACTATTTACTTCAATAAACCGTTGAAAGTCAATGAATTTCCTTTATGGTGTTCAGCAAAAGATTATTTAGAAAACGATTTACTGAAAATATTTTTCTTTCATAATGCAGGATAATACAGTCAGACCAAAGAATTTGATTATGAAAAGTGACAATTAAGTTTAAATCTGATTTTTTGTCACATTCGTGGCATTATTGTTATATACAAAATAGCATCAGCAAAAAGGCCTCGAAATTTGTTTTTATGATGAATGATTTAATAAAATTACAAATAAAGCATTGAATATTATTTTGTTATAAATTTTGCAAGATTATTTTTTTAATGATTAAGGTTCGAACCTACTGATTTTTCATCAACTTTTGGAGTCCGCGATCTCGTACACTATAGTTTTACTCCATAGTTGCATGCAATGGATAGCTTAGTAAAATGTAAACACAAAGTAAAAAAATTAACCGTGTAAACTAAAATAATAAGTTTGAAACATGAAAAACGTTGAGCTTGATGATATTGAATTAAGGCGTTTTGCGATTTGTATATAGTTACAAATTTATATAGGTAAGCATGCAATGCATTGACTCGATCAAAATTTTTAAGTAACAATCTACACTGACTGCAAAATTGTATTGTTCTGGAAACTCGTTGAAATATTTTCAGGTACACAGGTATACTGTAAAATCTCCCTTTAATGGACATATTCCTGGAAAGCGGACAAATTTTACGTCGTGCGGATCATCAGTGTGTGATGGATTACATTTGGCTTACTGTATGACATTGTCTTTCTATTGGGTTCTCGGATGTCACTCCTAATACTGCTGAAACTGGTTTATCCACGAGTCATTATGCATGCGTCGCTATTTCCTTAATTCTGATAAAGAAAAGAAAATTCTCAAAATTAAATATATTGTTATTTGCACGATAAAGGTAATTCATTGTCAGGGCGGCACACTAGTATGTTATGAATTTTATTTGGCTAAATGTACGACATATTCTTTTCATTGCTTTCTCGGAATTCACTCCGGATTTTGTTCGAGCTAAACGTGAGTTTAGCACAAAGCTGTAGAAAAGTATACGATACTTATGACTTAAGTAGCACATTCTTAAGATAGCACTAGCGACCTCACTTCCTTGATGCTGACCGTGCTGTGCAATAATGGCCTGCTTAAGTCACACGTATCATACTACACACTTTCACTTTACTGTTGACATAGGGCAGCAAAATTTCTTTTTTCCATAATAAAAAAACCACGACTCGAATCGGTCAATGACCAACCGTACTAGAACGACGCGCCGAGTGACCGGACTGAAATTGCCGTTCGAGGGGTAGGACTGAATGCTCGCGAAAAGATAAAGTCGAGAGCGACCCACTTGCTCGCGTCAGCCAGGAAAAGACTTTCTCCCATAAGGCCACGTGTTATCGATAAGACAGCTCGGAGTATCCCGGCAAGAGGCTGTGGTATCTATAGGGAACTTGGGCACAAGTGGTGTTTGCTTACACTCATCGAGAGATAGTCCTCCTGGATAGTCGCTGAGATGGTGTCTGGGACGTATTGTAAGGAAATTTAGAACTGAACATCATTTTTTTATATTCAAAACCAGTTGACGATTTTCGTGGAGACGTCACATGTTGCAAGTACGAGAAGAGGTTTGGGCAATTTGGGACTCGTCTTGAGCTATAAATGATTTTACATAAGAGTCGCAGAGATTCCGCATGTAACAATTGTGAGAAGCCGTTTGGATCACGAAAGTCGTTCCAAATGTCTTCTTTCACTTGTCACATGCGTAATCTTTGGGACTTTTATGTACTGTTATTTGTAGTTCAGGTCGTGTCCCATTTTGTCCAAATTTCTTCTCGAACTTGGAGCAGGTGATTTCTTTGCGAGCATCGTTTACTGGTTTTTGATATAAAAAGAAACGATGATCAGTTCTAAATTTCCTTTCAATTCGTGCCAGACCTTATCTCATCGGCTATTCTGAAGGGCTGTTTCTTGATGATTACGAGCAAACGCCACTTGTGCCCAATTTCCTTTAAGGGGTTTTTCGCTATATACTTCTGTTTGTCAAGCAGCGGCACTACCATTACGATCATGAGCCTAGTAAATGATAACTTTTTGTTATATTTACTACATTTCTATGTTAGCCAAAAGGCTGAGAAAACAAAAACCCATGCAGACATTTGTGCTTTATTATTTAAAATTGGTTTCGAAGTAATTACATAATTTTAATTAATTCAAGTCTTTTATAATTTAGAAAATCACCGTCTTACACTAAACTTCTCAGCTTAGTTGTTCAAGTAACAACGTTTGAATCTCGGAATTTCAAATTTGATCTAACAACTTCTTAGGCACCAATGATTATAATATGACCCATCAAGAATCAAACTCTCTCTCTCTCTCACTGTTTTTGAACGTTACTTGGGTTATCGATTGAGCTAAGTAGATCTGTGTGCTCTTGACATCGATTTCATATGTTGATTCTTTTTTAAGCGGGAAGACCTTTATGATTGTAATAAAGTGGTTACATATGAAATGAGATGAGTGTGAGGTTTTAGTTACTCTTCCGAAATTATTCTAAGATACATGTTTCGGTGGAAATGACATTCGATAATAAAAAAAATATGCCAGCACAAGGGATTAAAGCTGTCCTACTAGGACCTCCTGGTAGTGGAAAAGGCACACAGGTAAAATTTGATTTTTTTTAAATTAAAATTCACAGTATATCAATAGTATGGTTTTTTAAAAAAACGTTTTAGTTTTCTTCACTACAACTGTGAAGTAAAATGTTCATTCTATGAAATTCTATGTACAAAACATTGCTGAAAACTGCACTGAAATGGGTTTTTAAATGCATTGAGAACAACAATAAAATTGAATAAGTAAAAAATTATCAAATTCCCATTTCTAGGACCTTAGTATTTTCTTTTGCTATGTTATTCAACAATTAAGCCAAAATAAAATGAGTTTATGAGTTCTGTTCAATGATCATCATTAAATTGTTTCAATAAAGTGATGTGTTCATGAAACAAAATTTTTCTGATTTAAAAACAGTACAAGAATCTTTGTATACTATATACTATTTAAGGCTATTGATTAATTTTTTTATTTTTACTTTGCGCAATTTCATCACTGAATTGATTATCTTATTAATGAAATATAGCTAATTTGAAGGATGGGTCATGCTTGGTAGGTGATAATGCTAGACAAGATGAATTATAGTCCTCGTAAATATAAAACTGGTTTTAAATTTCTATTATTCAATTAATTGAGTCTTTCTTTATTTTTTTTTTAACTTCTGTCAAGTTAGTTCAGTGTTATGAAATAATATGAATAGTTCTATTTTTATTGTTTTGTCTTAAGCTTGTTAAATTCAAATTCACTAAGATATTCACATGAGTTTTTAGAAAAAATTTTTAATTGTTTCATTTAACTGATGTCACATAAAGATCTTATACCTCTTCAAAACAGTTTGTTTTTTCAAAAACTTATGCAACTGTGTTCAATGAAAAAAATCATACTTGAGATAATTTTAATTAGTATGAAATAGAGAATGGAAATTTCATATTGTTACAAATATAGCACAAAAATTTGCTTAACTATCATCAAATTAAAAAAATTAAACAGAAATTAAGTTTTATATAATTAGTTTTAGAAGAAAATTTCAAAATGCTATAATATTCCATTTTATTTCTCTGCGTAGCTTTCTGTTTGTTTTTTGTAAATGCTTATGAAAATTATTAAATTCAAGATTCAATTCTGACTTACTTTTAAAAAATCTCCTGAAGTACGTTGACTAACAACCTTTGATTGATTGGTAACTATTTATTACCAAATGTATGTATGGTGATTTTTGACAGACATTTTTCAAACTGCTTTAAAATTATTAATTCAGACACAAGAAAATTCTAAAATTGTATATACTAAAAATTGAGCTACACCAGATTTTCTCATAATTGAAGCTTCATAAAATGATGTGATTGAAATTTTGATAATTATTACAGTTGAACATCTGATATCAAGCATAAAACTTGTTTAGTTCCCCTTTAAAATGAATTTCACGAAATCACATTTTTAATTTTTTAATCAATGATTGTTTTATGATATTTTGAGCAACTTTTACTCTTATTTTGCCTAAATTGACTCTATTAACGCGGTGAACTTGAACTAGGCAGTTATCTGGTCTAAGGTTAACAAAAATTTATTTGTTTACGTGACGTTCCACTGTTTCATTGTAATAACCATCAAGGAATGATACAATATCTATCGAAGAAATTTTGGATGCAAATATTTTCTTGTAGATAACCTTTTTTAAACATCGAAACATTTTTTTATTGACCTTACGCGTTACTTAATTAAAATCTCTACAAATAATAATCCGATACCTTGATACTTACGAAACATTTTTCTCGCTCGCAAAAATTGAAAATAGAACCCTCGAAAAAATAAATTATCACAAACTTACAAATTATTTAAATATTCCGCAAAATTATAAATTTTAGTTTAAGAATCAAATAAAAGTTGAAACAAGCCTTACGCATTATAAAATTCACACACAAAATACAAAAAAGCTATGTGAATTATATAAAAGGCAAAATATAAATGTATACAATTCGTTTTTTTTTTAATGAATTTATTAATTCTGTTGAATATAGTTTAATTATAGTTCAAATTGGTATCTGAACATTGACTGTGATTTTTCGAGTCAATTTTCGAAATGAATTTTCATATAATATATCGCCGCTGCTTATGAGTAAAAACACATCTCATCGGATTCCGTGAAGAAAAACACACCTCATTGAAACGCTGTGAAAAAAACACACCTCATTGAAACTCCGTGAAGAAAAACACACCTCGTTTAAACGCTGTGAAGAAAAACACACCCTTTTGAAAAACCAAGATATTTTCGACGCGATTCCTTAAATGGTGATTCAATGAGATGTGTTTTTCTTCTCGGCATTTCGATAAGGTGCGTTTTTCTTCACGGAGTTTCATTGAGATGTGTTTTTCTTCACGGCATCTGTGTTTTTACTTATAAGCAGTGGCAATATATTTCCACAAGAAATACCAAAAATTAAAGGCATAAGCGAATTAAAAGCGTCTATAATGTAGGGAATCGATTTTTTCAATACCTACCCATTCGCACCTTTAATTATCAAGAGTAATTAAGGTTTAAACAAAAGAATTATAGAAGGTCGTACCAATAATGGAACACTAGTACATAAATCATAGCGCTATAGTCATGATCCATAGTTTTGGTTGAAATTTTAATTTAAAATCAAGTGAAAAATATCAATTGATATTATTATAATGAATAAAATATGATTTCGGAGCAAATTGGATAATAATAATCTCATCCTGGAATAAATTGACCATTCAGGTCTGAAAAGCGCATCTCATTGATTGGATCACTCAAAAAAATTATTACCTAGTTAATGGAATGGACTAAGTTTGGAATCCCCGTTACTGGGGATACTCTGTTACAATTGCTTCTATAAATAAATTTAAAAAATTAATTTAAATATTAACACAGTTGCTTATTTTTTATTTTTAATATCTTTGTTTGGTTGTACTATTTGATTTGCACCACATTACTTTACTGTTTTAAATTTTAGCTAAGATTTCGTGAGCTGTAATAGAAATACGTATGCGCCCCCAAAAGGGAAGAGTTAAGCATTGAGGGCAAAAGACATATTTTGCATTTTATCGACATGTCAAAAAATTGTATCCTCATATTTTTCGAAGAATAGTGAATCATCTTGAAACTTTGTGATAACGTTCTGGAGATCGAAAAAATTATGTCTGTGGCCTTGTTTTCACTGAATTGTCTTATCAGCTTGCTCAAATTATCTTTTTGAAACAGCTTGTTTACAGAATGAATATGAATCCAGAAATAACAATAAATCAATTTGCTGCAAACAAGACCTCAAACAAAATTTTGTCCATCTTTTGAACTTTATTACGAAGTTTCAAGACAAAATATTTCGAAACTAAATGACGATTGAGTAAGCTGTATGCCTGTCCCTTGAATGACAGAATTTCTTTGGTGCGCAAATAAGAAGGAAACATTTTTTTTGATAATAATTAAGGGTGTACCCTTGCTCAAACGAAACCTCCAACTGGATCGTTAGACGTATCGGGTACTATACTTCGGTTTTCACGGCGCTCGCTACGCTTTTGGCACTTTTATCATAAACCACTATTTTATTTAATGATTGTTCGGTCAATTTCGAATTTAGTTAGAAGTTAGAAGTTAGAAGTTTTATTAACTTGATTTGCTAGAAAAAAAGGATTTCATAGATAAGCATTATTTAAACAAAAGAAACTTCAATAATAGTTGAATTGGCTCAGTTTGAAATTAGAATAAATGAACACCATCTTTATTTCACTCAATTTTAACGTCACATTTTTATGGAATCATCATTTTTGCAGGCACCAAAACTAAAAGAAAAGTACTGCGTTTGTCATTTATCCACCGGTGATATGCTACGAGCAGAAATACAATCAGGTTCAGCCATGGGTATGCACTTGAAAAAAATTATGGACAGTGGGCAATTAGTAAAAGATGAATTGGTCGTTGACATGATTGATAAAAATCTTGATAAGCCAGAATGTGAAAAAGGATTTTTATTAGATGGATTTCCTCGAACTGTAACTCAGGCAGAAAAGGTAATTTTTTTTATAGTTTGGATTATCTCAACTGTGAATAATTTTGATTGGAACTTTTTTTTCAGTTGGATGCTATGTTAGACCAGAGAAAAACTAAACTGGATGCCGTTATTGAATTTGGAATTGATGATAATTTACTGATAAGAAGAATAACGGGACGTTTAATACATCCAGCGAGCGGGAGATCTTATCATGAAGAGTTCGCCCCTCCAAAGAGCCCCATGAAAGATGATGTAATTTCTTTGTTCTTTGAAAGATATTGAGGGCTTAAAATCAAAAAAATTAAAGAGGAAAATAACTTTTTTAAGTTAAACACGCAATTTATTCGAAAAAAACGCGCGGAATATCATTTAAAAATTAAAACTTAGAAATTCGAAAAAATGCAATCTAAAGGGGAAAATTAGACTTCAAAAAAAAACTAAATTTTTTTTCTGATTCTGAGCCGTCTCTAAGTTCTTAATTAACCTGATAAAATATTAATATTTTATTGCAACGATTTATTTATAGATTACAGGAGAGCCACTCATAAAAAGGTCTGATGATAACGCCGAAGCGCTGATTACGAGATTGAAGTCTTATCATGAGAAAACTCAACCATTAGTTGATTACTATGCTCTTCGGGGAATCCATAACTATGTAAATGCTGCCAATTCAGCTGAACAAGTCTTTAAGGATATTGACTCAATATTTATGAAGGCAAAAGCTCAAGATACCAAACCAAGTTTTTTTAAGAGATTCTGGTAAATCTCTAATTCATCATGAGAATAATGATTGTATAGTTTAATAAAATCTTAATAAATAAAAATAATCAAAAAAATTATTTTTTAAAATTACGATGTTACACCTTGTAATAACGAGAATGAACAACTTGATGATGCTGTAGATATATTTTTCTAGTTTTACACATTAACTAATCAAATTTTAAGTTTATTTCAAGTAATTAATATAATGTCGATTAAATGGAGTGTTTATGTTTTAGAGATTTCAATGAAAAAGTATTTGAAATTTTTATTCCTCGTGAAGTTTTACTCAAGAATGTTGTTGAATTCTATTCAGCTCAAATTACAAGTTTCTTTTTAAATGGACAAGGCTATTTACAATGAGCGGGATACATTAACTAATACAATGATGTAAATATGTAACATCACTGTACATAATATTATTTGACTATTTTTCCTTTAAAAACTGATGAACAAATATCTATAGCTAAATTCTTTACATATGACTAGGGGTTGAGTCCACGAGAAGGAGTCATAGTGAGCGGGGGATGTTTGGATTAACTAGAAATTTAAAATATATGAAAATTACATTTTAGCAACGGGTTTACAAGGAAGATTACTTACCCAGAAGTCTTTGTATCGGCTTTGCGCACTTGTAACTTAATAGACTACTTTTATGGACCTGTTGAAAAAATTCATAAAATAAAGAGAGAAAATTATTCAATCATAAAAAAATTAATACGTATATATGTTCGGGACATTCAAGACGATTTTTTATTCAGAATAATGTTATTATTAATAAGAGATAAATAAAGTTACTATTTTCACATACAATTCGATAATTTCTTAATAACTTCATTATTTTATTCGACATCTTCTTCTGCCATCAGTGTTTGAGTACTCAATTTCTGAAAAATAAAAAAAAATTAGAAATCAAATTTCGTTAAATAAATATTTTTTGAAAAACATTACTGTAAAAAACGTAAGAAAGAAAATTTTAAAAGATTCAATATTTCAATATAATTAGAACTTTGAACTTCCAAGATTGTACATGAAATATTGCACATGAGTTACTTGTTTAGATTAGGCGAATAAATTATGGTTATCAATTACAGTGACATGAAAAGTGATCTATTGTAATATTTCAGATAATTATTTCAAATTAATCTCTCAAAAGGTACCTGGCCAGAAGATGGTAGTCGCTGCAATAAAAGATGGAAAACTTGTGGTGGCAGTGTGTTTTGTAAAACTTGCAGTAGTTGATGTGGTTGGCTGCAAACTGCAACTGCATTGGCTAAATGTTCAGTACCTCCTTCTAAATCACCCTGAGCCAACAGTTTTTCTCCCAATTCAACCTGTAAGTGAAATGAATAAATAGGTTAATAATTTATTAAGAATGCCATATCAATGATGTACTAATTCAAGGATAGTGTGGTGCAGTAACTTTCATATTATAGGATTTTAATGATCTCGCAGTCGATTATCACTGATTATTTTTGATATATTTTAGTAAATTTATGAGAAAATGTTGTCACCACTTGTCAGCTTGTAAAATATTTTAATGAAGAAATCAATACTATGGAGATGGTTGATTTTTTAGACACTGAGCCTTTAAAAACCACAGCATTTTATGAGAAACTCTGTAAAATTTCTTAAATTTGCTTGAACTTTTAAAAGAATTTGGTGGTGAAAACCAGACCACTATTTTTTTCTATTTATCATTATCTTATTGATGAAGTATTATTTAGTACAATTTGGTATTAAAGATTAATTTTTCATCTTTTTGGGATGAGCCTTCTTATGAATGAAAAAAATGAATAAATAAATGAAAAATCACATTATAGATGTGTATTATTCATTACCTCTTGCACAAAGAATTTTTGCACCACATCATGATCCTTTAAATTTGGAATTTCACTGTTTGATTTTAGTGCTTCTTTTTTCGCTCTTCTTCCTGTAATAAAAAAATAATTTTTTATAAGAATTATTTTCAGTTATTTATGATACATAATTCTTAATACATAGGAAAATGATAAATTAATTATTATAGTTTAATTTTTGAAATTTTTTTGGATACAGTATTGCATCATTTGACATAATACTTCACTTTTCAAATACTCAAAACTTTTTATAACAAGTTCAGTTTAATCTTTTATTAGGTACTGGAATGATTCTGAAGAAATTTATTATAAAAAATGAGGTAACCTAGTCAATAGATAATCTAGACTTGAAAATTCAAAACTTAAACAAAAAACTTGAAACTAATAAAAGTTATTGTCAAAAGTCTTCCTCTGAACAACATCTATCACCATCTATTCTCTCAAACTATAAAATTTAGGTTAAAAGATTAATGTGATATTACTTAAAATAGAAATGAATCAATAGAACTTGAAAAAATGTTTGTACATTTCAAGATAAAAATATTTTTTCAAAATATTCACAGAATTGTAATAGGTACTGTTAATAATATACGTTCACACGAGCAATAATAAGTTAATGAACTTCATTCTGATGATTCCGTAAAATTAATTTTATAAACCGTAAACTTTCAAAACAGTGAATTCAATCAATAACTCAAATTAAAAATTTCAACTTGATATACTTACTTTCACGCAATTTATTTTTAAATTCCGGGTCCAATCTTCTTTTTTGATCGAAGTAGAAACAATAACCAACAAATAAGCCCGCTACACCGACAGCGATACTAGCTATTGTCCTGGTATTCAGCATTCTTGAATATTTTTAAATTACTGTTACTTTAATATTTTACACAAATTGAGTCTGATATCTGAATTCAATAAAATTCTACTACACGTGCATATTATAAATTGCTCTGAACCAGGAATTTCAAGTATTCTCTATCTCTTTCTCTGTCTAGAAATATTATCATGCTCCACACGCTATACAGACGGCATTTCTAAGTACCTTTACCATGAAGTTAAAAAGATGTAGAAATGAATTTTATGGAGAGAGAAACAAGGAATGAACAATGGTCGTCATAAACAAAGCCTAGCAGAGCCGCTGACAGCGCCACATCACAGAAAACTCACTAACTATAACTAATCCGACATTAACAATGTTCAATCGTGGACTGCATTTGCCAATGTATTTGAATTTTAATATTTTGCTGAGTATTACAGAAGATCTTACTGCCATTATTAATTTTTTCGAAGTGAAACTTCTTTAGGCGCGTTAGGTATGAGAGGTTCTGTATTTTCTAGGGGCATTAGGCTTTTACAAGGGGTACATTCACCGTAGATTATTATTTTAGTTGAAACCTCAGGAACAGAAAAGAAAGAACTGCATGAATTATCATTTTCTTAAAACTCATTATCCACACAAGTTATATTTTCAAAAAAATATAATTCATGCCCGTTTTTTTAATTCTAAGACTGAGGTTGCTTATCGCTACTTAATTAAGATATTACATCATGAAAAATAACTTTCACGCAATATTCTTGGAATTCGGAATGAGGGTGGTTTTAATTAGTAAAATGATGCTATTCCAATTTTATAAAAAATACGAAAAATTAATTACCAAAAAAATGGATATTACCATGCGCGAAATAGAATTCATTATTAGGAGACGATCGGGAATCGAACTCCGAAGGGATAAATTGGAGAAGTTTTGAGTTCGTTGCGCACATGGTAACTTTAAAATTCTCCTATCTCACTCATGTATTGGGGATTAAACGATGGCCGTCCCATAAGAACCTTAGGACCGCCTCCGATCCAGCTGAAACAGTTTGAAGGCGGTTCTAAGGTTCTTATGGGACGGCCGCATTGAATTTACAGAGGGCGCTGACTATCGTTTAATTCCCAATAAACGAAGTGAAACTTATTTCAACGGTTGCCAGATAAACTGTTTTAAAATTTGGAGATCATCTCGTAATTAATTAAAATTATCTCCAATTTCCTAGAAAATCGAATTATATGACGTTTTTATTAATCTTGTTTAGTGAAATATAATTAACTTCTATATTTTGTACAGCTTTTCATTGTTTTTAAGACAAGGTAAATTATTTTATTTATTTATACAAGAAATTATTCGGTACTAGCAGGTATGTCATCACAGATAATACCGTTGATGTCATTGCATACAATACACTTTTTATTTTTGACTTTATAAAAAAAATTTAATTACAGAACATTCAGTTTCAAATTGTTTTAAAAAATGTTGCTAGTCTGGTAACTCCAATTTTGTTCATTGAGAATAACTTTGTTCTACTGATACATGATTATACCTTGCTTTTTTGAGATACCCCTGGAATGTTACATATGTGGAAAATTATTTCTTATTGTGTTTGTTTATACCTTTCATTTTACAAAAAATTATATAATTGTTGAAGAATACTTGAGATTCGCTCATTACAGTGCAATTTTTTAGACTCCATAATAAAAAGTAATCTGAGTTCGAATTCATACCGGATTCCGTTATTGAAAACAAGACCTTAACTTTGAATGACTGACTCGTAAATATCGGGGTTATTTTTTGTACTAACAGCATAGCGAGATCTGATTTATTATCAATCTCGTACGTTGAATCAGCAAATATATCTCATAAAACGACAGATTCTACTTCAGAATTGGGAACTAGCCACAGCTACCATTTTACAATAAAAATATTGTAACACATTTTTTTAATTTAAATAAATAGATTATTAAGTAGCAAGTGCAAAGAGCCTAAATACAATGACAATGAATATCACGTCAGCAGGTTAGTACATTGAGTTCAAAATATTTACATTTTTTAAGGAATTTAATTCTTTTCCTCCTTAAAAACATTATGATTTTAATGATTTGTTTGAATGACAAAATGCGTTGCACCTCATTGTTTTCAATGCTTTATAACCAATATTCTCACACTATTGATGTATTTGTTGAAAATGGGTGTATTTTGCGCACAAAAATATGCAGACTCATTGTGAATTATTTTCAAGTTTTCAAGTTACTAAAATTATATTTTAATATAAAATAAAAACAAAATAATAACAAACAAGAAAATTGAAAGTTTTTTGCCCAAATTGCAAGGATACGTCATTGCATATTGTTATTATTACCATGATGATTATGATATATTGCTTTGTCAATTTTAGTATTCAGTTTACATAGATTTACTTCAACTTAAAAATATCGAAATAAAATTAAATCAAAAGTGCAGTGTAATATTTTTTATTAATGCTTTATTTACTATGATATTATGTACTGTCAAACTTAGCATTATCTACCTTGTTTACTAAGTGAGTTCTATAATCTATTTAGATGAGTATAAATGACCACGCATTAGATGTATTAATTTTTATTGCTGTCTCAAATCAATAAACATATAATTGTTATAATAAAAATACATAAAATATATGTTTGATAATAAAAAACAAAATATTAATTTATAAATATTGCATTCATTAGGGATCTTTATATTGAACTATTTTTTAGTAGTGAAAAGTTTCATTCAATGATAATATCTAAAATTAGGTAAATTTTGTAATGTATAATTGTGAAATCCAGAATATGATAACCATATCGATTTAAATTGTCTAATCATTTCATTCAAATTTTGTAACCATATTTGGGTGTTTATTTGACTAAATATGTATTTAACTGCAAAACACAAAGTATTTATTTGATGCAGGGAATTTATGTGGATAGAATTATTACAAATTAATATTAGATTCAATTAAGTATAGATTTTATTTTTAAAAGAATTTCTGAGTATAGGCACAAACTTTTGCTTATCAGTAGAATGCATAGACCACTGAATAACTAAATTTTATATCTATTGCCATATCAAACTTTTCATGATTTCAAAATGCTTATACTAACTTTTCACTGTAAAATTTATGATTCTAGGAGGAATAATATCACTGCTAGAAGAATCAGAGCCAGAGTTGAAAGTGTTTGCTCTGAAGAAACTAGATCTTATTGTGAATGAATTTTGGCCCGAAATATCAGAAGCCATTGAAAAAATGTGAGTATAAAAATTGTTTGACGTATTTTTACTTAAATATTTCGCTCTACATTGATGAAATGCATAGAAGAGTTGAATATGTATTTTCTAATAACTAATAATCTTTAAACTCACATTAAATTAAACAATTCAATTTCCAGCGAAATCTTATATGAAGATAGAAATTTCAATCAACATGAACTTGCTGCCTTAGTTGCCAGTAAAGTTTACTATCATCTTGGAAGTTTTGAAGATTCTCTTACGTATGCTTTAGGAGCTGGTGAATTATTTGATGTAAATTCCCGTAATGAATATGTTGATACAATTATTGGTGAGTTTCAATTAATATAATTTAACTAATTCTCTTGATTGAATAAAATAATTCAAAAATTTTTAAAAGTTGGATAATGATCAAAGAACAGGAAATTTGATTATCTCAAAAATGGTATTTTGAAGATTTTTTTATAAAGTTCAGAATGAAAAATGTTTTTTTTATAACAATAGAAAAAATTTTTACCTATTAAAATTAAAATAAATAATTACCCATTAAAAAACAAAATATGAGATATTCACGATAGTTAAGGTCCCAGTAAAGGTAGTTGAATGTTTGAATTTAGAACTTATATACTATTCATTTAACTATTTCTTCAAAAAAACCTTGCCATTTATTGACCATTCAATTTTTAGTTAGCTCTTTAAAGCTGTAAATTATAATTATTATTGACTAAATGTACACATTTAAAGTTTTGTTTTAGAACATTTTTATAAAAAACTTATATTTTCTATTTGTATACAGCTAAATGCATCGACCATTACACTCATCAAAGAGTTTCTGAGAATGAACTTAAAAATGTGGAAAATAAAACGATTGATCCCAGATTAGAGATCATAGTGAATAGAATGTTTCAGAGATGTTTTGATGATAATCAATATCGACAAGCACTTGGACTTGCTTTGGAAACAAGAAGAATGGACATGTTTGAATCTGCTATAATGCTATCGGTAATATATTTTTAGTATTTTTAATATCTAATATATAAACAATACGCCAGTACATTCGTCTCTCTCCGTACTTTATTCTTGAGAAACTGTAATTTTCTCCTGAAAATTCCAAACATATTAAAATCTTTCAATATAAACCACTATAAACGATAAAAAAAGAGTTAATTAATGGTTATCTTACTTTTGACATTACCGCAAAATGTAATTTTAAAATGATAAAAATATGTAAAGATTGTTCACTTTTTCAGAATCAAGGCAAACTTTTTTAAACACATTGATAATCATAAACAATTTATCATAACAAACGTAATGACAACAATATTTTTTCATACCAGCGGCCCGAAAGTGACTACTTTCCTGCCGCTGCACAAAGCGGGAAGAGTGGTTTTCATACCAGCGGCCCGAAAGTGACTACTTCCCTGCCGCTGCGCAAAGCGGGAAGAGCGATTTTCGGGCCACTGTGTATGAAAAATAGTATACAGGCCTATGCCGCGAAAAAAGAAAGCCCCAGAGCACGTGTTTATCGGCCTCGGCCACTAATTACACGTACTCTGGGACTTTTCTGTTTTTCGCGGCCTAGGGCAGTAATATACTAATTTCGGACCACTGTGTATGAAAAATAGTATACAGACTTATGCCGCAAAAAAGAAAGCCCCAGAGCACGTGATTATCGGCCTCGGCCACTAATTACACGTATTCTGGGACTTTTCTGATTTTTGCGGCCTAGGGCAGTATATACTATGGAGGAAATATTGAAGTTGAGGTTCAAATGAAATTTTTTTAACACGTTTTCCGGCCCTTCACGAACATTTATGTTCGAAACATATATAGTTGAAATCCTGGAAAACGCTTTCAAATATTCTTATTTTCACCTTAACATCGGTATCCCTTAAAAATCTTATTTGATTGATAACTTCTCAAATATTCCACAATTTTTTTAAAGATTCTTCATTTTTTTATAGTTATGTCTTATTTCTATTTCAGGATGACGTCGGAGAAATGCTTTCTTATGCTTTTCAAGTAGTCATGAGTCTTATACAAAGTCGCAGTTTTCGTAATAGTGTTTTGCGTTGCTTGATTAAATTGTACAAGAATCTTGGTACTCCAGATTACGTTAGTATGTGTCAATGTTTAATTTTTCTCGATGATGCTCTTGCAGTAGCAGAACTTCTTGATAAACTCAGTAATGGCAATGAAGATAGTTGTTTGATGGCATATCAAATTGCATTCGATCTTTATGAATCAGCGACTCAACAATTTTTGGGTCGCGTATTACAAGCATTAAAAGCAACGGCCCCTATACCTAGTGCTCTGAAAGTAAACACTATAACAAAGGCGCCTTCAAATCCAGAAAATGATGATGCTGCCAATGACAGCGAAGAAAAACCTGCTCAAGAAGTTAAAAATGAAAGTGCAAGTACAGAAGTTGAAAAAACGATTGAAAATTTGGTAAGTAAAATTTAGTTTAATGACCTATTCACGACCAAAAATATCGAATTTCGTCAATTTTTAAATTGATTATATTCCATGTTATTAGTTTAAAAAAAATTGTAAACGCTAATTGCCACATACAACACAATGCCTTTTCAGAATTTAGACTCAAAATTACAGTTTAATGCAATGAAGATACAAATTTTAACGGAATACATAAACATTTTTGGATAAAAAATTATTTCGGGATTTTTCGTTACACTAGCCACTAATACAGGGCGCTCTGAACTCATCATTGTTTCCATGACTCGCTCCCACGATAACACTTAACGTAAAACATACTGATACATTTCGCAGCGAAAATCTCTCAATTAATCAGTACCCTTATAAACTTTCGGCACTTGTGACTGATGCATTTTTTAAAAAATTATTCTAAATATTGGGAAGACATAAAAATTCCATATTTTTCTTTTTTTGGAATTTTTGAAAAATAAAATGAAAAGTTAATAGTTAGTAACAAATTCTTTCGTGATGAAATTATTTTCTCCGAGGAATTTACTAGTATGTTCTTTTTGGAGGATTTATCCTCCATTTATTCCTGCTATTATTTGTTTATTAAGAATTGTATACTTTTGCAGAATGCAGAAGAACGTGTACAGCAAGAAAGAATCGATTCATTATCAAGAATATTGGGAGGTGAAATATCAATTGATCTTCATTTACAATTCCTGATTCGAAGCAATCATACAGATATGTTGATTCTTAAAAATACGAAAGATGCTATTCGTGTATCAATATGCCATACTGCTACCGTAATAGCCAATGCTTTCATGCACTCTGGAACCACAAGTGATCAATTTTTAAGGTAAAATTTATTTTAAATTCTACTTTTAATAACTTTTTATGTTCTTTTCTATTCATATTTGTTACAAACTTTCTAAAACGTAATCGCTTGATTGAGTTATCGAAATAAACGTGTTGTGATTGGTTGCTAGAATTGAGTAGGTAACAGAGGTAGGCTATACGTAACAGGCTAGTTTTTTATTGTTATCCTTACTTAATTTTTTAATTTTACTTAATTATTTATAAAAAAAGTTCAAGACTGCAAGTTGATGTCGTTGAAAATGACTTCTAATTGACCAAGTTTCTTTTGACTTAAGTTTAAATGAACTGTAAGCCACATCGGAATAATAATTTCAAAATATTAACGTAATCGTTGTACGTTTAAGTCCGTTTAGAAATTTAAGAATTATATAATATTTTTTTTTTATTCAAATATTTATCCATTCATATTCTTCTGTCATTTCACATAAAACAGAGATAATTTGGAGTGGCTAGCTCGAGCTACCAACTGGGCTAAATTGACTGCCACGGCTTCTCTTGGTGTTATACATAGAGGTCATGAACAAGAGGCTCTAGCATTAATGCAATCATATTTACCAAGAGATCAGGGAGCAGGAGCTGGATATTCCGAAGGAGGTGGTTTATATGCATTGGGGCTTATACATGCTAATCATGGAGCAATGATTACAGACTACTTACTTGGCCAACTAAAAGATGCACAAAATGAGGTAATTTAAGAAGCTTTCATTTATACTCGTCTTAAGTAGTACTTAATTATGATTAAAACCGTCTGTATCGGATAATAATATTTTCAAATTGGTAAATTTGTTATGTGTTTTTTCAAGATGGTTCGACATGGAGGATGTCTTGGATTAGGATTAGCTGCTATGGGATCTCATAGGCAAGATGTTTACGAACAATTAAAGTTTAATCTATATCAAGATGATGCTGTTACTGGTGAAGCTGCCGGTATTGCTATGGGAATGGTGATGCTTGGTTCTAAACAAACACAAGCAATTGAAGACATGGTTGCGGTAAGTTTTGAACCGAAAATTTTAGACAGTAATTTGATTTGCCACGTGACAACGCTTACTTAGCGTGCTAACTTTTATTGGAATAAAATTTTATTTCTCTTCGCGTGACTCGAAAATGTGCATTGTTACTTAGGCGCGTTTTGTGTAGAAAATGGCTTATTGTACCCGCCAAAGATTGTTTTCACTAAGCTCATGGGCAGTAATCCAACTTGTGATAGTATTTTTCTCAGATGGAATAAGAAGTTTTGAATGCTCAAACTTGTTCCAACTTTTATTTTACCTGATAGAATAGTGAACTTTTGAAGTATACTATTTTCGGTGCAAAAATAGCCAACATATTTTACCCAAGTTGCGTCCGCTCATTTTTAAATTAGTCATGGAATTGATGTAAATTTTTTCAGGATATTTTGACTCATTTATTTACTTAATAAGTACAGAAAATCGAAAAGATCTAATTGTGGTCTAGCAAATCATGTTTTTTTCATTAAATCGTAAATGAAATTTTAATTGATTCACAACTTGTTAATATAGTTTTTAAAATATAAAAATAAAGTAGCAATGATTAGAAGAATATTTTTGTAAAAAGCCCAATTTTATTAATAATATAATAGTAATGAAAATATTTTAAGAAAAATAATGGTTTTTTTAGTACGCACAAGAAACACAACATGAAAAAATATTACGAGGATTAGCTGTTGGTATCGCTCTTACTATGTATGGTCGTCTTGAAGAAGCGGATGCTTTAATTGATTCTCTTAGCGCTGATAAAGATCCAATACTTCGAAGAAGTGGAATGTACACAATTGCAATGGCGTATTGTGGCACAGGCAATAATCAAGCAATCCGCAAGCTCTTACACGTTGCTGTAAGTATACTTTTTTCACTTTGATTTTTTTATTAAACTTATAGTTTTTTCACCAAATTAATTATTGATCATTAAGTATCATTTGTAAAATTGACAAAGATTTTAACCTTTCGAGGGTCAGAAAGCCATTATATTGGTGCATCCCCTGATCGACAATTATCTTACGATCGATCAACGATTTAAGATACCTTTTATGAATACGTGTATTGAAACTGAAAAAATAACAATTTTGATGTTAATGTTATTATCTTAAATACTAAAATTTTAATTAAAACAATCAATACTATAACAAAGATGAGTATCAAATCCAATTACTAATTTTTCCAGGTATCTGATGTAAATGATGACGTGCGACGCGCTGCTGTGACTGGTCTAGGTTTTTTGCTTTTCAGGTAAAATTTTTGACAATATCTATAGTTTATAGGCCGGGTGCATAAATGGTGGCGTTACCGTTCCGCCGAAAAAGAACTACGGTAATAAAAAAGCACACATTTTTGCCAAAAATACGGTTTCCAAATGTAGAATTCCAAGCTTTATCCGAAAAAAACATTTGGTCAAGTATTTTTGTGTAAGATGTAAGAAAACTGTTGCTACATTTTTATACCAGCAAATTTGAGCGAAAAAAGAAAATGAAATTTTAATCAAAGTTTTTGCATTTCTCGGATTATTTGCAAGTTTGGTCACGCAGTTTACAAAGTAACGTCTCTATTTTATCCGCGTAGATATTGACTGTAAACGCATCAACAACTAGTAGTAATTCGCTATTAATTACGACAAGAATTTGTTAATCATAATATTCATAATTAACTTATCAATGGGATTTTAAATTTTTTTAAAGGAACCCTGAGCAATGTCCGAGTGTAGTTTCACTTTTAGCTGAAAGCTACAATCCTCACGTTCGTTATGGAGCAGCAATGGCGTTAGGTATCGCATGCGCTGGAACAGGATTGAAAGAAGCTATTAATCTTTTAGATCCTATGACAAACGATTCTGTTAATTTTGTTCGTCAAGGAGCTTTAATTGCCTCTGCTATGATCCTCATTCAACAAACAGAATACACGTGTTCTCGAGTAAAAGAGTTTAGAACGATGTATGCAAAAGTAATTGTTGACAAACATGAAGATCATATGGCTAAATTTGGTGCGATATTGGCTCAAGGCATTATTGATGCAGGTAAATTGATTATTATTTTTCTAAAATTATTTGAATTGCGTGCATCAGTATTTTTAAGAATAGATCTATACGGATCAACTCATTAAATGGCCCGGTCATTTTTCAACTTTTAATTTTAAAAATATCACGTCACATGAAAAGATCAAAAAGTTCTTTGATCAAATACTATAATTAACACTCAACCAGTTAATTAGATTTCCCATTATTGAATAATCATTACTTATCAAACTGTAAATTTATTTCTTCCATTAATTTTTTTTAGGTGGACGAAATGTAACTGTATCATTACAATCTCGAACCGGTCATACTAATATGTTGGCAGTTGTCGGAGCTCTTGTATTTACTCAATATTGGTATTGGTATCCATTGGCCCATTGTCTAGCACTTGCGTTCACTCCGACGTGCATCATTGCTTTGAATTCACAACTTAAAATGCCAAAAATGCAATTCAAATCTTGTGCTAAGCCCAGTATGTATGCATATCCAATGCCATTAGAAGAAAAAAGGCGAGAAGAGCGTGAAAAAGTTACAACAGCTGTATTAAGTATTGCAGCAAAAGCTAGAAAAAGAGAAACTGAACGTCGTGTAAGAGAATCTCATGACAAAATGGATGTGGTGAGTTATAATATAGTCAATTTGAAAGTTATTATATTTTAAATTAATAATTTGAGCTTGTACTGTAACGATGTCATGACCGTGACCACTTGGCTCGATAAATTAGTTTTTTTTTGAGGGATAATTTTATGACGAGTTAGAAATAGATCGACCTTTTTGGTATAAATAACTGTCAATAGAATTTTCCTTTGCCAATAATTAAAAAAAATCACTTCTGAAAGTAAATGCATTCAATCAGATGTTAAATACTTTAGGGAAAGTTTTGAAGTTAATGAATGTTTAGAAACCAATTTTCATCGCCGTAGCAACAGTATTATTAGATACTGCGCAAAAATTTTTTGTGTCGAATATTTTCGAAAAAAATATTCTCTCGTACTAATATCGAGGAGCGCGCGTCGCGCTCCAAATTGCAAATGTGGCAGACGAGAATGCCACTTTACGCTCTTCATATACATACATAATTAATTCTTGTTTAATGTATAACTTTTGGTATAAGCCGGGTGCTTGACGGTGTTAACCTTCATCCTTTTTTTTTAAATGTTAATTCTTATCGATGGCCGTTTAATTCAGTGGTTGCCAGGTCGGAACATTAAGCCAACTCTATAAGAGAGCATGTTTAAAACGATGCCAGCGCCAATTCTCATGAACCCACCCTATAATACTAATCAACAATTTGCTATGTAATTCAAAACTTTTTTATCACTATTCCAGGACTTATCTGTCACGGAGAGTAAGGCTGAAAACTCGCAGAAAGATGAAAAAAGTGCTAAAGACGTAAAAGAAAAGAAAAAAGAAGATAACGTCGAAAAACTTGAGAAAGAAAAAGATAAAGAAAAGAAAGAAGTTGAACCTTTATTTGAAAATCTTAATAACCCAGCTAGAGTCTTACGTCAGCAATTAAAAGCTATTCATCTAACCGAAAACAGTTCGTATCGATCGGTGAAAGATATACAAATTGGAGGAATTGTAATGGTCAAACATATTCAATCGGATAAAGAAGAAGAACTCGTAGAACCAGTTGTTGGTACGTTCAATATTTTTTTACATATTATGATTAATTTCAAACAATCAAGGTTTTTTTACTGTAACACAAATAAAATTAAGGGGAGAGAAAGGGAGTATGTTTAGTTTTTGATATCTTTGATGATTCTTTTCTTTTTATAAGAATTTTTTGATAGTATTATGAAAAATCCCCTTCTTTATTATTGCTTATTTTGTGAAATTCGTATCAAAAAATGTTCGTATTAAAGCTTTTGAAATTCATGAGAATTCTGATCAGATATATTATGTTATTTATCAAGTCATTTTTCAAGCATTGGGAAAAAATATGGATCTTTGCAATTGTCATGTCCTTACGGAAATGGTAGATTTTTCAATATTTTGATAAATTCAATAGTCACCGAAATTACAGATTTAGGCAAATAAATAATTCTATAAAACTTTAACTCTTAGTAATATTTTTAAATTTTGTATACCCCTATAATATACTTCTTTTACCTATGTCTCTATAATTTAACCATTGTATTTATTTCAGCTTTCGGTCCTAAACCAGAGGAAGAAAAAGAATCAGATCCACCAGAACCATTTGAATACCATGAAGATTGAGTTTCAATATTATCTTTTAATTTACAACATGTATAATTACGAATATAATCATTATTAAAACAAAGCAAATAAAATCATCTATGATTGAATTAAATATATTTAAAATAATAGCTTTGAATTTTCGAATTTTTCCTTCAATTTCAACCTAAAAATATTACAATTGTGTTTAGATTATGCTAAGCACTATTCGCTAAAACCAAAATTAATCACACAAAGCGCCATAACTCAATTTGTTCATATATGTGAACGGGTGTATTCATTTGACTCAAAAGACTCTGATATGAATACTCAAAATTGAAATAAAGCTGTGGTTTTAGGAGAACTTATCCCTTTTTGACTGTTATATGGGTTTACAGCTTCTCTGATCTTGAACACGGTACTTCATTTATCATTTGGAAAAATTTTTTCGGCTACTTACTTTGGTGTACACTTTTTCAGAATATTAATGGTTACAGACGCAAGCCTTATAGAGTTATAAAAACTTAGATGGGTTTCAAAAATTACTTCTATGGTTAAAGTTTTAACAAGAAACATAAAATAAAATAACAAGTTAGTTAAACTGTTCGTGCACAGCAACCTACGTGTTCGATCATTCTTAACGTGATTGTATTTTGGAATGATGGAAAATACATTTTCAGCAATAATTTTTCAACAATGCAGTAGAAACCATTTTCTTAGTATATATTTTAAAATTTTACATAATAAATGAAAATAAAGAGATATTTCAAACGTTTTTCAAGTAAAAAGTTTAATGTAATTTAAGAGTATAAATTCCGTAAAAATAAAAGAGTATTGCTATTAACATAGTTGAGTTCGTTCTTGTTGATCGTGAATTATGAGATCATCATACATTGAAAAATCCTAACAGCTTGATATATTGGACATGATTGGTCTTGATCGAAATACAAGTTTTTTTCTAATAACTGCAGCTATATCATGAGATGCATCAGCCTCCGTTTTGTTTTTAGATTGATACTGTGCTGGAAGATTTTTTTTCAAAATAATAATTGGCTTTTCCAAGTCAATCTCATGACCTTCTAGAATATGGGTACCAATTGCACACACAATATCTCCATCCTTTTTTTTATACAGTTCTCCGAATAAAATTTTACTTAGATGATGCGAACATTTTATGCTTCCATGAACATCTATAGCCATCCATTCCGGAATACTACTCTTTGAGCTGATAAAAAAATAAAAATTAGTTCGTAACGTTTTTTTTTTTTTTTTTGAAAAATCACACTGTTGATAAAGAATAGATCAAGATATATTTAATATTTTGAATAATCGTTCATGCGAAGTTGAAATGAAAAGGTCACGTTTAATAATGTTTAAAATTAAAAATGTATAAAAATATGCGGGATGAGCACCGTTAAAAAGGCGGCATTTTTCAAAACAAAAATGCTACAGATGGAGATTTTTTCGGAGGTTTCGTATGTCCGAAAAAAGCAATTTAACTCTACAAAGAGAGTTCGTAATTTTAGACGGGGTAGTTGTAAAGTTAGGCGAGAAACTGTTATAATTATTAAAAATATTTCAAAGGACAATTCAAAAAATTAATAATCGTATTCGTATATACCTGTACATAAACAATTATTCATAATTGTCAGCTAGTAGTGCATTAATTTATTTACACAGTTTTACGATGATGTCTAAGGATGCGATAAATATGTGTTCGTTTTATTTTTCTGCCTTCATTATCATCGGATTCATATTCTTGAAAAATTCTCGTAGTAATAAAAAATAAAACCATTACGATCAATTTCGGTTTTTCAATGGAATTAACACATAATCGAAAATATAAAGGCGTAATTAAATTCAAACATTTAAACACTGAAGTTTATATCCTTCATTACTATAAATATTACTTCTGGTTTCATTTACTTTTTATTTATATATCATTAATATGATTACAATTTCTCTCTTTTCACATATTTCTAATATTTTTATCTTCTGAGGTAAATTTTATATGAAATGTAGGAACGAAAATATTGTTAATTCAAATAACACTATAATAGCAGTTTATGAAGAAAGTTAGATACAGATTTTTCTATAATTATAACTTTTCAATGCAATTATGAAGTCTTGAAATTTGAAGAATTATAAAGTTTTTAACAAAATTATACTTTGCATTTCTACAACTTAATGAGACTTTTTTCTTCATTAGCGCAGAAAAGTTAAGAAAATTGAGTTTATTTTTCCTCTACATAGAAACTGAAAAAAGGGTTGGCTTTTTAGCACTTGTTTAAGATTTTTATGTTTTTAATTAAAAAGTATAGCAATGTTTTTAAGAACTTGAGTAATGTTATCACTTTTCACAGTATAAATGTTTTACAAAAAAAGATTTTTAAAGAAAAAGAAATTGGTAAAGATTTTTATCAATGAAAAAATTTCAGAGTTCAAAGATTTATTGTTTGAAACTCAGCATACAGAAGTTTCAAAAAGGATTCAAAAATAGTTAAGAGTATTCCATTAAAAAATGTTGAAAAGATTTATAAATTGTTCAATATTTTTATGAACACAAATTTTTATTTGGATGTTTCCAAAATTTAAACAAATTTCTTTCAGGATAAACATTTGCTTAATATACTTGCAATAAAAATCAATATTAATAATTAGAAACATGCTTCGCTGCATATTATTCATATAAAGTAAATGAGCGCTTACAATTAGTTGGATCATTGCACTAAAAATATGGTATACATTTTTAGTCTCCTATATCAATACTTTGCAATTGAGTTATGTACCAAGTATATACTAAATAACAATGAAATAATTTAAAGAAAAGTTTAATACTACCTAAAAATTTTATTTCCCTTAACTTTGAAGGTATGGATTCCAAGGTCAAACAAAGTAGTTAAATTGTAACTTATTTAATAATAATTTCAACCAGTATAATGAAATAAAGATAATTGAAAACTTGAATTAACCTTTTTAATAAAACAATAATTACTTCTTTTTACTTCATTTAATTTGATCGATAAAATTATCATTATTAAAATGATTGCCTATAAATTAATTTATTTACATGTATAGTTAAATATATGCTTACATTGATCAAAATGATTTTGATAATTAGTGAATAAATGTCAATATTTTCAAGTACAGTATAGTAACGGAAAAAAACAATTAAAAAAATACGAATACTTACTTATTTTTGAGAATAATCATTTTAATAAAGCTCCGTTTATTTTTTAAAAGTTTAAACTATTTACTCATGTCTCGACAATATTCATAATTCATATTTATTGTTGAGTGCGAGGATCTGCAGCGAACGATGCACAGCAACGCCATACAACGGATAGAATGGTTTTAACAAGCTAACGTCTTTCTCGTGTTTAGATCTTAACACCAGTATACAGAAGTTTCACGTAGTGATAGCAGAAAGAATACCAATACTACCGTCAACCATAAGTTAATTCCATACCGTCTGTCAGGCACATGATGACACTTGTGATGGTCAACCTGCCCTAACGAAGTCTATTATTATTGAGAATAACATCAAATTGTTTCAATTTCTGAACTAATCAATTTACAAACGGCTTCAAAATGTTCCCTAGCGAAAATGTCATGTACCCGAAAATGCTCATGAATTTAGCTAAATCATTGGCTGAATCAAAACAAACAACTTGGGAAAAGGTAGAACAGTTATTTATATTTGAATCATGATATTAAATCAATTCAATTTTATATAAGCTATGCAATAAAATCTCTGGATTTGTAGAGTTGTTTATTATTTGCTACTGTAAGTGATTCTAATGTCATACATTATTATCATTAAATTCTATTTCACATTGAGTTGATATATTATGATGGAATTATTTGATATATTTAATGTATAGTTTTTTTCACTGAAATCATGACTATTGAAAGAGAAATAATATAATTTTGTTACTTATATTCATTAGTCCATTCATTGAAATATTCATGATTCCATAACTCTGCAATATAATAAACAATTCACTTGTGAAGATTGTTTAGTTACAATCAATATCTGATTAAATAATACTGCCTGATCATACATGATTATAATATCAATGATGAAGCGCAGTTATTAGTCAATATTCTCATTTTTCATTATTTAGTTACATTTGTTATAATAAGAGAATTAATTTATGTTATGTATATTGTTAATTTGGAATATTTGTAATGGAATGTTATATCTAGTGTGGATTTTGTGGATAGTGTGGATTTCCCCTAACATTTTATAAAGAATTGTCTTGCTAAATGATCAAAATTTAATTTCGTTGTTACTTTTTATTTTTAATTTTTTGCTTAAACATCCTATAATCTCCATATGATTACAATATTTATTGTTCGTACATTAAAGTTCTTTGAATAAAATTAAAAATTCTTAAAGCTAATATAATGATAAATATATGAGTTTTGTAAAAACAAATTATTTTCTCAACTCATTCTCCCATAATATTCATATTAGCAGTAACTTTTGAGAAATAAAAAAGCAATTAAACATCATTCTTTGCATTTCAGAGTTGTTGAAAACTTGAAAAAATATTATTGATCCTATAAGCTAAATAATTTTTTGGTCCATTGCTATATTCATTTCTCAATCTACTCTCAATTTATTTTTGTGGTACTTATTACATGCCGTTAGTCGCTCATTTCAGCTTATAATGATTCTTCCATATCCTCAAAATGAAACAGAAGAGCAACTGACTTTGTCTTATTGAAATAATCAAGGAAACTGAGTTTGAATCATCTAACTTTTCATAAAATATGTAAATTATTATTTTAATTATATTTTATTATGTAATACTTTTTGGGTAGGCCATATTCATTAATATTAGTTTTGAGATAATTTAGTGTATAATTGCATTTTATTTTTTCTTTGAGAAATTTTGTAGACGAGAATAGAATTTGAACTAGGGTCCTTAAGATTTATATTTCTGAGCTTTCAGTATAATTGAAAATTAATCAAATATTCTATGAATATTCTTTTCATAAATTCTCAATGAATTCTTTTATAAATTTTTAAAAAAAAATTTTCGAACCCCTAGGCCGTTTAGGAATCGTTTGTTATTGGAAAGTAATTTGAGTGTGAGGTGGGGAGTCAACGTACTCATTTTGATAACCGCTCCAATGCTTTTCGTATTGGCTGCGTAATCCGTGGCGTCCCCAACAGTTTTGGAGCAACCCCGTGTTATTTCTCATGGAAAAATTTTAGTTCGGTGGCGTTTTTTGGATTATTTTCCATAAGTAAAGAGTATGTTGAAATCTATGCCACGCCGTTAAGGCTCCTCTATACAGAGGGACAAATACCGACATACCGATATTATTTTGTACCCGTTTTTTTTATTCTCTAGACAACCGTTGAACTTGAAACTTCGTGGGAGTGATTATGAAACTTATAAAAATGTGCCTCTGGGGCCAGTTTTCAATAAAATGTTTAATAAAATCATTTTAACTAATTGTTTGAGGATACGTTACTTTTGAGGTTATAAAAGGGGGATAGTAGAAAATTAAGTTTGTTTGAAAGTACCGGTCATTTAATTGAAAACTGGCTCCAGAGGCACATTTTTATAAGTTTCATAATCACTCCCACGAAATTTCAAGTTCGATGGTTGCCCAGAGAATAAAAAAAATGGGTACAAAATAATTACGTACTTGTTATCGACTGAGTGTGTATAGAGGGCCCTTAACCCCTCCAATGAAGCCCATATTTATCCCCTCCAGATCTTAAATAACTTACCAATAGGGCGTTTTCCAACTGTTACACAAAGGTTCTTTTTTCAATGGTTCCATTTTTTGAAGTATTTTTTGTTTAGTAAAAAAAAAAAAATTATTTCTAAAATGTATACAGTAAAACTTCGATAATTCAAAATCCTAAATACAGCCTGTAATTTCGAATTATCGAGAATTTCGAATTAACGAAATTCGAATTAACGAAGTAAAAGAGAGGCCAAATTAAATAAATTTCTAATTATAGAAAAACGCAGGTATTTTTATTTATTTAATATTTAAACACAATTCTAATTAAAATAAAAAATCATTTTAGATTGAACTAACAGCTTTTTTTTTTTTTTTTTTTTTTTTTTTTTTTTTTTTTTTTTTTTTTTTTTTTTAGTTTTTTTTTTTTTTTTTTTTTTTTCATAAAAAAGAATTCATCTTTTTGCATAGCAAAAAATAAATCATTAGATACTTTTTCATCACAAGACTCGATAAAATCTCTCACTCTAATTATTTTATTTTTGCTTTTCTTTTTAATTTTTTTAAACTAAATAATCAAATAATTATACAAATAATATTATAAATTACGTTCGACGTATTTTAGCTTGTCCTATAAGGATGTCCTTTATAAGGATATGGAACCAGGTATGGTATCTCTCCATTCGTGTACAATTGATAAAATTCAGCTTCGGTTTGTCTTATATGTTCAGGAATTCCAGTTACCATTTCTCGATATTTGATCCAACTTTCGAGAGATTTCTTAATTTGCATAGACTTCTTATCTTCTTCGGACATCAGCCATGTTATATCTACTTGTTCTTCATCTACTTTCATAGAAGAGGCTTCCGGATCTTTTATATGTTCTTCCTTTTCATTCTTCGAAAAGGCATCAGTCTCGACACTTTTATTTTCACAGATATGTTGGTTGCGCCTACCAGTCTTCCTTCGTCTCCATCGTTGCAATAGGCTTTTGGCTGGTCGATCTGACTTGTTCCATCAAAAAACCGAAGACTCGGTTTTTCTCAAAAAAAAAAAATTACAAATTGAATATCTTGGAAACTATAAGTCTCACAGAATACAGATTTCGCACAGGTATTCTACATGATGAAAGTTGCCTTTTTGCAAAATTTCGTTTCTTAGATCCAAAAATTGAAGGAGCTGCGAATTTTTGAAAATTGGGACAAAAACCACGTTTTTCCATACGTTTCCTTATTTTTCTCGGGAAATACTTATCCGATCGGGACGAAACTAAATTTGTTGGAAAGGCGATAACATTTCCTACATTTTCTCTCACGAGAGCATTACTGTAGCTGCCATGGTTTCCAAAATACATTAAATAAACCGAAAACCGGACTCGAATTTTATGGTTTTTTGTTAATAAAAACAAGTTTTTGTCCAAATCGCAACAAAACTCACCAACATGTTCCCACAGACATCCTGTAGATTGCTTGCTAATATTAATTTTTGGCAGAAAATATTTATATGCACTGGACAAAGATTCGACACTTTTGGCCTAAGATGACCTGATCGCGCGGGGTGGCCGCCAAATATCTATAAAGTGCATTTATTATTGTCTCCTAATTACATACTATTTTATTGTTGTCATAATCCCATAACTAATAGAAGTAGATGTTTTTAACAATTGTTTCAAAAAAAGTAAAATAATACTTATTATTACAGGTTTATTGGTTGTACAACAGGTGTCCTCAAGACACTGGAGGAATATACTACTTGGACCAAAGAAGTCAGTATGCTACCGTAGCTTTAGGAATATATTTTCTCGAATCAGGATTACAGTTCAAAGAAAATATTTTACCATACCTCATTCGTCTTTTGAAGAGTTTACCAAAAGCTGTTTTTATTGAAGAATACTACTGCAACAAACATGTTACATTGTCCATTGAAATGTTTAGTTTTTATCTGAATTCACTGTTGAGTAATATAGCCTATCGGTACGAGTCTATTAAGGAAGAAGTAATCACTACTCAAATAGAAGTTTTTGCTGCACTAACAAATTTCATTCGTGGAAGTTTTGACGAAAATTCAGAAAAAACGCCCGTTCAAAGTATGTATAAAAACATAATAAAATTCATGAAAATAAGTTAACAGAAATATTATTATACAAGTTTTGTTTTATGGGAACTCCAAGAACATAAAAATCATTAAAACTCAGTTAATTTATATCGAAAATTGAATAAAATATTCAATTTTTTCAATGACGAGAAAATATTAGAAAATATAATTTTGAAAATACTTCGCGTTTTCGTAATTATGCTTAGCTTGCAATTTTTTCTACTTGTTCTGAAGATAATTAATGTATTCTCATGTTAAATCTTATTGCTACTGCAGTCTTCGATACTCAATGTGGCTAGCTTCGATCGTGGAGTCGCACTACTGCGATATGCAGCGGCTGACACTCTCATTCTTTCTGGTGGCGGAGGTGGTACGTAGCGTGCGTCTAAATCTTTCTCTTTCTCCCATTGACGCCCATGTTTTTCGAGATCGTCGAGGCTATTGAAGTGCATATGGCGCAGTGAACGGTGATATTTTGGCAGAAGGTTTCGTTTAGCTATTTGTACTTATTCTTTTTCCGCCTCCGTCTGGCGGTCGCGCGGTGAGTGTACAAATTTCAAAACGATGTAGCTGAGGCTCGCCAAGAAAGACGCTATTCTTTCACGTTTCGCTTGAGTTCGGCGGCGACAATTGTCTATCAAGTCCTCGTGATCGTACTCTCCCTTGAACTGATTATATACTATATGTCGACAAGTACGACGAGTTTATTCGTGCCAGTGGTGTTTCTCACTGTTCGTCCTCGCTGTCCGATGATTGGGATTGCTCGGAGGCCTCCAAAATTCCATCAAAGTTTGGAGCTTGCTCTTTTCGTCATCCTGCTGCCGGCATGTTAGCATTTCTGCCCGCAATGCTGTTACTATCCATTGGTGTTAGATTACCGGCTCTGTCTGTACTTCTCGGAATTTGGTCTGCCCGTTCTGGCTCGTGTGCCGCGACATTATATTGTCCGCGTGTCCCGACATTGGCTGGTATACTCCGGCTATCGGCAGGTACTGGCAATTTCTCGTATTGTGCGCTGTGCATCAATTTTACCACCTCTTGGTTTATCACGATATGTCGTCACATTCACACTTGTCGTCGGGATCGTGATCGCAGACGAGTACAATGTTTGCGATGATAAGGCATGAATGTCGGCTGGTGCTTGTACTCGTTCAAGATGCATTTCGTCAGGTACTTCTCTCGGCAAATCAAAATGTACTTGACACGTCGTATTTCGAGTCCTATTATTTTCATATGCCGGCGTATGTATTGTATTGCAATCGACGCTACGTTAAGCTCGCTCGTACCTATTTTTCGCTCCGGCGTATTCTGTATGCGCGACTTATGTGCGACACTGGCGCGATCGTATTTTGGTCTTCACCCGGCTGCATGTGTTCGCTGTGACGGCGTGCCTAGCGATTCCATGAATCTGCCCAACACATTCGCGAGCGAAACGGTGACGCGCCTTCTGCTCGTTTAAGAGCCGTCTTTTGTTCAAACTTATTTTCTTATTCATTCACTCAACGTGCACTCTGACTCTAATTGTTGCCTTTCTTCGCGTTCCCACAAGAGTGATTTAAATTGCGATACGGTAACTTTTGATGCCCCGACACCGCCGCGGAAATGTTCGAAAGGAAAAATGACCCTCGGTCTGGTTCTTGATGTTGGCTTGTTTATTTTTCTGGCGATGAACCTGCGAAACAAATATACGCATTATTAATAGATGTGATCATTCGTGAACTGCCGGTCTGGCACGATGATACTTCTCAATTTCGTCGCCCTAGCGCAGAAAGGTATCTATTTCAATTCTGTAGCAAGAAGGATACTTACTCGCGCGTAGAGGCAAAAAGGTATCTAACTCGAGCGCAGCGGCAAAAAGGTATCTACTCGAGCTCAGAAGCAAAGAAGTAGCTTATTCAAACGAAGTGGCGAGAAAGTTTTGACGCGCTGAATTTAGGTTGGCAACGCGACCGCAAATGATAAAATTTTGTTTTGTATTAGAGCAAAAAAGAGAAAAAACAAGTGAAGCTAGTGTAATGATTTTCATCCATTTGTAATGTGAGCAAACAAATCAATCTCACCTCGATTTCGACTCAATTTGCCACTTATGAAGAACTTTGTATGTTCTGAGAGGAAAGAAGAAGATATCGGCTTTACATAACTTTGAATTAAATGTTGAATGTTGAATGTTGAAACAAAATTTTATCATTTACGGTTGCGTTGCCAACCTAAATTCAGCGCGTCAAAACTTTCTTGCCACTTCGTTTGAATAAACTACTTTTTTGCCGCTGCGCTAGAGTTAGATACCTTTTTGCCTCTACGCGTGAGTAAGTATCCTTCTTGCTACAGAATTGAAATAGATACCTTCCTGCGCTGGGGCGACGATTTGGTCGCGGCTGCTCGGCACTGTCACCACATTTCACAGTGTCACAACTTTACATTTCAATTTTTTTCTTTTGCATTTTCTATCAAGTTATGATCACCTGTCGTAAGTTTCTGAGAGAACCGATTGAGTTTCAGCCCGAGGGTCGCGTACACTTCTTCAGAACATCAATGCTTACAAACACAAATACTTTAAAATTGATCGAACTCATAGGTCACTCTCAACCAATGCTATCATGATTTAAATTTCGTCAAAAACGAATAATGAAAAAAAATGTGTGCGTAACTATACGTACAGATCAACTTTGCGTGTTTCATCACTCCTAAAATGCTTGTGTTTGTAAGCATTAATGTCCTGAAGAAGTTTACACCACCCTGGTGCTGAAGCTAAATCGCTACTCTCTGGAAGTTACGACAGGTGATCAAAAACATAACTAGCTAGAAAATTGAAAAGAAAAAAAAATTAAACATGTAAAGTATTCTAATTTAAAAAGACTTGAAAACCCCGAATTTTACATCAAAAACGAAAAATTCAGTTTTAACATTTTATTTTCAAGTTTTTTAATTTACAAGAATTAACACAGTTATTTCTCCTTAAGTTTCCTTGTTGTCTCTTTTTATATTATAATTTATTAATTATAATTAATGTTCTTTCACGTTTCAGATACACTATGCAGAAATATAGTTCCAATATTAATTGGTCTGGCTAGATCAATTGGACGTTATGAATTAGAAATGTCTGAAATTTTTTGTAAGATTTACATACCAGAAAAAATTGGTAAAAGTAAAGATTCAGTTGGTTCGGATGAAATTTTCGATTCATTTTCTAACTTTAGATCAATAATTCCACACTTTTATCAAAACAGTATTTATGAACAAATACAGTCAAGCATATATCAGAACATTCCAAATGATTATTACATAAATAATAGCGGTGGTTTACAAAACACTGTGTATCATGATTTCTACAATATACTTAACAAAGATAAGAACTCATGCTTAAAACGGGCTGAAATGAAAAAAATTCAACTTAGTGCTGTCCACTTGCAAAGCTTATTATCTTTATCTAAAAAATTATTGAACAAAGATCTATTAACTTTTTTGGACAAGGAAGCTCAAAAGGTACGATATATTGACATATTTTGAAAATCATATAACCACGCTTTTATTCGTCGTTGAATTAGGGTAGATAGCGCACAATGTATTGAGCAGTAATTTTTTAATTCCCAGTGACGTGCGCGAGTACGGGTATATTTTTGGGCGCGCGCAATGCTCTAAAACGAAATCTCATGTCACATGATTTTAGGATGACAACTCTGGTCCATCATGATTATGGTTCTAAATGCAGAAGAAACTTTATTACTAAATAAAAATCTGTTATGAGTTTATGTCGAAACATATTCCTTATAACATCATACACTTTGCGACAAAATTATCGCAACAACAATTTTTATTGAAATTTTGTCAATTTTAATCGTACACTGGCTGAATCCGAATCTGGGGTCGATTTTTCAAGGTTGGCTCATTTTAGGGGTCATTTGAAGGTCAAATAATGGGAAAGTGGTAAAAAATCTGAAAAAATTCATACATGGGTTTTTGAGGATGCTGAATCCAAATCCGAGCTCAGATGACCTTCAGGAGGTCACCTTCAAGGTCATTTGAATGTCATTTTAAGGTCAGATCACGAAAAAAGCTTAAAAAAATCTGAAAATACTCATTCATAGGTTTTTAAGGATACTGAATTCAAATCTAAAGTCAGATGACTGATATGAAGTCACCTTCGAGGTCATTTCAATGAAAAATTAATACAAGAAAGAAAAATATTTAGAAAATATTTTTAATTTTGCATGCGTTTTTTGTCTTTTGTTTTCAAAACATAAGTGTGATTTTTTCGGATATTTTTACTGAATTCTTGTAGTTTGACCTTTAAATGACCTTGAAGGTGACCTCCTGATCAGAAGGTCATCCGACCTCGGATTTGGATTCAGCATCCTCAAAAACCCATGTATGAATTTTTCAGATTTTTTTATCACTTTCCCATTATTTGACCTTCAAATGACCCCTAAAATGAGCCAACCTTGAAAAACCGACCCCGGATTCGGATTCAGACACCCCAAAAACGTAAAGTCCACTAGGTCCGGTCAGTGGATTTGAAAATTTTTTTTTTGTGTGGCTGTGTAATAGTTATATTGGTAAAAAGGCGCGTGATGCCCCAGCGCCACGTGCGGGCAGCGAGAACAGCCGGATTGCTCAGTTTTCAACTCGCTCGCAACGGGATGAATAAAATTTAAAAAAAATAAACCAACATAGGTTTTTACCTCAGCTTTCTACTGGTGAGGTCGAAAGTGCAAAAATATGCCTCCATAACCTTAAAAAATTGGCTTGAAGATAAAACCCGTTGTAACATCCAGAGTTCAACTCCAATTGACTTTCTGAGTAGCAAGATCGAAAGATCTTGCGATTTTACATAAGAAATGACTCTAAAAAAAGCTTTATAATAATAAAATAAAAATTTAGAATTTTAATCTGATCGTACATTGGAATTGAATAGATTGTAATTGAAATTGAAAATTTAATTTTATATTTGATTTTGTTGTTACTGAAACCATATACAAAATTTTTATTTGACAAGACTTGATTTTACTATTAGTCAATATCCCTCTACAAGTTTTACTACGAGATGGCAGATGCGTGGTCGGTTATGTCATGCCTAGTAGCGCTGTGCACATATCACCGCTGCTTACGAAAACAATTAATTACTTTCGAAAAATAACGTAACGCAAAACAACCAATAACGTTTATCTGAAATATAGTCTTCATAGCAAATTTTTGAGTTATTGTTTTCGTAGGCAGCGGCGATGTATCTCCAGTATTATGCGCAACCGCGTGATTGTGATTTTTTTATAATTATAATTAATTAAAGCGTGGAGGATGAAAAGAGAGAAAAACACGACAAAAAAACTTCTTAAATTAAATAATCATTTGATTACCATACTTTAACTAATTATTTTCACACATTTTAAAAATTGGCTGACTTTTTTAGATATTATTCGTCAGTATATAAAAACGTATCTTGCGCGTGACCCGACCCACCACACCTCAAGGAAAATGCCTAATAGATAACCCAGGAAGCATATTTGTTGAAATTTTTAAAAAGTTTTTAAGCACACATAAGCTTACTGTTTATCATCTTTACTGAAATAGACATTTTTTATTATTTTCATTTCGCTTAATATTTTCAATGCATTACAAATACTCATATTCACATTCGATTTCCAGGTTCAAGAACTGAATACAAATGCTTTTTGGAATTATCGTACTTTCAGTGAAATAATGAATTTAGTTATAATTGATCTATTACGTGAACTCCTTTGTAATCAAAATAATTTACCAGCGCCTTTCATTCGGGATGTTCAAGAATTTATGAAGAACCTTTTTCTATCTGGTCAAACTGAATTGCAAGCAAAACAATTAAACGAATTTAATATGAAAGAGAATGGTAATCTTACGAATCCAAACGTTAATAGATTCAACACAAATGTAATGGCAAATTCTGCTTGTGTTGATATTTTAGTGTGGGCAATTTCTGATGAAACTGGTGAGTAATAAAGGATTTAATATTTACCTAAAGATTTGTATTTTTTAAAAGTCTTTTATTTTATATTCATAAGTTCACATTTATTGCACGCTTTTCTATGTCATAATTTGAACTTGAAGGCATTGCATTCTTTGCGTTGCGCTCATTGTTAGGCGTTAATCTCACTCTGCAATGCCAGAAAGTACGACTTTATCTCACAAATAGGAGGCATGAGTGAGCGCTTAGCCAAGTCCTAAAAAATTGCGAACGATACCATGCAATAAGAGACACTTTCTGTCAAGGCCATTAGGACCCTCATTTTATTTGGGTCCTAAAGTAGAAGCCATACCATAAAGTGTTAGTTGCGGCACTTTTATCGTAAATTACTATTATTCCCCCTTTGGACCTTTGGAATACCAGGATTTTAACCTTCTGTTAACGGCAAACCCCGAATTACCTACTCGGAGAGAAAAATGTTGGAATGATTTCGAAGCGCTACGCGCGGACTACTACGCTTCATGGAATATTTCCATGCGTACCTCTGGAATTTGCACGGCACACGATCTTGGGATTGACCGCGTGTGTTACCGCCGCCGCTGCTGTTACCGAAAAACGTAGCGGCACAATCATGTAGTCGCATGCACAAGCATGTAGTTGCTACGCTTTTCGGCGGCAGCAGCAGCGGCGGTAACACACGCGGTCAATCCTAAGATCTTGTGCCGTGCAAATTCCACGGGTACGCATGGAAATATTACATGAAGCGTAGTACGGAATGAGTCCATGCGTAGCGCTTCGGAATCATTCCAACATTTTTCTCTCCGAGTAGCTCAAAGCCATATTATAAGTCATAAGTGACCATAAGCGAATAATTTTTCATATTCAATTTATTGATTGAAGAAAAAAAATTAATTTCAAAGATGACCTGGTTGAAAAAATTGCGTGGTTTTCTATGTAGATTATTCACGCAGAATCCACATGAAAAAGTGCATGCATTCCATGTAAAATCAGAGTGACTTATTTTAGTAAAAATCTGCCAAGATTCCCCGATTGAAAACGGATATGAGCATGGAGTTAAGCAATAGACTAGAAACGTAAACTTAGTGTTAAGCATTGCACAAAAGCTACAAACTTATAAATTGGGTTTTTTAACAGTAAAGAATTTTGAAGAAAAAATTTAATATATTTCATATAACATTATTGTCGATACTTTTAACTAACAAAAATATCATTTCAGGAGCTGACAGTTTGTGTAGCAGATTAACTGAAAAAATATATTCTAATTACAACCACAAATTAGTCCTTGCTCACATGCCTTTACTAATGGTTTGTTTAAATGGACTTGGTAATTTGGCTAAGAAATTTCCAAATATTTCCAATACATCGATTTATAATATACGAGATTTTCTCGTAACGCCTGCACCAATACTTTTGAAATTGTACAAGCAGTATTATGGACAGTCTACAAAATACCAAAAAGGTAAATAAAATTGACTTTTGCAGATTTTATGAAGCCTTTGAAATAACTATTATGAAATAGTATAGCGAAAAATGCCTTTTGCGCACACTTTTTAGTGCTCAAAAAGCGTTTTTGAGCATATCTATAGCATATCATATTTTTTATTTATGCACTTTTCACATTCTATTGTATAAAATTTTGTATGCAACACCTGCCAAACTTTTGCTGCACAGTGTGCACAAAAGAAGTAAAAGAAGTAGTAAAAGAAGAGTGCGTGTCTGGCACTCATGTCTTGTTGTTTGCACTCGTACTGACTGACGCCAGCCCATCGTGCATACACTGTGCGCAAAAACGCATTTTGGGCACTTGTTGCATAAATAACTATTAATTTTTGTTTATACTCTGTAAGTTATATTTTATTCGACATGAATGTTACTATGTAACTGGTAAAAAGAAGATAATATTTAAAATAAGTAAATAGCAGTCAATTTATTTTATGGTTTCAGAAACCCAAGTTTCATCAAATGAATGCAAATGGACCAATGCTAAATTTGCATTTGAAATGCTGCGAGATGTTGCAGTAAAAAATTTATGTGTTGCTTTGGAAGCTGCTTATGCTGTGGATCCTGATTGTGTCCCTGCTTTGGTAGCTAGTGTTTCGAATCGACTTTTCACAGCTGAAAAAAGTGATAGGTGAATATGCAATTTATTTATTATCTTGCATCATAGTTCTTATAAAAAAACAATAAAAATATATTCTACTTTGCATATTAAGGGCCCTCTACACACACTCAGTCGATAAAAAGTACGTAATTATTTTGTACCCATTTTTTTTTTTATTCTCTGGTCAACCATTGAACTTGAAACTTCGTGGGAGTGATTATGAAACTTATAAAAATGTGCCTCTGGAGCCAGTTTTCAATTAAATGACCGTTACTTTCAAACAAACTTGATTTTCTATTATCCCCCTTTTATAACCTCAAAAGTAACGTATTCTCAAACAATTAGTTAAAATGATTTTATTAAACATTTTATTGAAAACTGGCTTCTTAAGTTTAACAAATTTGAATGAATAGAAATTGAATATATATTGACATTGATTTGTCAATAAATTTATAATTTGAATAAATTATAAATGACAATTATTATTTAGGTTTCTGACGATGTCAGTAGAAAAACACTAAAGAACGCTATTGAATATGTTATAGTGATCAAGATGAAGGAATGACTAACAATCTGATCTCAACTAACATAGTTTTCATGATGGGACATGTGGCGGTTGCTCTAAAAAATAAACCAAAATCAACTCGTCCAATTCTTCAATTCTTTCAACAGCGATTTTGTCACACACCGACCCGACCAGAGTTGGATACTTTGATAGTTGATCAACTTGGATTTATGGTGATTGCAAAAAGTGACGTTAAGGTAAATTGCACAAGTAATTCTTCACAGAAAAAAAACCTAGTTTTTTCTAGAATAGGAAACCGGATGATCATTTTTCATAGTAGTTCTATAGTTTTTGTAAAATTGGCTTTGTTTTGCAAATAAACCGAAAATAATGAAATTATCAATCAAAAATGTTAATTTATCTGTTCAAAGAGCCAATTTTACAAAAACTGATTTCACCATTGGAAAGATGAGGAAAAAATACACCAAAAACAAGTATTTGTTTATTTTTATGGAGAAAGTATAATGCGTGAAAGGTAAAGAAACGTATAGTGTAGCGAAAAAACAGGCCACGGCGCTCGAAAACAGCCGACCGCGCGCTCTTTCCCTCTTCACCGCTCGAGAAAATCGGAAAAGTATCTTTATTTAGAGTCATTTCTCATGTAAAATCGCAAGATCGCAAGAAGAAAGTCTCGTGTACACATCATACAGCGAAAATAAAAAAAAAACATTAAACCGAACAATTGATGAATTGACTTGACTTTCAAGTCTAATTCACGAGCACTGAACAATATAAGCATCAGCTATTGTGAGTAGATGGTGAGCAGCGATGCGCGTCCTATGTAGAGTATCGCGCGAGACCGAATTCGAGACACTGATTAACGGACACTTTGACTGTTGACACACGCACCCATAACTTGTCGTTCAGTGTTGCCGAGTTAGGATTCGGGTTAAAAAATTGCAATTGCCGACTACAAAATTATATAGCAGTCTTATACGTATAGTTTATGTGTGAATAAGTGTTCGGAGTGCGTCTGTATGCAGCATGTAAGTGACGAAATGCGAGGGGCTTTTAATTTTATGTAGTCTGCGATGTGTATGTGCGTGTGTTTGCGCGTGTCAACAGTCAAAATATAGTGTATCGATGCGCGTTGCTGTTGTTTGCTGATGTTTATATTGTTCAGTGCTCGGGAGTTAGACTTTAATATCGAGTCAGTTCATCAATTATTCAGTTCAGTGTTTGTATGGTTTTCGCTTTATGATTCGTTCACGTAACTTTGAAGTACGAACGTCCAAGGCCCAGTGGCGAGTCATTGTCGCAAACATACACCATCATTTTTCTACTGTATCAGGAAGAATTTCAGCTTCTCTTGAAAATATATACATTTCCTGAACCAATCAGAGCCTGTTTTAAACATATTTTGAAATGTGAAATGACTTATTTTAAAATTTTATGAGTTGATCGCGATAGTTATGATAGCTCCGATTTTGAAGGTCTTAAAGGGGTCTTGAAATCGAAAATAGTACATTTTGTAACAAGTGCGCGAAGCAGTTGGATGAGTCAACTTTCTCGCGGACTAGTTGCAAACGATATTTTTTAACCCTGCTTGCGAGAAACTAGGGGTTTCTGACGCTTTAAAGTTAGAAAACCCGTGTTTCGCGCACGCAGTGTTAAAAAAATGTATTTTATTTTCGAGTATGATTTTTTCTCCCATTTCCATAGCATTTTTTGAAATTCCACAATGTTTATTTTTTTTACTGAAGTGAAGCCATTTTCATGAACCTTTTTCATATACCTTGCGTGTTAAATATTATCTTCTTTAGCGTTTTCTGCCGTTTAACATTTTTGCAAAGTGCATCTTATTTCTTGTAGCATTCAGTACAAACCGTTGAAGTTACATCACCCGGGTTGCGTGCACTTCTTCGGAACATGAATGATTGTGGTCGTGACCTCAGGCGAGGTGGATTGAATACGTTGGTTACTCTGAACAAACACTCGAGCATAATTTTTTTTTTCAATTTACGTTTTATTTGTTATCTCAATCATAAATCTACTGATTGAGAGTGAACTAATGGTCCAATCAGCTTCCATGAAGTCTTGACCATAACCATTAAAAAAAAAAAAAATTAACGCGCAAAGTATACGAAAAAGGCTCATAAAAATGGCAGTGTATCAGGAAAAATAGATATTTCAAAATTTTAGAAAATGCTACAAAAAGGAGAGAAAAAATACTACTCGAAAATACAATAAACTATTTTTCGATTTTAAGCCCCCTCTCGTTAGAATGATCAATGTAACCAACATGGTAGGATTTCATTGCCAATTTGTTTAATTCCTCATAATTAACAACTATAAATATTTTTTAGGTGCATGAAGAAATTATGCGAATGTTTTCTCATACATTAGCATCAAATGATAACAGAAAACAATACAGGCATGTATGCGGAGCCGTTACAAATGCTTTAGCTAATATAGCTGTGTATATTGAAGGAGAAGCTGAGCTTAATAATTTACTATTAAGGTTGCTTGAACTCTTTGTTCAACTGGGTTTGGAAGACAAAAGGTCAAATGATAAAACTGCTACTAATTTAGCAAACGTAAGTATATTCTTTAATATGGTTTTAAATTTTAATTGAAATTTTTCCGTTTCCATCGATATTAATTTTTTTTATTTTATTGTCGAAAAATAATTCTTTCTCTTTTTTTATAGCATTTTTTTAATTCTAAGTAGATATTATATAAATTAATTTTTGAGGGGAATTGTTTTTTATCAATTATATGTTAATTTTTGGACACCTTTTCATAGTGGACAAATCGTTCGATCCTTCTTTCTTAAGAAATAAAAATGACTTAGATTATACATTATATTGAAAAAAACGTTTAATTAATTATAACTTTATAGAACAAACATTTTATAAAATGTTTTTTTTTAGAAATCAAATGATCACACAGGTGAATTAGGTATCCTCATACCAGTTATTGCTTTACTTTTACGACGATTACCTCCAATTCATAACCCTCGCCAGAGAGTTTTCAAACTCTTCAAAGATTTTTGGCTTTACTGTGTCATACTAGGTTTTGCTTCCGATGCTAGATCACATGTTTGGCCAACAAATTGGCACGAAGGAGTGAAATATATTGCAGTTAAATCGCCTTACCTTGTATCTCCTGATAGTAATACACGATTAGAAATGCGAGAACTTCAGTATACTTCCGCTGTTCGCAATGATTGCGTATCATTAAATGAGTTACAAGATTTAAGGAGTCAAATTCTAAAAATGAGTAATAGGTAAGAATGAATATATTTTATTCAATATCGAAATGTTAAATTATTATTTGTGAAAAAGAATCAAATTACTTCAATAGTCCACTTCCAAAGTCAAATATCTTTATTTTTTCTATTTAATTCCTTTACAGTGAAGTAAGAAAGAATAATATGGTCACGTGTAAGGTTTGCTTAAAAGAATAATGTATATAATAAGCAACGTCTAGCACTGGGCTGGCTATTGTGTTTTAATCTTCGTTCAATTCATTTTTATATCAAAAATTTAAAAATTGGAAAACCCAAAACAGGGGACGTGACGGGCACTTATAGCACTATTATTATAAATTAAAAATCATGCAATAAGAATTTCTTTTTAAATGTACTATTCTGCATAAAATTATATTAGTCTTATTTTTTTTACCGTGGAAAATACGCCTCAAATACATCTAAATATCTTAATTAATTCCGTATTTCACAATAATGGTTTATGATACACAAAAAGTGTAAAAGTTTCTGTGGGATAGAGATACTTTCGCAGTTGTTATTGTTGTTATCTGCGTAGTGCAGATCTCAACGGTGAAAGTGAGCTAGCCCGGCAAGCCGAATGTCCCCAATATATCTATGGCTTGCTGACCGTGCACTGGTGGTTGGAAAAGGCGATCGTCACGTTAACGTCCATTCTGAATGAATAACTTACGGTTTAGTTATATAATTATCCTTCATCATGTAATTTCTTATTAACTGATATTTACTATGCATAAAAACCAAAATTTATGTATTTGACCAATTCTCAAAACATATTCAAGTATCGTTTACTTTACAGGTCTAGTGAAATAGCTCCTTATGTAGCCAAACTTCAGTTTGCTCAATGCACGTACCTTCTTTCGGTATTTTGGTTAGAGACTTTGAGGGTAACCAATAGTCCAGAACCAAGTTTGGAGCCAATAATGGAATATCTCAGTGACACTGAGCTGCAGAAAGATAAAAACGGCATGTGGCAATGTATTTGCAGCATCGGGGACTCGGTATTTTCTAAATTTAAAGATGTAATGCAGCATAAACCAAAAAATGAAAAAAGAGAACTTGAACTCGAGAAACATGCAAAATTTTTATTAGTTTATTTCAACAATATTCATAAACAAATAAGAAGAGTTGCTGATAAATATTTAAGCGCATTAGTAGATGCCTTTCCTCATCTTCTGTGGAATTGTCGAGTCCTTTGGTGTATGCTCGACATTCTTCAAGTTCTATCTTTTGCACTACATTTAGATCCAAATGAAGAAACGCCGATCCTTAGAGTACCTGAAACATCCTATAATATTCAATTGATGGAAAGTTATGAAGCTAGAGAGGTAAATTTAACAAATTTTATTTTAACTGTGTCATATTTTTTTCGCAGTCCTCGATTAAATCCTCAACCCTCGTATTAATTCAATCATTGTGAAATATCTTCCCTGAGAAAAGGGTACAGTAAATTTTAAAATAATATCTAGTTACATAGTTATTAAAATCATAAAATGATTTATATATATCAATATGATAATGATTTTTCCACTATTTAATTTCCAACAGATGAGTTGTGGCTCAGATTATTCAAACGCAATTGAAAATCATGAAACAATAGAAACCTCTTAAACATATGTGTTTCATTTCTATGTATAATTTATCATAGAAAATCACATTTTCCTTGACTGAAAACAATTTAAACGAAACATTTTTTTTTCAATAAAATACACCATTGAATTCAGCGTATCTTAATCTTTTGAATAATACATGTCTTAGTTTTTTTAATGTAAACAATTTTTCTATTGATAACTAAACTTGTGTTACCCATAACGAAAATAATCATTTTTCAGTTATTTATATAAATCGATACGATCGATACGATGTGTCGATTAATAAATGAATGAAATTATCGAAAGATATTTGCTGGCAGGTTACTAACTCAATTTACCTTTATATTCAAAATGTTTGTTTAAACTCATAATTACTTCCAGAATATTATAAAAGATTTCACTGCAAGATGTAAAGGAATTGTACAAGAGGCTATGAAGTGGGCACCTCAAGCCACAAGGAGCCATTTACAGGAGTATATTAAAAAATTTCAATACTCTGGAGCCTGGCATTACGGCAACTTAGGACTGGCTACTGATTCGATTCTTGAGTTAATTGATTTATCGGGTACAACTTTGAATGCTCATCCAAGTGCAGTAAGATTATTACATTTAAATAACTAAAGATTTAGTTTAAGTTGTCATGAATAAATTGAAAGCGTTATTTATATTTATCCTAAATTTCCTCTTTTAGCTAAATATCACAGATAAACGGCCTCGATTGATGAGTTCAAGTTCTTGGTTACTCTCAATGATGACGACGCGATCATGGTACGCAGGTGAAGTTGCTGGAATGCTCAGTCATGCCCGTGCCCAGTTTCCAACTAACAATTCGAATTCTTTCGATAATCATGTGTCGGTTTCTAAACGCTTGATTGATGATATATGGAAAGCTGGTCACGAAAAAAATGATAATGATTATTATTCAGCTTTGTGGCGAGCAACTGCATTATTGATTTCAATGAAAGGTAATAGCCACATTAATCTAGAATCTAACTTTGCATCGAAGCGCCGTATATAAATTATCAAAATTTCCAATGATTTCATCCCAAATTCAAGAGGATAGCATTATTAAAATGTATCTTCGTGAATTTTTTCAGATTTTTTAAACACTTCATGTCTTCAGAATAAATATAGATAGAAAATAGACGTTTACAGGGAGAGGGGGGGGGGGCTACAATTTTGGCTACAGGACCCTTTTACTAAATACTATAACATACTAAAAGCGCGACAAGATCGATGATATACGGGCTCTCGTTTATTTCAAAAGTTTTGATCCTTACCCACATTTATATATGATGTATTTCACGCTCGACCAGACAGTGCGCTCGCGCGGGGCATTTTTTAATTTATCGCAACTTTTCTAACTCGCCATGTCTAGCACAATTATGTCTGAAAAAATATTGCGCCCATGCATTCTGATAGATTTTTGTCTGTTCTTTCCAATGGTGGTATCAGTTTTTCGAAGAAAAAAGACTTCAAAGTTAACTCAATTTTTTGGCAAGTATGCCCCCTTCGATTTTATTCGTAGACATCTCAAAAGATCAAGTTGGAGACTCAAACAGTTCAAAAGTTATGGACAATTAAGTAGCAAAAAACGTGGTTTTACGGCCGCGCGCATCTACTCTCGTTGTCTCCTGTTACCCCTTCTCCTACCTGCTGAGCGGAGAGCGGCCACGCACGGCCAGAATTCGTCCGTAAAACCACGTTTTTCGGTACTTAATTGTTCGTAACTTTTGAACTTTTTGAGTCTTCATCTTGAATTTTTTTTTAAATCTTCGCTATTAAATTACCTATCGATTGAGATATCTACGAATAAAATCGTAGGGGGCATACTTGCCGAAAAATTGAGTTAACTTTGAAGTAAATTTTCTCCATTAAAAATTAACTTTTGTTCAAAAAACTGATACCACCATTGGAAAGAACAAACAAAAATCTATCGGAATGCACGTGCGCAATATTTTTGCAGACATAATTGTGCCAGCCACGACGCGTTAGAAAAGTTGCGATACATTAAAAAATGTCCAGTGCGAGCGCACGAGCGTGGAATACGTCATATATTTTTTTGATAGTTTGCTCATTTTTATCTTAAATTATCTTTTACAGGTATTCATAGAAGCTTACTTCATACAGTAGCTTGCTCCCATGTGAAACTTTTCAGCAAACCATCAATGCTGACAGCGATCGAATGTTGGCAATGGATTTTAACAGCCCGTCCAGATATGAAACTAAGATTTTTGCAAGAAATGTTTTCTGCATGGCAGTATACTATAGATAAAAGAATTGGTATATTTTCTTCGGAACAAGAACAAATCTCACCTTTAGCTGTTACAGAAGGTTATGAACTTGGCCCTTGTGCTCCTATTGTGCAGCCACATGAAATATGGATTTCTTTTATAGTTGATATAATAGAAACTGCTAAATACTGCTGTCAAGAAACTGTTGAAATGATAGGACTTTTATTACATCGCTCTTTGCCCATGAATATAGGAGCAGTATTGGATGAATTTCATTTGAATCGACACATAGCTGCAATAGGAGCTCGATTCAAGCTTCTCTCATGCGGTCTTTATTTGTTACAGGGTGACATTATTCCTAAATCTTTGAGTAAAAATGTTTTGCGGGAACGAGTATATTGTAATAGTTTGGATTACTTTTGTTGCAACAGACAAACGCCTACTCAAGAATTAGAACAGCTAAGAGAAGATATAACGACTTTAATTAAATTTTGGCAAGTTATGCACAGTGAAAAGAAATATTTAATTATATCAAATACGGAAGAAGATTTAGAATATTTTAGAATTCCAACAACAAACTTCTTTCCTCGGGATTCATGTAATGTTTCTGTGTCTGCTGCTAATACAGAATTAATTAGACAGAATATGTCTTCGCACTGGGTAACAACAGCTCCGCCTGCTGCGAACAATAATTTTACTTACAGACGAAGTCATCGTAATAAAAGGTTCATCACAAGTAATTCTCATGTTAAAGATTATATAAGAAGGCGTAATTTAATTCTAGAATTGCTGGCTGTTGAAATAGAGTTATTATTGGTAAGTTATATATTGATTTATACATATGGCTGATTCACAGTAAAGTCGAATGACCAAGAACTTTTTTTCTTCCAACATAAAAAACTTGTCGTTTTTATGCCAAAAATGTCCTCAATTACATTGATTTTACTATGAACAAGTAACTGTCATGTCCCAAAATAAATAAAAGCAAAAATATCAGCGCGCTAAGTGTTGTTAGTGCATTTTTATTAAAAGCTGAAAAAATTCAAACAGTTACATATCTGTTACATTTAAACAAAACAAAAAAAGCCTAGGCCATGTAATTTATAAAATATAATTGTTCCAAACTGATCGGGGCAGAGTAATTTTCGATTTTTGGCAAATAATCAATGAGTACAAATGAACAAGTAAAATTTTATGAATAAAACATTACTTTTAATGCGTGAGCCAGAATGCTTCATTTTATATTAATTTTGTGAAAAATTTAGTTTTTGTACCAATCGTCGATATTCAAGTTTTGAATCCAGTCATGGGTTTGTTAAAAATGATAGTAAATTTATGAATAGGAGTGTTAGAAAATAATATTCAATGACATTCAATAATAATTAAACTATTGATAATTAGTAAGATGCTCAAAAAACGGTCGATAACAATCGATTTATTAAATAATTTTACATGGTTTTTTCACAGGTTTGGGCAAATCCTGGTGGTAGACAAGAATTATCCGTACTTGGTGAACAAAATATTGCTGAGTGGCGGGCAAAATCAATGAATGATAAATGGCGGGATTATACAAGATTAGCTTGGGAAATTAGTCCAGCACTATCAGTTTACTTACCAGTTCGACTTAAAAATACTGAAATAATTATAAATGAAGTTTGTCGACTTGTTCAACTACAACCTATTTATGTTCGACATATTCCGGATGCGCTACAATATCTTGTAACAACTGACACTCTCCTCAATGATTCTTCAAAAGTAATTATTAAAAAATATGATATTATAATAGTTTCATGAAATATTTTCACAAAAAATTCATATAAATCAAAAATATGTTTATCCAAAATATTATTGGATGATTATAAAAAAATGTGCATATTTTACGGCGTTATTTACACAGACCGTTGGCAGGCGAATTACACCTTCTAAGCGTGCGGATTTTATAAATTTTGTACATAATTTACACTACTATCATTTTCGGAAATTATTCGATGAATTATTTAAAAATTCAAATCAAAAAAAGGAACTAAATGTCATTTTCATCACGCAAAAACGTGTCCGAAAAAACTTGTCATTGTCGTCACGCATGCAATTCAGCATTATGCGTGAAATACAACGATCGATTACTATCAACTACTTAAGCATTGCATAAGTTGTACATGATAAGCAATAAAATAGTTTCACCACCACCATACCGATTTTCTACTTCTATTGTAAGTGTTTTCGAATAGAAACGTTGTTTGCTAGAATCAAAAAGTTATACATTTATACACAACTATCAATTTGGCATTGAAAGAGTTTTTTACGGTGACATTTTCAGCCTGCTCATCTGCTGTTGAGCAAGTTGTAATTTCCTCAATTTCTTCTGCTGATCGCTCTGTACTTAGAAGCATTACTAAATCTATGATCTCCGAAGCTTGGAGATCATCGAATCCTTCACCTGTAACTTCTTTAGCTAAATCAATAATGTTTTCGACGACACTTGGATATTCCAGTTCAGTTGGTTGATCAGATTAGCTCCAAGGTCCTTGAGGTAAAAATTTTTTCCAGCTACCGGTAATAATTGTTGCTTTGATCTCATTCCACGATTCGCCAATAAAATTAATCGAATCCATGATTGAAAAATTTCGCCAAAAACTTCGAACAACATTATCAGGAATAAAATTTTCACACTATCGATGAAGATTGACTTTTTGAATTATGGCATGAATAGTGCACCTTAAATAATAAGTCTTGAATGTGGCAATTATAGTCTAGTCCAACGGTTGAATTAAGGACGTTGGGTTCGCGGGTAAAAACATTATTTCAACATCTGGATGAGCTCTCTGCAGAGATTCATCGTGACTTCTGCAGTTATCCATAAGTAAAAGAACTTTAAAAGCGAGATTTTTCTTCGCAAGATATTCTCTTACTTCCGGTATGAATGATTGGTGGAACCACTCTCCAAAATTTACTTTCGTCACCCAGGCCGTTTTATTGGATTTCCAGTAGACTGGTAAATGCTCTTTTCTTTTATTTTTTAGAGCTCTTGGGGTTTCAGATCGATAAACCAGCATCAGCTTACACTTCTTATCACCAGAGCATTCACACAAAATGAGTTGTAAAGCGATCTTTTGCGACTTTGAAACCAGGAGCCTTTTGTTCTTCTTTCGTGAGCCACGTTCTACTCGGTAATCTTTTCCAAAACAAGCCTGTCTCATCACAGTTAAAAACTTGTTCAGGGCGAAATCCTTTTGCATCAATGACTTTTTAAAAATTTTACATTGTGTAGTAAATATCTTGCCTTAAACTTCGTTAACCATCCATCGCTTGCATTAAAATTATCGCGACCGCCGTATTTTGCAGAGTGATGATCGTGAAAATGCACAGCTTGACTCCTTATCGCAGCGGTAGAAACTGGAACTTTGTTATGAATAAGATCTTGAATCCAAACCACCAGCATTTCCTCAGTTTTTTCTATTAGATTTCCTCGCGCAATTTTAGAAAATTGAGCATGCTATCCCAATATTTCGGCACTGCTTCTAATTTTTTCTTCATTGTTTCTTATAGTTCGAATAGTCGACTCATTGACCTCAAAGCGCCTAGCAATAGCAGCAATACACTCCCCTTCTCTGATTAAATTTAGAATTTTCAATTTTTGAGCTAGATTCATAAATTTTCTTTTTTTTTTTGGAGTTTTAGAAATTTTCGGAGTATTTGGAGCCATTGTCAAATTTTTCAAAAGGTTACAAAAAAAATTTTCGACCGTCTTGAACCGCGTATAACGAGACATCGTCGCATTTGTCAATCCGCGTATAAGGGTAAACCGCGTATACAGAATCCGCGTATAAAGAGGTATGCCTGTACATGTAAAATTAACAGTTTTTCCTGAACATACAACTTCAGAAACGAAAAATTAATTCGGTGGCAGTGAACCTTTTTCTTTGCTCGTAATATCTAACTCGTAGAATGTCTATAATAGGTAATAAATTGGTAAATCGTTGCACTTCATGCGGGAAGACATGCCACAACAGTCGAGACTAACCTTTTTAACCTTGTGGACATAACGAAAAAGTTCAGTTCTCCAAATTATTAATGGAGGAAAATCTTTAAAAATGAGCTTCCATAATTTCCATATCGCTGCTGCGTATGTCGATGTTAGAGCTTCTGTCAAAGCCGCATTACTAAAATATTAGTAAACTTAATTAGGGGGTTCGTAAAATCAACGAACCATGGTGCTAGTAATTTCTACTCATGGAAATCAGTAACTTAAACACTCTTTTTTCTCTGCGTGATTCAAAAATTCAACTCAGAATCTACCACAGAGTTAAAAACTTCAAATTTTAGTTGAAATTTAATTTCAAAATTAGTTTTGTTTTGCAGAAATACTATCAACTATTTCAAAATTTTTTCTATTAGAAAGCATAATTTTTACCTTGTGATCGTACAGAATTTTTAAAGAACAATTATCGTACTCTGAGTCAGCCCTCAGTTATCTTCGAAGATTGGTTGCTGCCTTTTATGTCTACAACTACTAGTAACTTTCAAATGCACTTCAATTGTGTTTCAAGTTGCTATTTTGCCCATATATTTCACTTTAACTTATTTTGACTCGAGTCTAAAGTAACTCGACCAATTAGGAGCTGTTTAAATTGACCCTAATTTCCGATGCATCACTGTTGTTTAAAGTATAAAATATGTAGAATATCTTTTTAATTTATAACTGAAAAAAGTGTTATGAATGATCGATTCGCGACACTATTTACCGGAAATGCCAGCCTCTGGTAAATTAGGTTCACTAACATGATATTTTGTCCGAAGAGAGCTCGCGATTAAGCAATGAGGATAGTAAATTATTCAACTCAGATTTACTTTTTTCCTTTAGTTATTCTTATACAACTTAAATTAAATGTTTTAATTAAAATAATTATTTTGCAGCTTGTTTTCATGCTTACTTGGACAGAAGTATCACCAATTCACGCCTTAGCTTATTTTTCCAGACAATTTCCACACCATCCAATTTCAGCTCAGTATTCAGTTAATGTTCTTGAGAGCTATTCCGCCGAAGTATTACTATTTTATATTCCACAATTAGTTCAATCAGTACGCCATGACTTCATGGGTTACGTTACAGAACTCTTAAAAATGATTGCAAAAAGATCACAAGTATACAAATTTATTTGTTAAATTTAATTATTTTAAACAGTATGATTTTAATTTTTTTTTTAATTTTACAGATTGTTGCTCATCAATTAATTTGGAACATGCATACTAATATGTATATGGATGAAGATAAGCAAGTTAAAGATCCTAATTTATACGATCAATTAGATACTATTGTAAAAAATATTTTAAACAACTTATCAGGCACTGCAAAAATATTTTATGAAAAAGAATTTGAATTTTTTGAAAAAATAACAAACATATCCGGAGAAATTAGAGTGTTCCCCAAGGGTCATGAAAGAAAACAGGCTTGTTTGAATGCTTTGAAAAAAATAGAAGTTCAACCAGGATGCTATTTACCATCGAATCCTGAGGCAATGGTACTCGATATAGATTATAATAGTGGAACGCCAATGCAAAGTGCGGCTAAAGCACCATTTTTAGCTAGATTTAAAGTGAAGAGATACGGAATAAAAGAACTAGAAAATGCAGCAATGATTGTCTCTGCGAGTAGTAATACAAATATTGATAATTCTCAGCAAGATTATTGGCAAGCTGCAATTTTCAAAGTTGGAGATGATGTTAGACAAGATATGTTAGCTTTGCAAGTTATTTCTATTTTTAAACACGTATTTCAAAAAGTTGGATTAAATTTGTATCTCTACCCATATCGAGTTGTTGCAACTGCGCCGGGTGTAAGTTAAACTTTTTATTTCTTAAATTTAATTTATCGCAAAACCATAGTTATCTCGGTTACCATAAGAAAACCTTCGCATTTCTTACAAAATATTCATGAGATTATCGTTCATTCAGTTTTACCGTTTTCTAAGTTTATCGTTTTCTCTTTTAAAAAGCTCCTATGTTTATTTGTTTTTATATATTGGAAAAATATACGCTTTGGATTTGAAAATATTCATCAAATCGTCTGTAGAAACTATCAAATTTACCATAAAGACGAAAATATGACGCGCAAAATTATCGATGGAATTATATGTTCAGTTTAGAAGACGGGTTTAACCTTTTGTGAAAATTACGAAGACTATTGAATTTTAAATTTTTGTTGAAAAATTATATAAAATTTTATGTCAGGAGAATTCTGAAAGTATTAATAGTAGTTTACGATACAAGTGCCATAAGTAATACTTGTTGACACGGCGTAGTTTAGGGCACAAGAGCAGCGAGGGTCCTAATAGTTGGGCCGAAAAGTGTCCCCATGGCACGAGTATCGTACATCATTTTATAGCACTGAGCTAAGTTCACATTTATGCCCCCTTTTCCGAGTTACAAGTCGTACATTCTGGTATCGCGGAGTGAGGTTAGCGCACGAGCGCACCGAGTGTGACAGGCGCGACGCGGTGCCAGAATGTGCGACTTATACCACCGAAAAGTGGGCCTTAAATGTGAACTTAAGACACGCAGTGCTTTAAATGTGAACTTATGCCACGTAGTGCTATAAATTTTATTCTTCTTATTATTAATATGAAAATAAAGATTTTAAATTCATTGATGATTCATAATTAATGAGTACTAAGTATTTGTTGTTTGTTTTTTTTTTAATTATAAATGTTTTTCTAGTGTGGCGTTATTGAATGCGTTCCTAATGCAAAATCTCGAGATCAGTTAGGAAGGCAAACAGATTATGGAATGTATGAATACTTTGCTTCAATTTATGGCGATGAAACTTCAAAAGCATTCCAAAAAATTCGACGTAACTTCGTAAAATCGATGGCTGCTTACAGTGTTATAACTTATTTGCTGCAAATCAAAGATCGACATAATGGTAATATAATGATTGACGAAGAAGGTCACATCATCCATATCGATTTCGGCTTCATGTTTGAAAGCTCACCTGGAGGTAATTTGGGTTTTGAACCCGATATAAAGCTTACAGATGAAATGGTTTTAGTAATGGGTGGTAAAATGGAAGCAGCCCCATTCCGCTGGTTTATGGAACTATGCGTGCAAGCTTTCCTTGCTATCAGGTAATATTATAAATTAATGTGTGCAGTTCTTATTACTATGATTGATGCTTTTGATCCATCTGTTTTCGCAGTCAATACTTAATTTGTCGGGGATTTTTCTTCTGACTCGTTCATTTAAGCTTTTAAGACGGGAAAATTTGAAGAATTTTATATGTAAGCCCTTTTTTCTCAAGTGACCATTTTATAGTCAATTAGTTTTGAACTAAAAAGTAGTCTAAACTAAAAGTCTTAACTAGATGTTTCAAGTTTAATACGCAAAAAATCCCCGTATAAAGTTCGGCTGTGATGTGTTCATTTGAGAAAAAATGGCTTTATAGAAATCATGAGTCGGGAAATTTCCTGAGCTGTCCTAGTTAGTGATCTGTTACCCAACATTATTGTACAAAATTGCTGAATTTTCAACTAAACTAATTTTTACAATGTAATATAGAAATGGAAATTTCCTCAGATTTCCAGTGGGGGCATCAAATTTTCCGACCCGTTCCATTTTCACCAGGGAAAAGTGTCGTCGAACATTTAAAACTCAATATCTCGAAAAATGAAATTTCATGCTTTTATAAAAATAATGTTTCGTCGAAAATTCAGAATTAATCTGAATTTTCGTAATTCAATTTGTAAGGGGTTTGATAAAATAAAACACGCGTTTTTAAGAGGAAAAAATGTACAAAAAACCTCTCTTTATTAAAATCGATTGAAATTGAATGGATGGATTCGATGTGATCGTGATGGTAGCCAAAGCTAGACTGACTGATGTGCAGCTCAGAGCCGCCGAACGACAGTATCTTAACGACACTGGGAATCACGCACATACATGGCCGTGAGATGAAAGGTGTTAGCGCGCGTACAGTACACGTTACGACGCGAGAAACAAGTCAAAAGCAACAAAGTCGCGTGCCGGCCGGCGTGTCGAATTTCATGCGTAGATCTTTATGCTAGGTACTTCAATAACGCGAAAACAAAATACGCGCGTCTCACTAGCTGTTGCTATTGCCATGTATGTGTATGTGTTTTGTATATGCTCGGTGAGAACTGAACAAATAAAGCTATGGTTTTGTTACTATTTTTCCTCAGCTTTTTCATTATGTAGTAATAAATACTCTCAATAACGATATTTAAAGAAGTAATAATAAATTCTTATCTGTACAAATAAATCTAAAAAAATTAAAGTATTTATGCGATGCAACGATGTTTTCAAATAATTATTACTATGAGAATTTATTAAAAGTAATCAAGCTAATAATTTTATTAATTGATGTTTCAGGCCTTACCAAGATGCCATTGTATCGTTGGTATCGTTAATGTTAGATACGGGCTTGCCTTGCTTCCGTGGTCAAACTATAAAATTATTACGAAGTCGTTTTGCACCTACATCTACAGATAAGGAAGCTGCAGCGTTCATGATAAACGTAATTAGGAATAGTTACCTGAACTTCAGAACGAAGACTTACGATATGATTCAGTACTACCAAAATCAAATTCCATATTAATACGAGAAAGTTATTAAAGTGGAAAACTTGTTGTACATCCAAAACAAAATGTTCTCCCAAAATGTTCTTATAATGGAACTATATATATACGTTATGTGTTAAATATTATATGTTACGAGTTATTTGTTGTTAAACAAAGTTATGTATTAAAAATACACTCTCTTATCGTGAATATGATTTCTTCTACCTTTTGCACATTTAAAATGAGATGAGCATAATTATAAGCATTTTTTTCATTTCCAACTTTGCTTTTTTACGTTGCATGACTACATTATATTTAGCGAAATCTTAATAAGTCAATAAATTACATCCTGTAAAGTGCACATTTTTCTTCTAACTTTACAATTTTTCGAATAATTTTAAAGCGATGTAATACATAATAAAAATTGATGTGATAAAATGATCAATTCATGCTTTAAAGGGCTTCAATTAAGGACTAAAATTCATTAGGTAATCAGCCTAGACAAGTTTTATTCTATGATAATTTCTAAGATTCAATTTGGAATTATCGCGACAATTTTCATCATAGTTTTACATGAGATTTTCAAGTTCCATACAGATTTTGCTACTATTTATGTACTGAAGGGAAATAATATTATTTACACTAATTTATACGAGTTCGGAATTGAAGATGTGATACATTTAACTAAACCATTGTTTTGATTGTATGGTCAGTAACATTAAATGTTTATTTTAATCAAATGGATTTTACGATCCTTCTGTTAACCCATTGACGGCGGGATAGACGTTTTTTAATTCAGTCTTTTGTAAAATATTTTTATCTTTCAGAATTTTCCTAAGAACTATGATGTTCATGTTTTTGGTGTAGAATTAAATTCTCCTTCAGTCTGGACGTGGAATCGAGCTTGAAGTTGAAGTTAGAGAGTAATACGCACATACAAATAACATGAATTTACAGTCAAAATTTGATAACAGAATTAACAGAAGCAACATCTCTAATCAATATGAGCTTCAAAAATGAATGAAAGAACTGGATAAATGAATTTCATATATTTTTGCTCAGAAACAATGATAAAATGAGTAAAGCTAAGTGTTGGTAATACAGTACAGAAAGTAGAAGGGACTCCTCTTAAACATCTTTTCGGTAGAAAAAAAATTAATTTTGAGGAGTTCTTGGCTTCGTCTTAGCCGCTAATCAAACGTTCCAAGAGATTTTGCTGTTGTTAGCAACCTAGGGGATTAATATACATATTAAAATCGTGCTTTTTCAATAATTGTTTTTTTTTTTCACATTACTCAACCATAAGATGCTATGTTAAGAAAGCTCATAAAGTTCCAACTTTGAAAAGAAATATCTCCGGCTTTTGCCAAATTTCCGGCAAAAGTATACCCATCATGAGGTTCGGCATGATTTCCTCTTTAAGAAAAATCCATTCTCTTGGCCTAAATTTAGGGCAAAGGAGCCTCCTTACTAGACTTATCGTGAATATCGATAATTTTAACCCAATAAGAGGTTTAGTTGCAAATTTACAAAAAGAGACTATAATCGAAAATGAAATAATTCGGTAACATTTTGTGCGAAAATTGATTGTTCTTACTGATATCCACAATGTTAGGTCGGTACAAGACTATGAGTACTTATGAATGCACGTCCTAATATTTTTGCAAAATAATGAATAGGGTATCTGCATGAAAAAAAAATCATTGAAATAATTACGTTATAGTGAAATATACGTATCAAGAAATGTGGGAGTAAAAAAATTTTGAACAGTCAGGTAATTTTTAATACGAGAATAAAAATCAAAAAAATTTGAAAATTATTTTGAACTCCACAAACGATTTTGATTGGTCCGCATAACTGTGACGTCATACTTATAACGTAAGTCGGCTGCTGCATGTAATTTGTATACCTGTATATATGCGTTTACTGATAAGTATTACATTACGGTCCGCTTCGAGCGCTTTTGGCCTCTTGAAAAGTTGTATTTTTTGAAACGATAAATTTTTACCCTTATAAAAATTTCCTATAGGATCTTGCGAAATTCCTACAAGAGTCCTATAGGATTCCAATAGGAATTTCGCGGGATCCTATTGGAAATTTTTATCAGGGTAAGTGAAAACGCAATGAAAAATTAAAAAAAAATATTCATTGATAATTCATATATGTTGATTTTAAAAATATCATTACTTTTTTTAAATGCAAATACCCTATTTACTTAAAAAAAACTGAAAGTAATCAAAATCTAAGTTATTTTTACAAATGATTCTTAGAATCAAATTGCTCGTGATTGTTTTTCGCGTTGACTGTTGACGAAAACTTTTTTGTGCCTCGCAGTCGCTTCAGTGGCGTGCCTTATGATGTATTCCACGCTCTACCAGAAAGTGCGCTCGCATTTTTTAATGAATCGCAACTTTTCTAACTCGCCGCGGTTGGCGCAATTATGTCTGAAAAAATATTGCGCACATGCATTCCGATAGATTTTTGTCTCTTCTTTCCAATGGTGATATCAGTTTTTCAAAAAAAGTTAATTTTCAGCGAGAAAATTGACTTCAAAGTTAACTGAATTTTTCGGCAAGTATGCCCCTTTCGATTTTATTCGTAGATATCTCAATCGATAGGTAATCTAATAACGAAAGTCTGTATAAAATTTCAAGTTGGAGATTCAAACGGTTCAAAAGTTATGAACAATTAAATAGCAAAAAATGTGGTTTTCGGACGAATTCTGGCCGTGTGCGTTTATTCTCGTCGACTCATGTTACCTCCCCTCCTACCGGCTGAGCGGAGAGCAGCCGCGCGCGGCCGGAATTTGTCCGAAAACCAAGTTTTTTACTAATAGATAATTTTTATTATTATTGATAATGACTACTTATATTGAATTTGATGCAGTTATAACAAAAATAATTTTTATTTATACTTAGACGCTTTCACGTAAAATGACAATATTGATTAATTTAAAACATTTTTTTAGCGAGAAATCATAACATTTATCAACAAAATATCACTTGAGTGGAATTATAGGGAGTAAAATTGAAAAATTTTCTAATTGTACAAGGTTCATCAATCATCTAAGGTTATAATTTCAACAGTTTCTTTTTTCGAATCCTCAATTTCAGAATTATTTGGAATATTATCTGGAGGTTGGAAAGTGCTATTTGCATTTTGAGTATTTCTTATTTGTTGAAGTTCAATCGAAACATTATTTTCTTCTTTTACAATTGTATTTTCACGACTAAATGCATTTTTATCAGCACTTACTAATTTTTTGTCTTGCTTCAAATTTAAGCTTCCTAAGCTTTCAGCTGTAATGTTCTTGTCAATGAATGAATCAAATCCTTGATTGACTGAATATATAGAATTCAAATTCTTAGCAGAATAAATATGAGGTGCCACTAGATTTTCTTCAGTATTAATCATTAATTTATCAACTTGAGAATTATTGATTGAATGTACATTTTCCAAAGAATGGGGAAAATTTTCTGCAAAAAATGTTGATCTATAATTCGAAATAGAGTTTTGATTTGGTGGGCACGCTTGTTGATAATCTCGATTCATGTATTTTACATCAGAAGCAGAATACTGATTGTAAATTGAAGCTTTTTCATCGAATGCATAATTTTGAGAATTATAAGATAGAGGCAACGGAACTGTAGAGCTTTCCTAAAAATAAATTATGTAATAGAATTTTTTCGCAATTAATATTATTATTATGATAATTACTGAGTTGTGATGTTTTACCAGGTAATATTTATGAAAATCAATATCCTTCGACATTGTATTATTATGACTCATAAGTTTATTATTTCTTAGCAGTGTGCGACAATACTCTCGAGCATTTTCAAAAGTGCCATTCGAACTAATAAATAGCTGATATGCTTCTTCGAGCAACTTGCGCACTTTTTGATATTCTGATTTTTCGTACTCTTGAATATTTTTCAAAATTTGTTCAGTTTGATAAATATCCAATAAAATTTGGTTCTTTTCTTCGTGTAAATTTTTCATTAATGAATAGCTAAGATTTTCAGGACTAGATCTGATTTGTAGCGATTTGAGTTTTGTACGCAAACATTGTTGAGCTAGTGTTAAAGCTTGAAAAGCCAATTGTTGCCTTTCTCCGTCTTTAATGTATTTTCTGAAAGTAATAATTAATAATTTTCATTAAATTAAATTATATTAAAAAAATATGAGAAATAATCTCGAACATAGAGTAACGAATGAATAACGCAAAAAAGCTCAAATCTCTTCTCCGTATAAGAATGTCAACAAAAACTGTGTTCACATATCATATTTTACGATACTGAGATTACTTAAATATACATTTGAAAAAAATTGATGTTCCCTCAAGGCATTTGACTCTAAATTATTAGTATTTCTGTAGCCGTATGAATGTGAAATGATATTTTTATTTTCAAAATTATAAAAATACTAAAAATTGAATCATCTTACTTGTCAGCTTCCGGATTTTTTTGTAATTGGACAAATAAGTCCATTAAAATTTTATTATCATTACTCTCTTTCAGTACCTCCATAAGTAAAATTATACACCTTGACATATGAGAAGGAAAACTGCCAGGTCTATCGATGTCACCAACAGGGTTTCTCCATATTCCCTAAAAAAAAAGTTCTAAATAAAATAATATTTTATCAAGAAAATAAATAATAACAAAAGTAAAAACAAACATTGAAAAAATTGGAGCTTTTACGCTCTGCAAATAGTCCATTAATAGTTTTGTTAGGATGAAATTGACACTCGTATGTGTTGAGTAATAGTTTTTTACTTGTTTGCATATTTTTTTTTGATTTACTATTGAAATAAAAGAAAGCAAGTCTGTAAATTGATTTGTAATGTTCTGGAAATCTTAATGCACACATTTCTAAACCTTTCAAACACCCATCAACAATTTTATCAATTTCAATTTTATTCAAATAATCATCTGAAACATTCAAAAATATGGAAATTCATGAAAATTTAACCTTTATTACATGTCACTTACATTTTCTTTCCTTAAAACTATTCAAAATAATTTTTTTAAAGTATAGTAAAAAAAATTTTACCTTCGATTTCTATCATCTTTTGATCTTTACTAAGCTCAATTGTGTTATCACTAGAACCTGATGAGTTAGATAATATACTGCTAGAACTGTTATCACCACTATTATCTGGACTATAAACTTGATTAATTTTGTTATTTTCTCCATCCGCACACTTATTAAGAGTTTCTTCAATTTCAAACTCAGTATATGTTTTATTATTGCAATTGGAACTTTGATGAGAATCTAAATTTAATGATCCCTGAAAAAAATAGATTTAAAATAATCCATTTGAAAAAATTGGGGGAATCAGTGCGGAATCTGGGTAGATAATCTACATAGAAATCCACGCAATTTTGTTCAACTCGGAAATTATCGGAACCTTTTCATATAAGAAAACGAACTAATTAAAACCAAAAATTTCTTAAAAACTTGGTAAAATATTCGAACTATTATTCAATAGTCACACATTTTTTGATAACATTATGATAATTGGTCAAGATATGCGGATACTAAATAGTATTTTTGGGAATCTAAAAGTTAAACTAATAATAGCAATTTTACTCTTTATAAAATGACTAGCAAAATTTGAAGTTAAAAAAGATTAGAAATTATTTTAAAAATAATTTGTTCGTACCTCATTACAAACTTTATCCAGAACATCGTTCAAAAGTAAATGTATTTCATCTGAATCTGTCTTTGCCAACTTAATTTTTTTGGACTTTGATGACTGATCTTGATTCTGTGATTTTCGTTTATTTTTCGGAATCGTCGTTCTATTTACAAAAGAATATTCTTCAAAATTACCAAGTCTGGCACATACACGTATAGCATTTTCGAATAAAATTCCATTACTCTTTTTAATAGGTTTCGTATCATTTTCTTCTATAAACTTTAATATGCTTGCATAAATCCTATAATTTATTTCCAAAGCTTCAACAGCATTATTTTGAGGATTTTTATGACTTATGCGTTGTGGATATTCGGCATTATTAATTCGTAATAACTCATGGGCCTGAAATTGAAAAAGGAAATAAGTAGTAAAAATTTTAAGGTTAAAGTGTCGTAAACATTGGATTTTGTGGACATGGTACTATTTTATGGTAATATGTACCATGACAAGCGCGTTGCGCTGTCATCGCTCTCTCTCTCTCTCTCTCTCTCTCTCTCGTTCAGCACACATTAGTTGTGATACACGTAACCTTATGTTTTTTCTACGCAGCATTCGCAGCGATACGCGTGTGCTTATACAGGGTGTCCCAAAAGTATGGAAACCTCTGAAAAGCGGCCAAAATAAGCGGGGAAAAAAATCGATAACCCTATATTCGACTTATTTTTTCGCGGGGAATCCAATGGCGACCTCGGATTTGACCTAGAACATAACCTAAAAGCTGCAGCAACTCAAAGTCGAGTTTTTACACGGCAACCCCAATTTTTTATTTCAGATTTGAAAAGAGCAAAAAATTTTACGTTTGAATAGGCACGTATGTTTTTTTTTCCAATATTATTTTTGGGGCGCTACAGTTAGAAAATGAAGTTCTTCTGAGCTCAATTTTAGGTTGAATCGGGGTTTTATTTGAGCCTGTAGCGCTCTTAAAATTATCTTTTAAAAAGAAAAACAAAACATACGTTTTGACGTGAAATTTTCCGCTCTTTTCAAATCTGCAATAAAAAATGGGGGTTACATTTGAAAAATCGATTTGAGTCGCTGCAGTTTTCAGGTTATGTTCAAGGTCAAATCCGAGGTCACCATTGGATTCCTCGTAAAAAAGTACGTCGGATATGGAGTTATCGATTTTTTTTCCCGCTTATTTTGGCCGCTCTTCAAAGGTTTCCATACTTTTGGGACACCCTGTATAAGTGTGTGTGTGTGAGAGTATCCGCGTGTCAGCACACGCGACGTCCCCCTCCCTTTTTACAGAGCAAGGCCTACAAATAGATCACGTGACCAATTAACACGACTTGCGAGCCGCATGGAGCGTGAGCGCAACGATACTCTGCGACCGCGTGATAGGTCAATTCGAGTGCATAGCTCCGAAATTAATTGTATATTCGCGAAAAATTCGTTTGCACAGCGGAACGTCACAAGTGCGTGGGGCGTGATATACATACTTCAAACGAGCGTGTAATTCGAAACGACTTGATTGAGAAACGACCTGAGTTAATATTGTGAGTCGGTATCTCCGTTTCTTCTGTTGTGTGAATTAAACTCACGTCATTTTTGTTTCTTCATTTTCGCGAACTGAGCGTATAAGCAGCAGCCCATACAAACGAGAGAGTCAAACCAGTCACGACGGCTATAAGCGATATGCGACGACCAATACAAAACCTGTGAGTACCAATCAAATACTCTAGCCCTCTTCTGCGTGTGCAATTGCATCTATTCGAGAGCTTCTATCTCGAGATGAAAAATCGTCAAGTATAAAAACTTAAATTTTTTGGAAAATGTTTTTTATTGTTTTTTACTTATCACATTTATATACTTTGCGATTCTCAGGATAGAAGCATTTAAACAAAAAAATACCAAGAAAAAAGCGTGTTAAAAGTCATAAAACACACGTGAATTTTTTCAATATTTCATAAAAATTGTACGACATTCAATTTCGATTTATTTTTAATTGCGGTTTGAATTAAAAATAGGTTTTTAGACCCAGCAACGTATTCATTTAAGTGTTTATATCTGGGGAGCTCGAATTCTTTCGAAAAACCGCCGGTAAAATAGGGCATCCTGGAATTTTTTCAAAATACATTATTCGAAGGTTTTGTTTTTTTATTTAAATAATAAAAAATATTGCTTGAGATTTGACTACAATGATAATAAGTATAATGAAAATTAACGTGAATTCCGGAATTTAAGCACAACATTCTAATTTTTTGTTTTTTATTAAATTTTGTTGCACACAGAGACGATCAAAGTTTTCGTTTTCGTTCCTTGAAATATGAACAGAATGAGATGATCTTATTCAAATTTTAATTTAGCTATTCATACTTTTAAAATAATCGAGCGCTGGGGGTCCTCGAATTTGGGCCCACAATTAGTATTTATTCGCATCACACTCGCATGCGCTCGTGCGCTATCCTCACTTCGCGCTGCCAGAGAGTGCGACTCATGACTCGAAAAAAGGGAAATAAATGTGAACACAGCTCTATAAAATTTTGTACGATACTCGTACCATGGAGATACTTTTTGGCACTTGTATCATTTAAGTACTATAATATTATGTAAGATCAAGCAATCTTCTACTGAATTTAAAAATTTTTAACTGTGTTCTTTCAATGTAATGATCTGAAAATATTATTAAGGAATTTATATCATGTAAACTTACCATTATATAATGTTCCAGATATGTCTTTGGTTCTTCTTTATTTTTTTCAGCAACTTTTCCTAGCATGTATTGATACAACCACCTTTCATCTTGAAAGTCATCTGAATCACTACTTTTACTATAAATATTTTGAGCTTTTATGAAACATCGTTTCGCTTCCTTAAGCATATTTTCTTTTCGTGATTCATAAGTTTCAAATTTGTTTATATCTAGAGAATCACTTTCTTGTTTTAACAATCGTGAACAAAAAGAATGTACAGAATAGAGAAAAGTTCCGAATTCAGCCCATATAGTTAAATTCGATGGGGATAAATCAGTTGCATGAAAAAAGCTTCTTTCTGCCATTACAGCTTTTTTTAAATAAACATCTTCATTTCTGAAAAAATTAAAATTTTTATAAAAAATAACAATGCATAATTACTTCTAAACATTTTTCTCTATTTTTACGATGAAATTATATAATTTATAAAAAAAAATAGAAAAGTGACTTGTTTTTGATCTTTTTAACAATCATAACAATTACAAAACATTCTAATTCAAAATATTTATGACAAATTTTTAACTAGAGACCAATGAGGTCAATCGTGAAAGAAAAATTGATGTCACAATGAGGTGTAGCGATAGCGACTATAAATATAGATATACAAACAGTCTAAAGTAATAGCCGGATTCTTTCACGATCGGGATCACTGCTAGAGACTCAGAGAGTTTAAAGTTTAGAACAAAATAACTAAATAAACTTAATCAACTATTATCATCGAGTTCATGGGAAAATTTGAACTACGAAATAATACTTAATACTTGTAGGACCCTCAAAGCGCTCAGGCCTTAAACTAAACCGTGCCAAAAAACGTTACTTTTGGCACTTGTATCGTAATTATTACTAATTACAATTACGATTCGAATTAGTAATAATTATGATACAAGTGCCATAAGTAACACTTTTTGGCACGGTGTAGTTTAGGGCCCGAGCGCAGCGAGGGTCCTAATAGCTGGGCCGAAAAGTGTCCCCATGGCACGAGTATCGTACAACATTTTATAGCACTGTGCTAAGTTAACATTTATGCCCCCTTTTCCGAGCCATGAGTCGCGCTTTCTGGTAGCGCGAAGTGAGGTTAGCGCACGAGCGTATGCGAGTGTGATGCGAACGCAGCGGTGCCAGAATGTGCGACTTATGCCACCGAAAAGCGTGCCATAAATGTGAACTTATGCCACGCAGTGCTGCAATAGTAATTTTTACTAGCGTACGCTCGTGCGCTAACATTACTTCGCACTACCAGAAAGTGCGACTCATGGCTCGGAAAACAGTGTTACTTATACCACTAGTATCGTAAAGTACTATTATGATATTGTGATAAGTTCACATTTATGCCCCTTTTTTCAAGCAATGAATCGCACTTTCTGGTAGCGCGAAGTGAGGTTAGCGCACGAGCGTAGCAAGTGTGATGTGAAAAACGCAGGGCAAAAAAGTGTGATTCATGCCTATGAATAGCATGCAGTTAATGTGAACTTATGCCACACAGTGTTACAAAGTACTATATTGTAGAATAAAATGAACAAATTCAATCAAACTTACAAACACGGCTGAAAATTATTTATCCAATGTTCTAAAAGAGTAGAGATTGACATAGCTAATCCAGCCCATGAATTAGGTTCATTAGGATGAATACATAAATCAAGGATGTAATACTTGATGGCAGGAATCCAATTTTGATTTGAAGATGTCTTAAAGTAATAATCCGCTATCAAATAATACATGTATGTTATCCGATCCAAACATATTTCATTTATTTGTGGCAAGTTGTCTGAAGAACCTTCTAGATAAGACTTCATTTGATCTTCTGAATCTTTAGGGTTAGATTTAGATGGTAAATATTCACACATTTTTTGAAATAGTACTGCTGTATCAGAACTTATAGAATCAGAACGTTTAGAATGGAAGTCAGGCCAATTTTCTGGTTTATAAAATTCAAATAACAATTGACATGCTTCCCACGAGAAATCTTGATGATTTTTAACATGATCTGTAAGATATTTTTGTTTCGAACGGCTGTTCGGTGATCTATGTCTATGCCCATATAAGCAATAAAATATTTGCTCCACGGGTTGTTTAAGGTTTGATTTTAACGATGAGAACAATGGAGAGTTGTATTTAGGAATTATGGTTCGTAGTATGAATTTCAGTAATTTTCCATCGTTAATACAACATTTACCGTAGTGTCCCAATAATTCGTGGGCTTTAAATAATATTTGTATTGATGCTGGTAAACATATGTCAATATCAACATTACGATAAGAGCTAGATTTTCTATTAGAATGATCAATTAACTTTCGATTTTTTTTGTCTTCGTCACTAGAATTTAAAAATATTTAAAACATTGTAAGTTATATTAGATAATTATAAATTATAGTAAAAGTATCAAACCTTTGTAATATGAAATGTACTAGTATCCAAGGTAATGTTGATTCTTTAAGCTCTGACCCCAATTCTTCTTGATATAATTGATAACTTATGAGTTGAATTAAATTTTGCATTAAACGACGACGTTGCATTTTTTCCATATAACTCACTTGACAAAAAAAAAGTAAATCAAATTATTTTTCATGTCATGCATCATCATATTTATTTTTATTTTTATTGGGGTTGGTATCGCAATTAATGTGCTTGTGCGCTAACCTCATTTTACGTCGCCAAAAATGGGGCTTAAGTCTGTCTCGAAAAAGAGAATTAAATGTGAACTAAACATATAGTGATATAATGGTAATTTACTGTACTCTAAGCTAAAAATCGCAAATTTTCCGTTAGTTTTAGATTCTTGTGTTATAAATATTGTACGCAACTTGTGTAGATAAGTTTTTTCAGCAAAACTCGTAATAGCACAGCAAAAGGCTCATTTTTGGCGATTTTTAGGTTTTGAGCGCTATCCTCTTTTAAAATAATAATTCCTCTTTTAAAAAAATGATGGAGCAGAACGTGAAGCCATTTTATACCGCCTCTGATTAGTCGACTGACTTTAGACTTGAATCGAAATTAAACTAAGTAATATCTACAGTCAAAATATCAATTATTTTAAATGGCAACTGAAAAATTGATGAGCTAGAAGCGCGTCTGAAAGTTACTAGTCATATTATTATGTGATATGGGAACATATGTAATATTTTTACACTTGAGTTGTTCAAAATTAAAAAGTATTATTTTACTTACCGATAAAACAAGACCGCTCCAGTATACAATTGTTCAATTTTTCAAGAGAACTTAAAATAACTTTTATCCACATTTGAATTTGATGCTCCCCATTTATATTGCATGATGACTTAGTTGTTAGCTTCATATACTTGTGCCATGATTCATTGAAGATTTTTTCAGACCAACGGCAACAATCCTACAAATAATTTCGAAGATTTTCATCATGCTATTTGACACTATTGACTTAAACTTAACAAAATTGAAGTATAATGCTGAAATTAATTAACACTAAAACTCGAAAGTTCTCATAACATTTTAAAATTTTTAATATTCAGTGGTTGAGGCATTTGATTTTGCTGCACTAGCGAATAATTACACAGCCACACGGAAAAAAAATATTCAAATCCACCGACTGGATCTAGTGGATTTTATGTTTATGGGGTCGCTGAATCCGAATCCGGGGTCGGTTTTTCAAGGTTGGCTCATTTTAGGGGTCATTTGAAGGTCAAATAATGGGAATGTGGTAAAAAATCTGAAAAAATTCAGACATGGAATTTTGAGCGTGCTGAATCCAAATCCGAGGTCGGATGACCTTCAGGAGGTCACCTTCAAGGTCATTTGAAGGTCAAACTACGAGGAATTTAATAAAAATATCCGAAAAAATCACACTTATGTTTTGAGGGTCGCTCAATCTGAATCAGAGGTCATTTTGACAGTGTCCGACCATATAAAGGTCATTTTAAGGTCAAATTATTAAAAAAGCTTAAAAAATCCAGAAAATTCTCATCTATAGGTTTTCGAGGATGCTGAATTCAAATATACAGTCAGATGACCTCTATGAAGTCACCTTCAAGGTCATCCCAATGAAAAATTAATGCAAGAAAGAAAAATATTAAGAAAATATTTTTTATTTTGCATGCGTTGTTTCTTTTTTGTTTTTGTAACGCATATTTTTTTTCTTCAAACGATCGGCGCAATGGTTGTCGTCTGCGTTTTTTGCCTCTCTTATTTTGACTCTCTCTCTCTCTCTCTCTCTCTCTCTCTCTCGTCAACATCCAGCCATCATCGTAAATCCTATCTACCTTGATACTGCTGCTCCATATGTTTTATGGCTTGATGGAACCATTCTCCTTGATCGTCGCCAAAATATCCACAGTTTTTTGGGGACTAATATGTATAGCTATACAGAGAATACAGTTTATAAAACATATTAAATTCTATTTCTCCAAAATGTCATGATGAATGCTAAAAATATTGAGACTCTATTTTTTCTCATAAATTCTATAAAAAATTGTAACAAGGAATATTAGATGGACCATGGTACATGGGTTAGCTTCAAACATTTCTAAGGTAATCACAGAAGCGATCAAACAGCAACCTTTACGCCGATCGTTTGAAGAAAAAAAGGTGCATTACATAAGAAAAAAGTAAAAAAGCATGCAAAATAACCTTGCTCTTGACAATAAAATATCTGAATTCCTCGGCTATACATGACATGGCCTTCAAATGACCATGAATTGACCTTCAAATGGACAGGTATAGTCAATATGTACAATGATTGAGATTCAGCAACCCTCAAAATAGGAATGTGATTTTTTCGGATTTTTATATTGAATTCTCCAAGTTCGACAATCAAATGACCTTGAAGGTGACTTCATAGAGGTCATCTGACTGTATATTTGAATTCAGCATCCTCGAAAACCTATAGATGAGAATTTTCTGGATTTTTTAAGCTTTTTTAATAATTTGACCTTAAAATGACCTTTATATGGTCGGACACTGTCAAAATGACCTCTGATTCAGATTGAGCGACCCTCAAAACATAAGTGTGATTTTTTCGGATATTTTTATTAAATTCCTCGTAGTTTGACCTTCAAATGACCTTGAAGGTGACCTCCTGAAGGTCATCCGACCTCGGATTTGGATTCAGCATCCTCAAAAACCCATGTATGAATTTTTTCAGATTTTTTACCACATTCCTTTTAATTGACCTTAAAATGACCCCTAAAATGAGCCAACCTTGAAAACCCGACCCCAGATTCGGATTCAGCGACCCCAAAAACATAAAGTCCACTAGGTCCGGTCGGTGGATTTGAAAATTTTTTTTTTTTGTGTGGCTGTGTTATTGGTACTGCCTGATTGGTCGAAATTCCAAGTCCCATATGAATATTGTATTATGTTATATTTTGTCAAAGAATATGGATATTTAGATGTAGAATTATATTTTCCTATCAAAATAAAGATAAATTTTGAGTAAAATAATTTACACTGAATGTTCTACTTCATATCTATCCCAAAAAAATTGAAATTTTATATCCTTATGCACATTACAATTCCTATTCCGTAGGAAAGAAATGAAGTCCATCTAATGTGTAAAATTAATATAACATCATCGAGTGCAGGAAATACCTGAAAGTTTTGAAGGTGCCACAAGCACTCTAACAGTAGATATAAATGTTCTTGACGTTGTAATGGAAGGTCTTGAAATACAGGAGATTTGGAATGATGTTCAAATTCGAATGTGTCTTTCAAGAGTTGTACTGCTTCAAGATATTGTTTCTGGTCGTAATATTTTTTAACGAGCAACAATTTCTTTTTCCTGAAAAACATAGGGAAAAGTAAATAATTTCATCGTTAGTCAGAATGATGAACATATTGAACATTCAAATTTTTTAAGGAGGAATTTCATTCACTTGGACGGGAAAACTAGCTATGATTTTGAATTGAAAAATACAACACTGTTTTTGCATAAATAATAAAACATACTTAGAAAAATTTTTCCCTTGGTTCATAATGTCTAGTTGGATTGTGACAAAAGTAACGAATACACTTGTGATAAGTGAAATTTATACTTCTGCTAGAAAAAATCGCTACTTGCCAATAAGAGGTTTCCTACACGTATAATATTTTGATGGTACTTTGACGTCTGCATTTGAAGAAAAAACAACGAATTTTTTTCAAGCAGACAGATTCGAACTCATTAGACAATAATGAGTAGTTTTGCGTGCGAGTATAAGTGCGTAAATCGCCACTGCCTACGTAAACAAAAATTCAATAATTTGCGGCAAAAACAATGACGTTTGAAAAGTCGGGTCAGACGAAGAAAAAAAGCGTCATAATTGTGCCAACGAAAAATATCTTCCCAACAGTAGTGTTCACGTAAACTATTACTACTGATTTGGTTATATAATGTAAATATATATAATTGTACATTATGAAACAGTGGCATAATGTGCTACTTATGACACGTGTACAATTTTTTTTTATAGCACTTTGCTAAGTTCACATTTATGCCCCCTTTTTCGAGTTATAAGTCGCACATTTTGGTACCCCGGAGTGAGGTTAGCGCACGAGCGCAGCGAGTGTGATAGGTGCGACGCATATATTACAATACTTTTCTTGAAGATATTAGTTGTAGCGTTGTTGTTTTCGTAGAGAGTGGCAATTTAATGATTGAATACTACGACTACTGGGGCCCAGTGCTTTTTCAGTGGGATTCATGAAAAATAGTATACGCACCTATGAAGCGAAAAAAAGCCTCAGAGCACATATTTATCAGTCTCGGCTTTGCCTCGGACGATAATTACATGTGCTCTGAGGCTTTCCAGTTTTTCGCTCCTTAGGCACGTAATATACTTCAAATGCACTATTCTACAAATGCAGACGCCAAAGCAGTAGGTGTGTAGGAGCTTACAGAAGTGCATTTTTGAAACTTATTAAAGTATTAGCCACGTGCAAAACTGCTCATTGACAAGTGGTGATTCTCCATGACACAAAGGGGGAGAAATATTAGTTGTCCCGGGTGAACTCACTCCTGTTGTCACAACAAAACTAGTCTCCATGAACCAAGAGGAATTTTTTTCTCTTTGTATCCAGAATAATGAAAGTAGATTCAAGCACTCAAGGTTAAAATTTTTTCGATATTGATACGTTTCAAAACTGCGAGTTTTAGATTATCAGCGATCTAATCATTGAATTGTATTTTCCGGTAATTTTTGTAATTTGTCTATTCAAATTTTTGAGAATATCCTGTTCATAACTCAGAATTAAAAAAAGAAAAAGGTTTAAAAATAGAATATTTTGTAACAAATGCGCGAAGCAGTTGACTCATGCAAGAGTTGTTTTGAACCGAGAGTAGCGAGGGTGCAGACTCCTGGGTGAGGCAACTTTCTCGTGGACTAGTTGCAAACGATATTTTTTAACTATGCTTGCGAGAAACTAGGGTTTTCTGACGCTTTAAGGTTAGAAAACCAGTGTTTCACGCACGCAGTGTTAAAAATTACACATTTCAATGTAGTTAAAAAATGAAATAATTTTCACTACAATTTTAAATGAAATTTCATGTATAGATAAGATATATAATATTTTGGTTATAAATTTAAAACAGATTCATTCAAAACTTTTTAATATAACTTTGATATAGTATGATCAAACTATATAAAAATAATTATTGGAAAATTTTTAAAAATAATGTAAATTACCTGTTAATACATGTCAAAACTTCCAGTAAAGTTTCTTCACTGATAGTTTGATTATTATGACAATTGTGCAAAGTTAAAGAAAAATCAGAGTCTTTTTTCTTTTGTTGTTGAACCACACTAAAAAGCTGAAACATTGAAAAGGTTTTATGCTCGTAATTATATTAATATAAAGAATTTTAAAAAACTATTAACAAAGTTTTGCAGTAACAAAAAATCAAATTAAGATAGTGAATACTGACAAAATTAGGCAGATAAAGAAAACGGCAACTTGACTCAGAGATCATTTAATAATAGCATAGTGTGATGAGGAGAAGTTACAGGGTGCTCTCATGAGGTATCAGACACTCGGTTTTAATATTTGCAGTAGACATTTTTTTCCATCGCATCTCGTGCTTTCTCGTGAAGCACGAGTATATGCAAGAAGTTTTGAAACAACGAAAAGTATCAAGCTGAAGATTCACGACGTTTGTTTAATACGATCGATAAGCTAGCGGGGCACTTTGCAATACATTTTTGAGGTCAATTAAATATTTTTGGCTTATTACTTACATATTCAAATATACGGAGAGACTTTTCAGAGTAACCAGTATAAAGAAAGACATGCCCTTGCAACCAAAGAAGCCTCACATTAAAAAAATGTTCATCGTAGTTCGAATCAATGGATACGTTATGCAAATTCGATAATAATACTCCGAAATCTTCACTGCTAATTCCAGATTTCCATGACATACTAAAAAATAAATATATTAGTAAAAATGGTTGTAAAATTCAAATTGAAATCGAATTTAGATGATTGAAATTTCCTTTGAATCATCTACAAATTAATGTTACTAACTAACTTACATGGCGATGATTCCAATAAAAAATTTAGTACAACGAAAATTAGTTTAACACAATTCAAGAATCATAAAAAAAAATGTGAGTTCAAATGGAATTGAAAATGTAAAAAAAAATTTAGAAAAAATTCTTACTAATTGTTATTGTAAGCAATAGTGGCTTAATCATTTGTTTCTCAAATTCGTTCAAATACTTACTTGCAAGTAGTTGGTCGAGATAATTTGAATGACAACCAATTATCTGCATATAATTCACAAAAAAATAAAATCGTCAAGGGATCGATAAATAGCGAATCATTTTTCAAATTCATAAAAACACTGTAAACGGGAATATGATTTCTGTAACAGGAGATAAAATTGTTTTAAGCATTATTGTAATATGAAATAGACACATTAATTAAACTGTTATACCTCAGCAATGTATACAAGTTCACAGCAACATCTAATAGTTCATAAGATAACTTTTGATTCCATTTTGAACCAATGAATTTGACAAACTTCAATATTGCATGTACAAGGCTACATGTAGAAAGATTGTTCAAATATTTTTTGACGTCAGAATGTTCATCGTAGTTTTTCGAGTTACTTAAATCATTCCTGAAATAAAGGTAAAATTGTACATATTTTGTATATGACTATTTAAATCAAAATTCTTGTTGATTATACAATAGAAACTAGGAAATGTTGCTTAAAATAATGATTGGAAAAAATTAAATAAGATTTCGATGAAAATGAAACAGCATAATAAAATTTTTTGTTCCTATTATAAAACTAATGTAATTATTTTTCATAATCTATGATAATGTAGAATACTTACGTCAATGAATCAAAATCTTCAGAAGTTATTTGATCGACGAATTGCACAGACGAAAAATTTTCAGCGCTCACTTTTTCTTTTGTTTGATCAAAACTATTTTCAGAGCAAGAATTTTTTTCCGTTATCCTGAAATATTTATTTATCAAGTTAAATATAAATGGTAATCCCCATGAATAATATGTATATGTTTGTTAAAAGTCAAACTTTCTGGTAACGCGAAGTTTTATTAATAAATTAAAAATATTTTATGCAATAGTATATTGAAAAATGCCTTTTTGTGTTCTCTTTTTAGTGCACAGAAAGCGTTTTTGGATACTGGTGAGCGGTAAAATGTCTGGTATTTTGTGAAATATCAGGCTTGTTATTTATACACTTTTCGCATTCTATTGCAAAAAATTTTCTAGCTGCAAAAAATAGCCGTGCTGGAATGAATCCTCTATGGACCGAGGATCGTACTAAATTTTATAGCACTGTGCTTAATTTATGCCCCCTTTTCCGAGTTATAAGTCGCATTTTCTGGTACCGCGGTGAGGTTAGCGTACGAGCGTATAATGCGAATGGATGCGAACGCAGCGGTGTCAGAATGTGTGACTTATGCCGCAGAAAAGCGCATCATAAAAGTGAAATTATGCCCCGTAGTAGGGGAGACCGGGGCATGCCGTGACACCCGAGTATCTGGAGAAATTGATTTTCCCAATATATAGATCAATTCTGTAACATTTAAGTTGACAAAAATGTTAAACATCAACCAATGAATATTCCCCATGGATGAATTTTATTCAATTTGATCATTTGTAAGAAAAATATTGGGTTAAAATTTTCACGATTATATGCCACCGTCTCGATTTTTCGCATCGATTTTTGAATATCATAAATATAAATGAAGCATACCTGAATAGTATTTAATTAAAATGTAACTTTTCAACTTTCATTTCCGACATTGTAAACTATTCAATATTGAACTAGTTAAAAATTATTAACAATATAAAAAAATCCAAATGGGGCATATGTGACAAGTCGAATGGGGTATGTGTGACGCATGAAGCATACGCTGCGGGAAACAGCAGAGCAGAGAAATTGCGCACCTAACCTCTTAAATGACTTAAATGACATGCCCCATCTGTATTCCATACATGCCCCGCATGCGGGACATGCGACAGATTTCAGCGGACTGATTTTAAACATCAATAAACAATTTTGGACTTGACAGAATACAATTTTTATTCCGAATATTGAAAGTTTAGCTGCTTTACTTTTTACGTTTTAGCTGCTTTAAATGTATTGTCACACATGCCCGGTCTCTCCCCACTATTGGGATCCGAAGCAGCGCTCGTTTTTCGTCAAAGATGCCGAGCGTACGCCGCTTCGGATCCCAATAAGTAATTATGCTAGCGAAAAATGCCATTTTGCGTACACTTGTTAGTGCGCAAAAAGCGTTTTTGGACCCCGACGAGTGGTACATTTTCTGGTATTTCGTGAAATATCAAGCTTGTTATTTAGACTCTTATTGCATACTATTGCATAAAATTTTAACAATGTAATTTCTGTGGGAAATGTGTTACTTGGAACTGACTTTAAACTTTACACAACCAAAAAAGCAATGATGCACTGTTCCGCTTTCAATTACATCAAAGATTATTTTGTGAAATGAATGACTAAAAATAATAGTGTATAAGATATTCAAAACTTACAACAAGTCATCTGGAAGAATTTGTTTAAGAACTTCTTCAAAAAAATATTGACCTTCACTTTCTGTACAATTAGATATCTTATTTCTGTTCCTTTTATTTGAATCACTACTCCAAGCCCATTCTGTTAGAATTGATAATGAACTACGGCGCCTTTTTTTTAATTTAGGTTTTGATTTACTTTCTTGAACTGAAGTACTGCAAATCAGTGAGTTGGAATCACTTTTTGAAACAAGCTCTTCATCAGTTTTAAGACATTCAGCTTTTTCATCTTCCTCTGGTTGATTGGTACTTTGACTAGTCGTGTGACTAGGATTAGATTCTTCCAAATTGTCTTCTACTTCTATTGACTTTGAGTTAGTTAAATTTGTTTCAACAATTTCTTCTACTATTTGGAATGAAATTTTGCTAAATATGTTCAACTTCATTCTAATACATAAATCATAAATCTGCAATAAGCAATTTCCTACTTTGAACAAAGAATTAGAATTCATTAATAACTGAATACATACTGATAGCTCAGATTTTTTTTTTAAATGTTGAGATGATTTAAAAAAATTTTCAGTATTAGATTCAAACTTATCTAAATGATTGACCTGCATGTGTAAAATGGTATTGAGTAATGGAATATCATTAACCCAGTTTTGATTGAAAACCTTCAAATATTCAGTAATTGATGGCATGATCTGAATCATTTTATTTTTCAAAATAATACCTTTTGAATAACTAGAATCGCTATCTAACGCAAATAGGATGAGCTTTAAACATTTTATGTAATCACATATTTCATACAAAACTGATATTATTTTATCCACACACGGCCAATACATGAAATTTAACTCAAGTCCAGTTCTCAAAGCCAAACAGCCATCTCCAATATTTGATACTTTTATCAGCAAAGAACCAATTTTATACCACATATCAACATTTGAATTATCCAAACTGAGAGCTTTGGTACAATTTTGAATTGCACTGAAATTATTGTCTTCTTTAGACTGTATAGCAGCTAAATTTTTGAAACACGAGTACTTCAGTGTATGAATAAATTTATGTTCATTATCACAAACTACATCACTTGGAACTAAATCAAAAATTTTTGTATTCAACAAATCAAAAAGAATGGAATAAGCTACTTCATTCTTTCCTTTTGAGATAAACAGTATTGCTCTGTTATATTCATCAAGGGCAATTTGCTCCTGCAAAAGAATATTTGAAAAATTTATTTTTATATTTAAATGTACATGCATCTAGTCTAAAACCGGTAAAACTACTTACTTGAAATTGTTTATTGACACATTGAGTAAACTCTTTTTGACTGTCAGAAGAAGCTTTTTCATTTAAAGCAGTTATTTTAAACATTTTGGACAGTAACCGGAAGAACTGATTTTAAACGAAACAAAAATATTATATTTTATACATTGACATCACAGTTAAAATGACAACAAAAGCTGTACAGTTAAAAATGCATATTTGTATTTTTTGGCGCACTCTATGAGTTTATTTGTACGATCATAACCAAATCATAACTGATGAAAAATACGGTACAAGTATATAAGTAAGATATATATACAAAAACAATACATGCGGGTTTGTTGTGGTCGTGTTAAATTTACAAAGTACTAAATATGACAGAGAGCTTTACGAACAAACGGACTAGTCGAAACAATATAATAGCGCCCCTATCAGTGAAATTTGTAACTTTAAAACTCCTCAAACACTGATTGTTGCATAATTAATTTAATGCTTTCTATTGATTTAATTTACAAAAATAATCATAAATATTCTTTAAAATTGAACCTAGCTCACATAAGTACAAAACAATAAATATGGATCATTTTTGTTTTTGCGGAAAATGACTTGCGAGTACAACGGCATTACGCGACCGCAATTCCGTTCGTTTCTTATAGTATTGCCGTTCCTTTAAAAGCGCGCGCTGCGGAGGCCTTAACTTTCAAGCCGAATGTTAGTTTCGGTTAGTCTTTATAAATGATTCTCTTTCAACTGATATTATCACTGTGCATGACTGATTGTCTCGTTCAATAAACAAAGTTTCTGTCATTAGAACTTTCTCACTTGCTTAATTTGTATGATTATGCAATTGAACGACAATTATTTCAATTTTTCAACTCTATAAGACCTTTTCTTGTTGTGTTTACTTTTGATGATACAGTTTGACTATATGGTTCAATTTTAGTATCAAATTTAAACCCAGTTAAGATAGTAAATTGCGAAGGTTGGATGTGACTGAACCTAATGGAAATTTACTCCAAAAACAATATAGAAGACCAACAAAAGCTTAATGGTGATAGTTATTTGCACAAAGATATCACTACATTTTCTAGTAATCAAGAAAGAGTTGACTTAACAAGAACTGATAATATAATAGATACAATGTTTCAAACAGTTGCTGCAGTCCCAGCAGATATTCTAAACAAGTTCAGTTTCATAAACGATAAAAGTTCAAGTGAAACTGATGATTTTTATGGATTTGAAACGAGCGAGTACAAACAGTATGACATCTCAAAAACTACACTCAAGAGGCTTATAGGTATGAATTATAACTTACTTATATCTTAATCCTCAACTATGATGGAGATACAATCATATTTTAATGCCACAGCGTATTTTAATTCTGTTTTTATTAAGATAAGGCTTAGACTCTTTTGTCTTTGAGTTTCAAAATATATCTTTCTACAAAATAGTTTTTGACCCTTCAATTCGGGTTAATGAAAACTGTACCAAAGTACTTAATTATTCATACAAAACTCAATCAAAATGAATATTATACATTTCAATTTTCTTTAATCAATTTTAATTCATATATTATTTCATGTAATTTTTCATATTATTATTTATTATGGCGAACCAATTCTAAAATGTTTTTTTTCATAGTAGTAGGTTAACATCCAAAAAATAATTTTTAATACAGTTGACACAAGTCATTGTATACAAAGAAATATCAGAGAGATTTAATATAAGAAAAGTTGATGTGGTTAGGCCTTATTATTGTGTATTTTCAAAAATGATTGAACAATATTCTCTTGTCTAATTGTAAATTTTTACTTATTTATTGAATAATCAGGATTTATTTATAAAATTTAATGTAGATTTATTCAAGTGAAAATTAAACTTGAATAATTGATAATATAACTAACATTTTTCTTATCTTATTTCAAGAGTACAGTTAAATATTGTATCATAACAAAATCAAAATCGAATATTAAATAATTAATTTAAAAATCAGTAACTGAACTTTGTTAAATGAATATTTTTACTTTGTCAGTGTTAATTTGCTATTTTTATTTCATTAATAATAATTATTCATTTAAATCAAAGTACAGAATTAATGCAAATCATCACTTTAATTAAATTATTTAAGTAGCCATCAAAAGTAAGATCATAAAACAAATAAATACCAAACTAATGGTTTTTTATTGTATTTTTGATTATTTTCAATTTTAGTACTTGAAGCTTGGAGTTTTGGTTAACGGTTTTAGGTTTTTTTGAATTTTATTTTTTCAAATTACTTTTTTTTAATAGAATGTTTAAATTTGGTTTGCTAATTTAAGTTTTTTTTATAAGATTTTTTTCTAAAACTTTCCTTGAACAACATTAAATTTTTGATCATAAATTTTCAGTTTTTAATAGTAAATCATTTTGTCAATAAATATCATCCAATTCTTACGACTTATTCTTATTAATTATAATTTTAAATGATTATAGTGATTTTATTATTCAAAAAATTATAAAGAAAACCTTATAATAAAACATATATTTTTGGTTCATCAATTTTTTTAAAAGTAAAAACAAGCGAAGGCAATTATAAAGCTACTGCTTACATCTTATTCAATTACCTAACCGTTACTACGACTATTTTTTGAAAACGTATTTGCAGGATCCATATCAATTTAAATTGGTCAATTATTTTTGAATCAATCTAAAGTTTTAGATCAATCAATTATCTTTAAACATTATCCAAAATTTAAGTAAATTGAATTAATTTTTATTTTTTTGTTGTCTTAATCTCTATAAACAATTAATTCTAAAAACATTAATTCAAGTGAGCTTATATAATAATCAAAAAACAACCTCATGCATAATTTGTTAATTTTATGAAAGTTTTTGCTAAGAAAAATAAGAACAAAATATATTAACATGTGAATAAATTGCAGACACTGTTGCCAACTTTTAAGGTAAACTTATCCATGGTGTTTACCAACCGATTCTTATTAAATCGAGCACATATGATTTAAACGCAACTCATATTATGTGTCTTGAACTAATATTACTTACAATTTTATATAATTTCATTGGTGAAGTTCAAAATGCGTTGAACTATCTTAAGCAAGCACCATTGCAAAATGTATAAGAACTTTGAATTATTAAGATGAACGTATCGAGACAAGCCATGGTTGGCTCCATAATCTATAAGTAGACATAAGGTAAATTATCAGTAGATCAATCTGTTTTTTACTTTTTCCATTTATAATACGATAATGCGGTAATACTAAATTCCAAAATAGGGTCAACGCACTATAAAAAAAACATGAAGTAACAGCAAGGTCGTTTCAGAAAAACCAAATCCCCAAATTACAGACACTCTGAGACCACTGAAGCCACCTTAATAGTTAAAAATTGCTTGACAAAAAATTGTCGAAAAAAATCATAATACGCAATTACCTTCAAGCGAAATCGTTTTACGTATCCACCTCGAGCAGCTGCTAGCGATCGTAGCGGTGGACTCATGAACGAATAGATTCTTGTCGCGTATAAGACTAAAAACCTACAAGGGCCCCTATTTGTTCATGAGTCCACCACTACGATCGCTAGCAGCGGCTCGAGGCGGATATAGTGCCAAGCTTTCTCATATTGCTTCTCGAAAAACATATTGATTCAAACGACAGACGCTCTCGCTATTCCGATTAATAACGGCTGCAGGGCCACTTATGGCTCTATCCCATTGCTCTATGTGAATAGTAATTTTCAGAAGTGAAATTGTACGTTCTCTCTGATTGTCATGACTTCGATTGTTTTGACGTTTTGAGAATTGAATTGATAGTTTTACAATTTGAAGAGAAAAAAATTTTGATTTCGACATTTCGATTTAAGAACAATATGTAAAGATAGCCGAGCATCATTCAGATCAATCAAGAGGATTTACAGAGATTTGATGAATGAATTTTGACAATTTCAATCATAAAAGTTTTGATTGAATTTTGCAGCATTTAGAATCGAATAAACTTCTCATTTTATTTATTTATTTATTGCTCATTTTTTAATTCTTACACCGACTTTTGCCATGCAAATGCTTTTGAAATTAAAATAACCTATGACTTACGAATATAAACATTTAAGCAAACGCTACATTTAAGTTTTCCCCCAAAAAAAAAAAAATTATATGAACGACCGACGCCAGATTCCGACCAATCATGAAGCGAGGCGCAGTTACTTCTCGACCAATGAGGTGACGAATAAAACGACTTCACATGATTTTTTTAGGAAGGAAATATATGGTTTACATTTTTTTTCGAAGAAAGCGGTGGAATATGCAATATTAAGCTATATTAGCTATTCTAATAAAAAACACATCAAAAGTGATATCATTTTAACATATGCATTCCGATAGATTATTGTCTGTTCCTTCCAATAGTGGAAACAGTTTTTCAAAAAAAGTTAAATTTCATGGAGAAACTTGACTTTAAAGTTAACTCAATTTTTCAGCAAGTATACCCTCTTCGATTTTATTGATAAATATCTCAATCGATAGGTAATCTCATAACGAAGGTTTTAAAAAAAAATTTCAAGTTGAAGACTCAAACAGTTCAAAACTTATGAACAATTAAGTACCAAAAAACGTGATTTTACGGCCGCGCGCGTCTATTCTCCTCGGCTCCTGTTTAAGGGCCAGGCCTACCCACTCAGTCGGTATTCAGTACCGAAATATTTTGTCCTCATTTTTCTCAATGAATAGTTAATAAATCATCTCAAAACTTTGTAATAACCTATAGAGGACTGACACAATTACGCCTCTGCTCTTGTTTTTCCATAATTGACAAGAATTTCAAGTAAATAGATTTTATTGTGGTTTTTTGGTTTTCATAACCTCTAATTCCAAAAAATTTAATTCAAGTAAGCTTATAAGACAATTCCTTGAAAAAAAGAGCACAGACATAATTGTATCAATCTTCTGAACATTACTTCGAAGTTTCAAGATGATTGATTCATTATTCGTGGAGAATAATGAGGGCAAAATATTTCAGTACGTCGGTAACTTGCAGGCACTATCGCCAGCCCTTACCTCCCTCTCCTACCGGCTGAGTGGAGAGCCAGAATTCGGCCGTAAAACCACGTTTTTTAGTACTTAATTGTTCATAACTTTTGAACCGTTTGAATCTTCAACTTGAAATTTATTTTTAAAACTTTCGTTACTAGATTACCTATCACTTAAGATATCTATGTCCGACGTACTTGAGATAGAATTCTAAAAAGTCAATTGGAAGATAAAGGAGTGATTTGAAAATTGAGAAGAGCAGGTAATTTTATTTCGAGATAATGCTATTAATTATTATCATAAGTGTAAAATCGTTGCCTCAGAGCAGAAAGGTATCTTAATAAACTCGGAGGCAAAAAGGTGCTAAGTTCTTATCTTTTAACATAGGATTTGGTAATTTTTTGTCTCTGAATTTATTGAGGCTCCTTTCTGCTTTGAAATACGAAATGCAAAAATAAAAAAAATTGTAGAAAATCCCTAACCTAAAAAGTACCTTCTTTACAAAATTATTAATGCACTTACCAGCTAAAAACAAGAATTTTCAGTTTAATTCTGACTTGCAGTTGATTTTTTTCGCTTTATTCAATTTCTTTTAAATCACAACATTATATACATTAAATAACTTCATGGATTTTTCGCCTACAAGTCCTGAAACATTTGAAAAGTTTTGCTCCACAGGTCCCTATCACTCCCTGTAGCTTATTTGAACTGCCAGAGTTTTTAAATTTCAAAGGTATAGGACGCACCAAACTCTTGATTTAAATTTAAATTTTGTTTTACACTTCTCTAAAAAATTTGGTTCACTCCAAAGCTTGCAATCTTCAACAATGTTGGAACCATGTTTGAAGTGACCAGTTTGAAGAAGATATAAAGGGATAAAAAATGATATCATAAAATTTAATGATCACGATTTCAAGCGTAGTTGAATCGATTTTAAATTATACTTGAAGTTGATGTAACAAAATATTGTTGATAGAAACAAAGCGCTTGCAAGGAATATAGTAACTCGGAATAAAGAAAAAAATTTGTGTTCCAGAACAAGAAGAAGCTGATATTTTTCAAATTTCTAAAAGACGTAAAACCACAACTTTGTGGAAAGGTCTTAAAAATGCTGATAGTTTCAGTGAAGAAATCGATGAAAATATTTCCGAGCCTGGAAGTCCAAAAACTGTTCCAGAGGCTAATTTTAGCGATTCAACAGCAAATGATTTTTCAAGTAAAAGTGAAAAATGTAATAATACATCCATGAATTCAACTAAAACTAGAACCAAACGCTCATTTCGTGCTGCAAGTCCAATTACTACATCTCGACAAAAAGTCAGTATTGATATTACTAATCCTTTATATAGAGAACCATTCAAATATGGTTGGAAACGAGAATTAGTTTACCGAGCTGGATCTAGTGATAACCAAAGTAAGAGAATGGCTGATATTTATTATTATACTCCAGAAGGTAAAAAAGTTAGAAGTTTCCGGGAAGTTACAGAAACCCGTAAGTAACTTTTTTTTGCAATCCTCGATTTATAATATTATCAAGATAAAATATAATAACTTTTATATACTTTTTTCTTTTTAGTTACAACAAGTGAATTAACCATTGAAAATTTTACATTTTTCAAAGAACCTCTGGGTGTTAACGATCCTGCAAAAGAAATTATTCGAGATGCTAAAAAAGGAAAGGTTTGTATAACTTTTTTTCACTGTTTAAACAAATGAGTTTTGAGTAGTCATTAAAGTTGAAATAAATAAATCCTTTCTCAAGATTGATAAGTTATGATAGTCCAGTCAGTATTTTGCATTTTCAAGTACGAATTTCACCATTTTTATAAATACTAATAACTGATTCTACTAGCTCAAATAAAAGTGAGTTCGTGATGCGGTATGTTTGTTATTTCAGGATATTAAAAGTAGTATTCCCTAACCTTTAATTTATTGTATAATTATAAGTTAGTTTATTCATCCTAAATTCTAGTGTGCACAAGAGCACAAAGACAAATACAATTGTACTCATACATAAAAAAGGAAATTATCTTCTCTTACCATTTTTTTTCTTGAAAGAGTACCAAATTTCTGTTGCTCATGAGAATTTTCAAATTCGATTAACTAGAAAATATTTAATTGCGTAACTTAAAATTTACAGCAACGTAATATTTATATGTTTTAGACGCCCCTGAGGCTGTATATTATTTACGTTATTAAAAGGGAAAAGTCTGATGACTTTAGAAGCAGATTTTCTTGAGGTGGATTTCTTAATGTCTCAAAATTACGGAGAATCGTTATGTTAACATTTTCACAAAAAGCTTGAATATTTGTCAATAATATTGAAAGAACAATCGAAAAGTAAATTATTATAAAATAAAGTATAATTGAAGGTCTTTAAATTTCGAGTTTCAAATAAGACAAGTCCCATCTGGTAAATAAGCACACACTAAATCCGATGGTATATTATGTCACTTACGCTTTAAAATCTCGATTCATTTCATTTTAAAGTATGTCGTATATACATTAAAGAAACTATTACTGAGCTCCTTTGGAAATTTCGAATTATGACTCATTTATTAATTTAACATTTCTTGCAGGAAGCTCATGTACCAACTAAACCTTATCAGAAGATTCCAAAAAAAAGTATTGATACTCCACCAATTCAAAATGATACACCCAAAAAATCGTCTGTAAAATCAACACCTCCTGTTATTCCAGTAAAGACACCATCAAGAAATGCTAAAGTAGCGTCAAAATTAAAAGTGAAAATATCTTCAAAGAAAGTAACGCCTAGTAGTAAGTAGTTCTCACCATTAAAAATTTAAAAAGTCGAAATATACAAATAATATATATTTTTCGTAGAAGAAAGTAAATCACCTATGACTTCTACTGATAATACTGTAGATACAAAAGTTGCTCAAACTTCACAATGGACAAATGCTTCAAATAATAAGGAAATCGTGGACAAAAATCATGCGATGAAAAGCAAAAAAATCATCAAGTAAGCATATATACATATTTATTTTTATCATCATTTTAATTGGAAAAGTGCGAGATTAACGATTTGAAAAGCTTGAATTGGATAACTTTATACCTACTTCTCAAATATTTTGCAAGTGATGATTCGATAAAAAAAATTAATTCTAATAATGAATAGTGACATGTTTCAAAATAATAGTTGGCGATTTAGTTATGCTCGGTAGAAACGACCCTCCAGACTCATATTATTTTGGTTTTTAATTATAATTTTTCAAAAAAATAAAAATTATTTCCGTCACACGAAGCTATGTAACCCACTGAAGTTCCGACTTTATAGTGCACATCACTTTAAAATAATTCAAATTTTTTATACTTAGAACTATATTTACAAGCGTATGTAGACCTTTCAACGAACAAGAAAAATTGCATCAAAGCTAACCCCCTTCGATTCTCATGATTTTGTTTTAGTAACGATAATCTTATTAGATTTTTTCTTAAGACAACAGTTTGCTTCAATTAGCTGAAAAAAACACATTAAGTTGTACCTTACGGGGTAAAAATTTTTTTTTGCGATTTCTGGCACTGCGTCGTGTGTATCACGACCGCTGCACTTATGCGTTAACCTCACTTCGCGGTGCCACAAAATATAACTTATATCTCAGAAAAAGCAATCTTACCTATACTTCTGCGCCAAGAGTGTTACTAATTGTGCTTGTATCTTCTTAGTAATTGAAGTTGCAAGCGTCATAACCTTTGAGTGATAATTTACGGCTTGGCAAGTTTTAGCATCTGAGCGTAGTGCAGTTCAATTTGTTTTTGAATCAAATCTATACAGTTTTTCTTCGTGATGATGGCGACAAGCTTATTATAAAGGGGATTTTTAATTCCCATCGCGAATCAAACTTGCATTTTTGCTGGCTCTCAGAGCGAATAATTTTTTTCATATAATAAATTTAATTATGATGATCTTTGTGGAAACCCTAATAAAAATAATAGCATTAAATTGAGTAGAAATCTTGATATTGCACGCGCTATCTAAAAGTGAGAGTTCTCAGTGCAAGCAGGGTAACGGGTAAATTGGCCTTAGCCAATTTTTTCTCTCTTTTTGCAGTGTGTAAAAAATTATAAAAGTTAAGAAAATAACCATTTATACGTGTAAATCTTTCTAATTATTGGCTCTTTTATACTAAATAGATGAAAAATTGACTAATCAGTAATAAAGCATAATGGATGAAATTTGACCTTAAATACAATCATCAATTATGCTATAAATATAGTGTTTTTTGAAAACTCAGTAAAAAATACAAGCGATAAATACTTTCGAATAGGGTATAAAATCTTTAAATCAATTTTCCACAAAATTAAATGTTTTGATACAAGAATTTAAAAATGTTATGTAACACTTTTAACTTTTTGTTCTTTTTTGGCTCTAGTGATTTTGCAAAATTTCCTAAAAATATCGGAAACTAACATAGCCGGCACTCGTGTCTTTTTCCGCACACTCGTGCCCAAAAACGCATTTTGGGCACTTGTTACACGAATAACTATTAAGCAACGGCTGTGGATATGACATAAACAGCAAAGTTGTGATTTTTATGTTAGAGTGTTATAAATTGAAGCTTATAATTATTAATTTTACTTACTTTTGAACGTGGCAATATTAATCCAAGAAAAGAACCTTTATCAAGGTAAAATAGCAAATAAGTTTTTAAGAAAACTTTTGAAAACTTTTAAAAAAATATCAGTTAATAATTGCTGAAATTGGTTGCCAAATTTCGGTGATAGAATGTATCATTGGAAACGTCGATACAGAAAAACTAACTCTGTGATTTCCATATACTCTCGGAACGCTAGAGCACTCATAACTTTGATCCTATCAGATCTCATTCGAAATGAAAGACATTTTCAGTATAAAACTTGAAAGATTTTTATTGTGATCAATGAATACAACTATTCATTCTATAATTTTTTATCTTTCAATTTATACATTATTATTTATAATTACTATTATCCCCAATAGTTTCGATTCAATTGAATAATCCCCTTTATGGCTATTTACTCATTATCCCCTTTAAAAAACGCAACCTCAAAGTCTTGACAAAAGTTAGCTTCTAATGAGTCTGGAGATTTGTACTGAGTAGAACATGAATGAAATAGCACTTGTCAAATTTTAGTTTTTTTAAGAGACTTATATTCAGCACCACTCGCGAACGCAAAACATACAGGCGCGCGTGTGCTGAATGCGTAATCTCTTTATCTCACTTACTTTTCATGTGTGCTAAGACTTATTTTGCAAACGCTAGTGGCATCAAATGAACAGCCTCTTTTTTGAAAATCAATAATTTTAATAGATTTTAACAATATTCGTTCTTTTCGAGTTTAAATAAGTTTGAATATTTTTCATCTTAGTTACACAACTTTTTTCATTTCAAAGTTATCTGAACTTTGTTCAAAAGTCGGATTACAATTTTTCGAAACAAATTTTTATCGGTGCAATAATTTGTCATATTAAAATTAAAGTTAACAATCAATTGAAATGGTGTAAATATATATCGTTAAACAGTTTTTTTGTTCTATGGTGCAATAACTAGTCACAATTGATAAAATGTTTCAAGAATGCTATTTATATATTTATGTATATTTAACAATTCATTTCCCGTGATCATATATTTTAGGATCAAAGAGCAAGAACCATGTAGTGTACGTTGTTCTTCTAGCATTGGTTTAATTCCGACATTACAATGCGTAAAATGCCTGTGCTTATACCATCCCAAATGTATTCAAAAACTGTCAACCAATTCTAAGTTTACGTGTAAGGTATATATTCACAAAAATATATTTTTAATCTAAAATTTATTAATGAGGAGTTGAGTTCAAGTTTGTGAGTGTAGATTTTTATCTTTGTTCATTTTTCCGCTGTTTCTAATAGCTTTTTTTGGCTATTATTAAAGAATTTATATCAGTAGGTCTATTTTTTATTATTGATCATATCTTACGTTGTTGAAACGATTCTCCTTCTCACTAATTAATTTTTTCTATCTGCCATCTTGCTATTCCGGATTCGCGGCACAATTTTGTAAGTAAAATTCAAAATATGGTACTCGCTTCAAAGAGGGTTCCAATTTTTCGACAAAAAACCTAGGAAAATTTGAAGAATACAGCGTCATAATTACTTATAATTTAAATTGATGGAATTAGTCTTAGCCTTAAAGAAGTTTTTGAGTGTCAGATTTATTTGTAGCTGAGGCAATTTTAATAAAGAGAATATTTGGCTAAATATCATGGATTTCTTAGACTTTCCTTTTCATGTAGGCAATTCGAATTATTAAAGTCCAATGCTAGTGAAAGAAACATTTGAATTTTTACGTAGCAGCCTGTTAAAAAGATGTCAAATATGAACTTTTTAACTTAAATGAAGTAGACATTATTGTTACCATGACAATTTCACCTCAGAATTGAATAATTATCAACGATAATTGATTTGTTGGACTCTAATGTGACAAGTTACAATTGACAAGTGCTGGGCTGAATCTTAATTTTTGATCTTATGCAGGTGGGATTGAAAATGCTAATTAATTTGAGATAACTTTTGTGACCAAGTCAACAAAATACTGTGAGAGTTAATATGTGAATTTCAGTTCCATAGATAAACAGAGGAGATATCGACTCATGGTAGGGCTTTTTCCTTACCTATTATAAATCATCACGTATTACCCTTTTCATTCTTACTCTGTCAGTCGTCTTGCGTGAATGTAATTTGTCATGAAATCACATGTGTTTCCAAATTCTTACATAAGTTAGAAAAATGCCTCTTACTTCAATAGTGAAACTTTCTTTTTCAACTTGATTATTTATCTAGTAATAATCAGCTCTAGAAACAACTGTCTTTTTGACCGTATTATTCTGATAATATTGTATATATTCATAAAAAATACGAATTTAAAATTTGGGCTTTAAGACGGTGAGCATAATATAACTGAAAAATGAAGGCTTTACTCATTATTTTTTTGTTATTGAGAACATTTAAAATTGAAACCCGTAATATTTGAAATCTGTAATGGATTACACATAGCTCACAAGTCAGATTTTTAATTTCAAATTGTCATTCTATTTTTTGAAATGACTCTGAAAAGTATTTAAAGATGGTTTTTGAAAGACCATCGTGAAGAATTTTATTTTTCGAAGACCAAATCTTTTGACCAAGTGACTTAATTGAATTCTTCAAATTTATCATCCCTTTGACATTTTCAAGTCCTGTAACTGATTCTGAGTTTTAAGTATTTATTATACTTGATTAATTAAATTTTTACAAAACGAAATCCTACACTACGTTACTTAGTCTAGTGTAAAAATAAAGCGTTGTTGATTGAATTAAAAATCTGTAAAATTTTTTCTCCTTTTCTCAAAAAAATGTTACTTACAACGATAATGGATTCTTTAAGTATTTTAATTTTTTTTGGTAGTAATGCTTTCTTTTACAGTAAATAATATTTTATATATTATGCTGATATTCATTGATTTATAAAAACAATGGTTCAAATTTATTAGCTACGTTTTCTTTTGCATTGACGTAACACCCATACTCTTTACCTCAACTTCTCATCATATGAAAATGTTTTTCATTTATCTATATCAGTACATTAATATTGCAGAATTGTCAACTTGTAACCGATGAGTCTTTTCGAGAATCTTCAAGTGCAGAAGCTTCTTTACTATACAAAGAGTTAGGTGATCGGAAAAAACAGGTTTTGAAAAAAAAAGAATCATTGGAAATGGTCCCGAAAATTAAAGAGTCACTTATTTCATTCGAAAATTATAATGATTTTAATAATGATAACACCTCACATGAAAATAAATTATCTAAGGTATCGACAAGTGAGTTCAAATGTAATGATAATTTGAACTTGAGACCCATACAAAATATTGCATCTATAAAGGGTAAAAAGTTTATCGTAGTCTCTAACCGTCCTGTTACTTCATTGCGGTCTTCACCTATCAATTTGAATCGTTATAGTAATGAAATTTCGAAAACAAATATATCAGATGACGAAGTTCATTATTCTTTAAACGGTAATGTTAATAGTATTAACACCGTTGAAATAAAACCAAAAACAGATGAATTATTATTGTCTCTTAATGAAGTTGGACCTTATACTTTTACGAGTTCTAACTTCGATTCAAAAATAATCAGGAATACTAATGTTCTACCATCTTCGGATGAAAGGTAACTATAAGATTTTCTTACAATGTAAATAATTAATGTAAAAATCTTAATTTAAATTACGGAACGTTGATTTTTTAATGAGTTGATTCACATAATTCAAGTGAAACTTCTTTACACACATTAAGTATACCTATACTAACCCTTGTCAAACGAGCGAGCACGTTAATTGTAGGTTTTTTGCTTCACCAGTGTATAGTTGTTTCGTGCGCTGTGATTAGCTGGCGCTGGATAGTCCCAAGAGTCATCTCACTCTTCTCTACTATGTCCTGTAACACGAGCAAATATTGCTGGATACTCTCATGCCTCTAAAACGTTTATGAAACCTCCTATATCTCTGTCTCTTGCGCTCGCTCTAAGCAATTGGTACGTGTTGTTCAGTCAAATAACAACACATACTGTATTTCTCGCGCTTTTATGCTTCGTGCACCTGTTTTCATTCATAAATCGTAATGTATGATGCGTATTCATACATACATGTACCACTTTTCATGTGATATACCAATTTTTTTTTGTAAATGCGTTGTCAATCGATGATTTGTAAAATGTGGTAAGAGGTTGACGTGGCCTTTACTCATATTACCTTAACTGATAATTAGCCTAAAAATATCAATAAAAAAATATCCGAAAAATGAAAATTTCGGCGCATCCGTACTCTCGGTACTCACTATCGATAATAAAAATTAATGAAAAAGTACCGATGCAAAACTAAATCGAGAATGTTTTGGTAAGATGAATTCGTTTGTAATTTTACGAGAGGCTAAATCGAAATAGTAGATTACGCCACGGGGGCGGGAGGTTGTCGATCTGCACGAGTGTCAAGTTTGCAGCCCGAGCGTAGCGAGGGTAGCATTGACACAAGTGCAAGATTGACAACCACCCCAGTTGCGTGCACTAATTTTCATTACAACGTGCGGAAAGTCGATTTTAAGATCGCCAGCCGTACGCGAAAGTAGCACTTTCCGCACGCAGTGATGAAAAGTATATTTACATTACATTAAAAAAAAGAAATATACTGAAATTTAAACATTTCAAATAAAGAAACACATTCCCTATCATCTAAAATACTTCAACAAAATACCTCAAATTCATCCTAAAAGAAAAAAAATTCTGAAGTTTCACGTGTAGTACCTTTACATACAATGAAATCTAGATAATCATATCACCTGAACTAAATTTTCAAAATTCTTTTCATTATATGTTGAAAATTTTTTACAAAAAAAAAAAGAATTATAATAATTGCGAATACAAATAAATCTCTGGAGAGTTCTGAAACTTTTTTACGAGATACATACAAATTTAGGAAACTTATTTCATTAAAACAAAACAATCAATTTTTTGTCTTAATTTCTAATTTCTCGGTATGAAAAAGCTTTTTGAAAAAAAAACACCTACAATGCTCTATGTTTTATCTTACAAAATATTCATCACGTTTTTATAAAGACTTTAAGGTTGAAATATGATTTATTAGAAAACTAATTAGTTATTTCATTTTTTTACAGAAAAAAATCTAATCAAATTGAAGCAGATAATAAACAACATTTTATGGTTTCTGTTTGTGCTGGATATCATGCTTTATCTCGAATATTTCAATATTTGAAAGTTCAAGAGCTGTTACGCGCAGGAAGAGTATGCCGAATGTGGCGAGATTTAGCTGCTCATCCATCATTATGGAAAACTGTCAGAATGAAAAATAGTCAAGTGACAGATTGGGATGGATTCGCTGAAGCATTAAAAAGTCGAGGTACTCAATATTTAGATTTACGCAAAATGCTAATAGCCGGAGATGCAGCAGATTCCGTTTGGCAAAAGTTTGTGAACATTATACCCAAAATTACAAGTCTTTTGAAGTTAGAACTATGCAGATGTCCAGCTATGGTTGTTGAAGAAGTAATGAAAAATTGTCCTCAATTGAAAATTCTTAATGCCTTGTCTATCAAATGTGAATTAATCAATATTGAATGTGTTTCTGAATTAAAGAATTGCACTGAACTACGTCTAAAAGGTTTAAATGCTATGACTTTGGATGGAGACTTGAGTTCTTTGGTAAATTTGACTCAATTGACACATTTGGTAAGTTTTTAATTTACTTTGAATTCATGATTTTACAAAGTATAAAGTATTAACAATATGTTCCCTTATAAAAATTTCCAATAGGATCCCGCGAAATTCCTATTGGAATCCTATAGGACTCCTGTAGGAATTTCGCGAGATCCTATAGGAAATTTTTATAAGGGTTGACAAGATACAAAGTCAGCCTAAAGATCAAAATTTTCAATCTCGTTTTCCGAAATACCTACTGAATTTTTCTTTTAAAGTTAAAAAAAAATCGGTCCTACAATAATACACGGGTTTTGTAAGCACTGATATAAAGTTTGCTTCATGAACTTCCCTAGTGGATGGTTTAATTCTAAACGAAACTAAGGTACAGCGTATAATACCGAAAATAATCAAAGTTGATATATTTGAAGCACATATTATGGTGAGTTCTTTACAATATTATTTGTAAGGTTTTGTAGTGCCTTTAAATACTTCCAAAAGATATTATCATGGAGCCCTTTGCATAAATAATTAGTAAAACTTTCGGAAAATAGGATTGAAAATTGATTTTTAAGCTGGCTTCACTGTCTCCTCGAGTTTCCAAAAATGAATGATTCTTAAGGGGACAAACCAATGTTAAATTCTGTAAATTGAAAAACATCAAAATTAAATGTTAATGTTAATATTTTTCGTTTTTGATGTAAATCTATGTTTCTTTACAGAAGTCTTTTTACATAAAAAAATGTCTTTACTACCTTTAATATTTTCATTAGTCCAGAATTCGTATGTAATGACTTATGATTCTAAAGCCCCGTGCAGTATCAATTTAAATGCAATATTTAATCAATTGTAACCATTCAGATCTTAAAATTTTTGTAATAAGATTGCTATACTTCATACTATTCCATCCCAATTTTTTGTTAATCCAAGCAATCATAGTGGAGATTTATGACTTATATCTTATTAATATAATATTATCAATGCACTTAAAACTAACAGCACGAAAACGAAACAATAATTTACCACGGATATTAATTGCGAAACTTAAAATAAAAAAATATTTTCACGCAAGATTATCATGTAGGCAGTTTTAAATCAACGTGGCAAATTTATATTTATATCCTGATTTCCGAGGTATGTGTCGCTCTTTTTGGCGCTGTGGAGTGAGGTTAGCGCACGAGAGTAGCGGGTGTGATAACGCATTACTTGCATCGTACTCATTACGACTTATATCTCAGTAAACAGAGCAAAATTTTTATCTCTGAATAGTACCATAAAATTGCATACGATAGTCGTACCATAAAAAAAATTTTTAGCCTAGCATTTAGGCCGGAACTATACCTTGCTAAAAAGGTTACTGATGACACCTGTATTGCATATTACTCTTTATGTCACCGCTGAGAATATGTTTATTCACAAAAAAAGTTTTAAATCATTCAACTCTCATTAATAACGTTAGATTTAAATTAATACATTATAATACTTGTGCAAATGTAAGACTTTATGGCATGGCGTGGTTTTCCTAATATTTGTGTCGAAAAGTGTCCCCTATAGTACATATATCACACTCAATTTTAAAACACTGTGCTAAGTTCACATTTATGCCCCTTTTTCCGAGTTGTAAGTCGTATTATTCGTACCGTAGAGTGAAGATAGTGCGCGAGTGTAGGGAGTATGATGCAAACGATGAAATAGGACTTAAACATCCGGATGGGCCGTCAATAAAGAAAGTGGATAGCTCTTGGTATTAGCCAACAAAAGCAGAATCTTAGAACGGAAGATTTTCTTTGAGTAAATATTCTTTCACTTCAAATCTGTTAGAAAACCAGTCTTCCATCACAGTTGACGTGACCCAAGCCATCTTATTCGATCGCCCAACCACAGGCAAAAGTTCCTTACGGGTTGACTGTATTCATAAAGAATCTTAATAATGAAAGCTCTTATTACTATTACTATTATCAAAATTTTTTGATACTTTCAAATTCTGTTTTAAAAAAACAACAAACACCAAACTCTCTTTTGAATGAACTTAAATTGAAACTTATCGATCGATTATTTCAATAACTCTCACACTCATTTAGGTATTTAGTTATAGGTCTTTGAGTTAATCTTATGATGATTCCTAAATAATGATTTTATTAAATTTTCAAATCTATTTCAGAGCCTAACATCTATCAAGGAATTGGGATCGAAAAAAATTACAATGGTGGAATCATTATATAATTTGGAATCCTTAGAACTTGGAGAATGCTGTGATTTTCCATCAGATTTCGGAACTAGCGTATTGGTCAAACTTCAATCACTTAATAGATTGCGTTTGGAAAAAGGACAAGGTTCTTGTTGTACTTTTGATATTTTGGAAGGTATTTCACAACTGAAAAATTTGACTCAACTGGAGTTGGTCAATTTTGATGTTAAAAATGGTTTTGATAGGCATCTGGCAAATTGTAAAAATATCAAGAGATTTTTGATTATACCTACTTATGTATCTCAATCTGCTACTTCAAACAATATGATCTTAAAAGGAGTGACCGAATTATCAAATAATTTAACTCACTTTGTTTGGGGTGTAACTCAAGAACTCTTGAAGGTCACAGAATTATTTGTTGATCAGTGTAACCAAATGAGCAAACATGTTAGCGGTGACTCAATACCTGTTCTTAAACCAGTTCCGTACATGAATTTAATACAAGATTTGGTTAATGATAAAAATCAATTGAAAGGTAAGAAATCAATTATTATATGCATGTTCTGAAAAAATTAATACAACATTCATCAATGGAATAATATAAACTAGTTTGTGTTTTCATCGTAATTGAATTACAGCTATAATGGTAAATTACATAACATTGTATATAGTTTACCATAGTCAATATCCCTGCATATTTGAATATTTATGTATTCTCATAATCCATAGTCGAGTTGAGCTCACGACCCTCGTCCTCCCTTAAGGGGACCGACCTGTGTTAAAAGCTTAAATTCAGCTTCAGCTAAAAATAGCTATATGAATCGAAATAGTGGAAATTTTTTTTTTGTGATAGTAAAATATGTTCATTCTACACCAGATTGACCAAAAACAACTTCTACCCAAGCTCTGAAATACCAATTACATCACTTTTTTCATAAGACGAAATATTGTGTTATAAATCACTTGCCGCATGATCTTGAAAAGAGTTTTTCATCAATATTGATCTATGGGGTCTCAAAATCTTCAGAAAAGTACTCTTGTCCACCTAAGCGGAGCAGAATTTTGAAAAATTGCCTACAACTTTATATACACGTCAAAATGTGCCAATTTTTGAGAAAATTAGTATTTTATCAACACTAGAAGCCATATTAAAGCTCTTGGAAGAAAAACAAACTTTTTTTTCAAATTCTGCTCCGCTTAAGTGGATGGGGGTACTTTTCTGAAGATTTTGAGACCCCATAGATCAATATTGATGAAAAGCTCACGTCAGAATCGCGTGGCAAGTGAATCCTATTATAATATTTAGTATTATGAAAAAATAAGCGTAATTGGCATTTCAGAGCTTGGATAGAAGTTTTTTTTTGGTCAATCAGGTGTCTAATAAACATATTTTACGATCACAAAAAAAAATTTCCACTATTTCGATTTATATAGCTATTTTTTGAATTTAAGCTTTTAACACAGGTCGGTCCCCTTAAGTTGCTTTAGGCAAACGTTCTACTTTTAATATTGTATTATTTATAAATTTTTCAGTTCTATGCGGAAAGTTGGTACGGCCGACAGAGCTAACCGCGAGCCGAATTGAATCTAATCAAATTATTTTTCTAGTAGATTATACATTTGTTTTGTCAAAACCATTCGAAATCATTCGACTGCTCAAGGTTTTGGTGCATGTACTTTAACTACAAGTTATTATGATTAATATTGGAGACTTAAAAGTGAATTTTTTCAGAATTTTTGTATTTTTGGATATGGTCATTTTTAAAAGTTCCGTAATTTGTATCTCGCTAACTCGTAGTTTAGGCACTAAGGGCATGTTTCTTACACTAAATACATGAAATTTTGAATGATTTTGATGTGTAAAAGTATAAAAAAAAAGTAAATTTTTTTTCAACCGCATTCGTTTGGATTGATTATAGTGTCACTATGCATCTGTTCATTTTTATGGAAATCTGTTTTTAGATTTTAGAATATCATTTTACGTTTTACGTTGAAATTAGTTATTCATGTATCTCGTAGACTACATTACATCCGCAAATACAGCAACCAGAAACAGTGGCGTAATAGTGACCTCTTTGAACTTGAAGGGTTGAGAAAAGTGGAGTGGAAAAATGAGCACATGTGTATAACGCTATTAACTAATTCGTTTTTTTTTATTATTATAATTACAAAATGAAGTCTTTGAAACACTAATACTTCCATTGTACATCAAATATTTTTATTGTTTACTAATCAAGTTCAATGAATATGTAATAAATTTAAGTGCATAACGTATTCAATTTTACCATCATTTTTTTGTTTACAGAAGAACAGCAGCTTAATTCAAGTAATCCTCAAGTAGAAATATTGCCATTGCCACACTTGCAAAAGTTGCTATTAACGGCTTTGCCAAAAACACGCGTTAAAATATTGAAAATTCCATTCCACGCTACTTGGAGGCAAAGCATAACTGATAGTACGACACAATAATTACTCATATTTGGAAAAAAAATCAAACATGTATTCAAACAAATTGAAATAAAGTATTTTCATCATTTATCTCTTGATAGTTAATTTATTTTATATGAATAACTTGAAAATTTCCATATTAACAAAGTACTAAAAAAAACATAGCACATTTTCGTTGTTAGTATTTAACAATTTGTTACATACAGTGGATATGTAAATAGTTGAGGGCACTGAAATTAGATGCTACGCGAGTGCTTTACGAGCATGGTTCCATTTATTATTTCAGCTAAAACTTATCTCAAATAAAATTTTATTGTTGAAACTCTCATTTTAAAATTCTTTGAATAAAAAATATTTTATTAACCTCTTCAAACCGAGAGGCACATATGTGTTCACTCACTTTATGATCTACAGGGAGTCTCCCAGAATGAATGTAAGCAAAACTAGGTTATGTTTTTTATTGTACAGAGCAAGACCCTTAAAAATCACTAAACGTGGACTCATCTAATATGATTTAGATCCATGTTTTAAGCAATATAAAAGTTGGAAAAAAGCAATTTCTTGATCAATCGTTTTAAATCGGCAAAGTTTATAACTAAACAATGAAAATTGATCATTATTAATGTCAGTTATTAGAACTTTTTTTGGATATTGTTATATTGATTAGTTTTGCGAAAAAATAGTTCTTTTTTTTTTAATTCATGACCAATGACTTCAATTCATAAATTGAAAAATTCAAATTAAATTCATTGTGCGTATTAACAAAATAAGCATTTCAATCGATATTTATGTGTGCCATTTTTGTTTTTGGGGTGAGAGATCACCGAATCAATGCAAAAAAAAAATGTTTCCGATTGTAGGTTCTAGGTGCCGGCCAGAAGAGGTTGAGATACAATCGTTTAATTTAGTTACAATCGCAAACAGCGAAAATAGGCTTGTACGACAAAAAGTGGACCTATACCTAAATTAACTATTTCGTACTTGCCCTATAACAAGTCATTTAATTTTCGTGATTTATAGCTCAAAAGATACATTAGATCAAATTAAAATGTAATTGTTGTAGATCTCTAGTTATACACATATAATTGTAAACGAGTTATTATCGCGAATCCAAAGAATGAAGACATATCATTTCGCCTTTCAACCACAGAACATGATAAAAAAATTATAAACAAAATAAAAAACTAAGCTATGAAATTTTATTTATTAAATTCAAGTGAAATTTATCAAAGTACAGTTCATCATATTAGCATAAAACTTATGTACATAAATATTCATCTGAAAATCTCGTAAATTCTTACTACTTGAAAAAGTGCTATTGGCAACATTCAAATACTCGAAAATATTTCGTTCGTGAGTGATTTTACTAGTTGAGTCATTCAATAAATTATCATACTTATTACTTTTGTCACATTCCAAACGCTTTCGTAAAATAGAACTTGATTTTTTTTTGATACCATCAGATTTTGTTACAAGCGAAAATTCATTAGAAGACGAGATCATGTTTTGAGAACTAATGTATTCGAGAAATTCAACTTGTTTTAATGATATAATCAAATTTATTATGACAGATATAAAATTACTATTATAATCCAGTTGCTCATATGTTTCGCTGTATTTGGAATTTATTGCTTTTTGCACATATTTTCTTTCATTACACAAAAAAATCTTGTAGATCAATTCTCGGGGTATCATTTGAATCTGATTTTCCGAATGAATTTTGATGGACAATTGATGGTACAATTTGGCCATCATACTGTAAATTTTATGCGAAACTGATTGGTAGTTTTTTGTTGATATAATAACCTCGTTCTGGAATAAAAAAAAACAATTTTTTAATTTCATTCCATACTGAAAATATTCTTGAAAATCTAACGTCTATATACCATCAAATGGATATAAAAATTCAAAACAAAAAATCAAACAAAAAGTCTTCAGCATGATTAAATTTTGAACATTTCAATTCATGTAAATTTTTGAATACTTGATTCATATTAAAATAATATATTTATAAAACTGCTATATTTTATCTACGACTGAAGTGTTACATACCTTACAAGTATTCCAAAAATCTTTTACTTTCTGTGAAGTTTCACGAGTAAATGATTTAGGTAAGTTAGTAAAATTTATTATGGACGCAGATCGAATTGGGCATTTTATCACACCTACTTTAATCTTCCGTGAATTTGAATATGCTTTACTTGCTTCTGGGTTATCCGAGTTGAAATACAAACTGTGAACAAAAAATTTATTCTGAATAAATAACCGATGTATCTGCTTTTTTGGTGACGCATTATTATAAGTACATTTCAAAAAGTGACCGGTAAACTGAACAAATATTTTGCATACGCGACAGTTTATTATGAGCTTATAATGAGCGCTCGATTGTAAGTTACAAAAATAGTCTTACTATTAATTTGAGAACTTTGTGCTTCTTGCACTGTTTCTGATGCGACAAATTTAAGAAAATTGTAATATACGTTTCTTACACTTTTTCTACAGTGTCAATTTTTCTGATGATTTGATCTGTTCTCGAAACTCTTTTTAAAAGTGTAAAATCCGGCTTGGGGGTTTCAGAGTAATTTGTCAATGAGTCACGATGCGCGCTTCGTTGCGAAGGCGTGAAAATCAGGTTTTTAACTGTTGAAAAAATATGAACTTATCCGATTAATCTAGAATTTTTAGTTTACGAAACAGTGCCGTAAGTAACACCTTGTGGCACGAGGTTTAGGATCTAGTGTAGAGAGGATCCTGATGGCCACCCACGTCCCAAAGTGTCCCCTATGGCACGGGTATCATATTCAATTTTACAGCAGTATGATAAGTTTACATTTATGCCCCCTTCTCCGATACATATGTTGTACCACGTCGTTCGCATCGCACTCCCTACTCTCGTGCACTAACCTCACTTTACGTTATGCAACAGAAAAGCATGCCATAGTTTTAAACTTATTCCACGCAAAGCTATAAAAGATCATTTTTTTATCTTGTAGATAAAACCCAATGCATTACTACATAGCCGTAATGTAAGGAGTTATTATTTAAGATATCTGTGATAAACCTTCTTAGTTTCAGCGCTGGTTAGTAAGCTCATTTTAAAAAATACGCTCGTGCACTAACCTCACTTTGCGCTACCAGAAAGTGCGACATGTGCATCGCAAAAGGGAGCCTAAATGTGAACTTAGCACAGTACTAAAAAATTGTGTTCGATATTCGTGCCATGGGGACACTTTCGGCCAGCTGTGAAGACCCTCGCTGCGCCTGGGCCCTAAACTACGCCGTGGCAAAATAGTACTTTAAGCAACGGGTACGGATATACTTTTTCAGCGAAACGAGGGGTTGCAGCACGAGCCGAAGGCGAGGGCTGTAACGAGTTTCGTTGGAAAAGCATATCCGTATCAGTTGCATACAATATTTTATGGTACAAAAGCCTAAAAGTAGCGGCGAAGTTGCGATTTTTAGGTTAGCGTGCCATAAAGGGTTATTTATGGTATTTGTATCGTAAAATACTAATTATTTAGTTAGCATGCGAGTATAGCGGACAGCATATTAGTCTTTTTGGTTGATCTACTGAGTGTCACAAAAGTATGAAAACCGGTAGAAATCTCGTACAATTCGCGTAAAAAAAAGCAAAAATCTCGTATCTGACGTAATTTTTGACGGGGAATCTGATGGTGACCTTTTACATAGCCTAATAGGTTACTGGACCTTGAACATAACCTTAAAGCTAGAGCGACATAAAAATAGCTTTTGCAAATAGAACTCTCAATTTTTTTCAGATTTTGAAAGAACGGAAAATTGTACGGTAAAATATGTATTTTGTTTTTTTTGGCAAAGTCATTTTTAGAATGCTACAAATTTGAATAAAACCCTGATTTAGCCTGAAATAATGATGCGGCCAGAAGGGCCATCAAGCTAACCGGAGCTTGGTAAGATAGGAAAAAGGACACTCACACACGAGGGGAATACCACGATGCCGCTGAACTCGCGATGAAATAACGCCGCCGAAATTTCCCGAACGCGAGATGAAAGGCGCCGTCACCAAATGCGTACCGAGATAGGCAATTTCCCTGAACTTGCGATGAAACGACGCTGCCACCAAAACTCTAACCATGCGACATTTCTCCGAAATCGGCTTAACTCCGCCTACCAAACAATCATGGGCGCTCCCTCCTTTGCCCTCCAGACACCAAAAACCGGCGGCTCCCCTCCTTTTTTCCTTCTCGCGCCGCCGATATCCCGACGAGTATATAAGGAGTGCAGCCCTTCGTTGCGTCGTCATTCATTCTTGAACAACCACCTGAGCATCCCCAAAGCTCTTGGCTGATCGACTTGCGATATAGTTACATAAACAACCTTTGCTGGAGTTGAGCTTTAATAGGAGAATATCCGTGAAGGACTCGACCGCGGAGCTGGTTTGTGGACTTGATCTCGAGAGCGATTAACGAACTCAGTCTCAGAACTAATTAACGAACATAGTCCATCGAACGAAAATATCTCGGTGCAATACTCTGACAACAAGCGCCGATATTCCCTCTTCCCCTTTTTGCGATCGACCCCGTGCTCGAGTGTCAACCCGGGCGAGCGTACCGCCGACCCGTAGTTCGGGCCAGATTGCCTAGAGGAAAGAGTCGCGCCACCTAAGTCTCACGACTCGCGGGTCATCGACCCTCCCCTGCAAGCTCATTGCCGTTTGAACGAGCGGAGCACATGCACAGCGAATACCAACGAGTCTGTTATATTCTATTGGCGTGACCTTCCCCGACGTAAGCCCTCCTCGCGAGAGTCGAGGCAACGTCGACCCACCCCTCTGAGGTCATTATTTTTCATCACCTCGTGCCATCAACACCAGAAGTACATCGACGACTTCTTCGCGTTTCAACGCGTTTATCGGGAATCGAACCCACACCAACAGCCAAGCAGAAACATCGCCTCCGTACCGACCTGCATCTCCATCGTCTACGCGCTTGCGCAGAGGCCCGTGCAAGGAAAAGCAAGTCCGGTGCATAACAGCAGGATTGTTTTGTTTTGCCTCCAGACAAATCAGCTGGTGATTTGTGACTGTCACTAACGACTGTGAAAACAGCCTATAATAAGTCTTGATACAATACACAATGAATTTTGAAAAGAATATATAATTTTATCTTGTCTGAAAATTGTGAAACTGTTTTGAGCTTAACAACCTATACCCAGAATATCAATGTAAATGTACATTTACGTAGAACAAATAGTTTTAAACGATAAGATAGTTTTTTTACTTTGAAAGATAAATGTAATAGTTATCAAAAATGAGAAAAAAAAATTATATGAAAAAAAGACGTTACTCATCAAAATTGTATATTTATATTTTTCATTCATTAATATGTTACTTACCTTGTTATATTTAAAATATCTTTTGAAAGATCTAGTAAACATGAATGAAGAGTAGTACAAAAAGTGAAAGCTGTTGATGATGATAATCTCAAACATAATGCCATTAAAGTACTTTCTCCCTCGATATTGAATATATTAGGTAACGGTTCATCAATAATGACTATAGATCTTGGAGTCAATGAATCACAGATATGATTTAATTCATATATCTAAAATAAGTCACAAAAATCCATTACAGTATGAAGAAAACTTATTCTTTAAAATGGCGATTATAAAACGAAAAATTATAAGAAAATTTCTGGAATTTTCCACTTGAAAACGAAGCACTCAATATACTGTAGACCCAGTCATGTCACAGCGCCGGAAAGCGAGAACCACATGGTCAGGTGGACCTATCCCACGATATGGAGACAGAAGCGAGAATTACACTCGCAAGAAGGCGATAGGCGGCGAGTATCACACTCATAAGATTAAGTCAGAAAGCGAGAATCGGCCGCTAGCTTGATGTCAACACGAGGAGAGCCAGCTTACTAAACTCCCAGGATAAAGCCGGAAGCGAGAACCTCAGTCACAAGATGGCACCGAAAGCAAAAATTGGATGGTTTGTAAGTATGCCACAGAAGCGATAAATACACTCACTAGATGGTACTAGAAAGCGATTTATTAGTTTTTTACTCAAAAGAAGACGTCAGAAAACAAGAACCACATTCACAAGCTCCTGTAGTGAAAGCCGCACTCGCTGGTTTGTGATCCGCAGTGGGCGGGGACACACCAGGAAGAGCTCTTTCAGCGTTGTTCTGACCACAATTATACGGTCAGACTTTGTGGTCGAAAATATCGGTGGCGCCGTGGCGGCTCAGTCTCACAATTTCAAGTCGAGCAGGCCGATCTTGGGGCATGAACAGAATTTCAAATTTTTCTCATGTTATCTACGTAAAAAGACATCGGAAAATAATAACGTATGTTAAAAGTGTTTAATTCAGTTAGTTTCATAATAAAAATTAATATTTAACGAGGAAAAATTATTTATAAAAATGTTTCACATCAAAAATCACTCATTCCTCGACTGGAGGTTTTGTGACTAAGCCGTCGCGGCGCCCGCGATACTTTTGGCCATAAAGTCTAAACTTAGAATCGTGGACAGAACGTGGAGTTCGTAAAGAGCGTTGGCCTCTCCCCGCGAAATATGCCTAACGGTAGTTCTACAGGGAAAGAATAGGAGCAGAAAAAAGAGGAAGGTTTTAGTGAATATTCGTAGTGTAAATTCAGTGTACTACTCGAGCTCGATAAATCCATGTGACGCCTGAATGTTGCATATTGAATCCGTATATGAATTTCCTTTTTCATTAGTAAAAAACTAAAAACTTTTCCTCACATGCTCTATCACATTTCAAATATTCTAATTTCAAAAATGAATACATTCGTAACTACTACCTATGTTAGAGAAGTAATTTAAAATGGATGCAAAAAAGAGCTTATAATAAACTGATAGTATTTTTTTCACGTAATCGTAAATTTGATATCTACTCCGAAAAAAATCATTAAGTTCTCTTTTCGGTAGCTATCTATTTTTGTGTTTACTTAAAAGGAAACCTTCCTGCCCCCAGATCACAGGTCTCTTCCAAAAAAATTTTTGGATCTCCTAATACATAATGTAATAATGAATCATTTTATACTTGTAAAGTTTACTAAAGCTTTGGGGTCCATTTTTAAAATCATGTTTTATCTTATACAAAAATCCTTACTACTTTTTTATCTCGAAAAGTTGTAAAATTTGACAAGGAATATGCTTCAGTTTTTCCAGAATTTTCAAAACCATCTATCACCTTTTTTTAGAAGTCTAAAAAATCCCATAGGAAAAAATTAAATGAGGGCTTGTGGAATGAAGTGTTCAATCACCCCAAACATAGCAAGCTTTATTATTATATAAAGTACTGCAATTTACAAATGTTTACCTCGCTTTCAAATTTTTTTAGCTGATGCATATTACTTGAATTATGACAAAAAATTCTATCACTCAAGCGAAACATAGCCATTTTAGCTGGTACGTAGCATCCAATCTGAAAATTTTAAAAGTTAGCCGGAAAACTTATACTTGAAGATTGTTGTTACATGACAACGTTTTATTATTAAAATCAAAATGTTTTAATTATAACTTACTTGAGCTAAAATTTGCAAAGTTATAACTTGTTCTAGATAAGTTGTTTTACCACACAAAATTGGTCCAGTAATCATTTGAAAATTATGTGAAACAGAAGAAACCTGTAATAAAACATTATTCATATATTAAATAAAAGTATATATACAATAAAATTATTTTTTTTTTTAGTCATCGATTTTCCAGATTTGTTGGGGAGGCCAGAATTTTAGCGCGAGATTCATTCAACGCGTAATATATAGATGTAATTAAAGATTTTTCTTAAATTTAAAAAATTTATCATATTAACTTACGATGTCATTACATTCACACATTTCACTTCCTGACAATATTGACAGAGGATGATATGAGTCAATCAAATATAGTTGCGATCCAAAAATAGGCCTCACAAAACCATTTTGACTACTTATTTCACTAATACAACTAATAAAATCTAATTCGGCAATATAACTACAAAGCTTCATGAGTGGTTTTTTATGGTTCTGTAATTTTTCGATCAGGCCTTCCAGTAATCTATAGCAATAAAACAAAGACATTATTATGAATTATATAAATTATGAGATTAGAAAGGAGAAATTCACATATTACAAAAAATGAGTAAATAATGATGATAAATTAGTTCTTAATGCAAGGGATTTGGAAAACGAGGGGTTTCAGCATGAGCCAAAGAGGAGTAATTTTTCCGTTAAATAAAATAAAAAATTTCTGAAAGGTTATTCTTGATAAAAAGTTATATCACACTTTCAAAATTGATTGATTCATAAACAAAAGAATTTCAAAGAAAAAGTTTTATTATTGAACGTAAAGCAACTTAGCGAAAATTCAACGATGAAAATTCAAAAGGTTGAAAATTATTCATGGACGTTATTTGTCGTCAATATCGATCAAATAAATATTTTACTTATCAAATGTTTGTTTCAGTGTTTCCTCAACTTACACATTGCTTATTATACAAATTTCTTCACAAATTTCTTTGCATGTTTGATTGTCAACCATCAGTTTTTTAGTTGTCATTATTACTGAAGCATCATTTTCTTTTAGAATTGTAAATATTTTTGAGATTTTTGAGAAGTCTAATTTCTTCTGGACATTTGATTTCATTTGTATATGATATCCATATTTTTTATTGCACCCTAGAGCGAGAGGAAGGGAGTATTCACAGCTCAAATGATTCACATAATCTGAAAACAAAATATTATTGAATATTAATGAATCTAAATGAAATCATTTGTATGATTAAGTATTTTTTCTCAATTTTGCAATGAAATCGAATTGTCAAATAAAAGAATATGAATGTACTGGCATTTGCACGAAAATTGAGTAGCACTGCAACATCACAAATTATCCTCTATCTACTCTGATGCTGACGAAGAGACCACATGAGATGCGGGTCACCAAATGTCGTGAAAGTTTTTTTCTGGTCTCCTGATACCAAATAATGAAGCCCCCTATGTTTAGTTTGATCCAATGTGCCTTAGAGTCTATTTTAAAAATCATTTTCTAATTTATTAAAAAATTTTTGTGATTTTCTAACTCATAACCGGACGTCTTGAACGAAAAATTGCAAAATGCTCAAGTATAAGAATTCGTCGAAAAATTCCTCTGAATTTCGTCAGAATTTTTGAAACCTGCTATCACTAATTTTCAAGGGCCTAAATTTGCCGCTTTTTTACGTTATTCTTAAGAATTTCAGTGACCTATAAAAATAGGTGATAGCAGGTCTCAAAAATTCTAAAAAAATTCGGACGTATTCTTTGACTTATTCTAAGACATGTACATTTTGCAATTTTTCGTTTAACACGTCCTATCACGAAAATTACAAATATTTATTAATGGGCCCTAAAGCTCATTGGATTAAACTAAGCATAGAGGGCTTCATTAGTAGGTACCAGGAGACCAGAAAAAATTTTCAGGACATTTGGTGACCCGCATCTCATGTGGTCTCCTTGTGAGTAAAATATGAGTTACTTTTTATATCACCTTCTATCACGAGTACAGTTTTGCACATTGCATTGCATACAGCCAATGCAATTTAGTCAATAAGCAGTCAGTTGAGCCCCCAAAGCCAGGGGTATTTAACGAATCTGCAAAAAGTTTGCTAGATCGAAAAATATACAACTTGAAAGTTTGTTGAAATAATTATAGGTACGTATTTCGGAAAGACAATATGCACATTTGGTTGCACGCTGGCATAATTGGATAAAGGCTAGATCACGCTGATGCGATATATGAAGTTATAAGTAATTATTCGCACATCACGCCCAAAAAATAAAACAATATTTTAAATCTCATTTCTGCCTATCTGCAAATATTTAATTACATTTTAGGAAGAGTCAAAATCGAAGATTATACAAAGCTTTTATAGTGTACTGAGTCCGTCTGATCGTCAGATTTGATCGAATGTACTTTTGCTCCTCTTTTTCAAGAGATATTATACTTCCTCCCAGTTGAAAAAAATTGCGTGGATATCCACGTGGAATATCCACGCTGATTCCACGTGGATCATACAGGGATTCCTTGAGGATGGGACATTGATTCCACGTGGATCGAATATGGATCATATAAAGAGTCCACGTACGTAAACCACGGGGATTTGCACGGAAATCCTCGTTGATTTTCGATCGATCCACGGGGATTTTCGCGCAAATCCTCGTTGATTTTCGATCGATCCACGGGGGTTTTCGCGCAAATCCTCGTTGATTTTCGATCGATCCACGAGGATTGAAAAAAAATCAGCGTGGATCAGTCGAAAATCCGTGGTGATTCGCCGCAAATCCTCGCGGATGTTTCGAGCGCGTGCTCGCGAACAAGTTCCACATCCACGAGGATTGAAAAAAAATCAGCGTGGATCAGTCGAATATCCGTGGTGATTGCATTTTTTCAGCCCATGATCGATCCACGAGGAATCCCTGTATGATCCACGTGGAATCCCTGTACGATCCACGTGGAATCCCTGTATGGTCCACGAGGATTACTAATCCTCGTGGATTTCCACGTGGATATTCATGCAATTTTTTTCAACTGGGCTCCCTTTTGCTTCCCATGTAAGCAGTATCCCCATAGTACTTCCCATGGGCAAAGTTGCCGAAATCGAGAGTCCTGCAGGCGTCCATGATTGGCACATGTTACGCACGTGTGTAACACAATTTTTATGATTTTTATTTGGAATCTCTCGATATTTTCACAAAAATTTAATCAACGTTAGCGTTTTGGATTATAAGTGGCATAGGCCAAACTTCTATGCATTGTTTAAACCAGACATACGTGTCGAAGGACATGCCGATGTATTATATTTAGTGTAATTCCAGGTTGCTTAATACCGATGTAACACATCTATTAGAACCTTTGCCACGCTTGGACTGTAACGTAGTTGAAAAAAATTGCGTGCATTTCTACGAGGATTATCCACGCAGATTCCATGTGGATTAGAAACCAAATTTCACGTTCATATCCGTTTTCACGGAATAATCAAAAAATGTTTTTTACAAAAATGATCCACACTGATTCTACGTGGAATTTATGCACTTTCCACGTATAATTTATGCCCTTTCCACGCATAATCCACATGGAATCTGCGTAAACAATCCACGTAGAAATCCAAGCAATTTTTTTCAACTGGGAAGTCAAGCTGAATGCCATAAAGTGTTACTATGACACATGCATCGTCAACTGCTATAAGATCGCGCGAAGGCTGAAGAGTTAAAAAATATCGTTTGCAACTAGTCCGCGAGGAAGTTGACTCATCCAGGAGTCTTTGCACCCTCGCTACGCTCGGGTGAAAACAACTCCTGGATGAGTCAACTGCTTCGCGCACTTGTTACAAAATATACTATTCTTATCTGCCGAAGACCAAAATTTACCTGTATAGTGATTGAAAGGAAATAATAAAAAATGGACGTACCAATCATTTTATCGGTGATTTCACAGTATGCGATGCGTAATATATCTAACAACTCGCTTATTTGCGTTTTAATTGCAAAACAACGTTGAATCAATGAAGAAATGTAGTTTTGTGACAAAAATGTATCTTTTCGCAAAATTGACGAAATTAAACTTTTGATGGATTCATAACATTCGTCACTAAATACCTGAAATAAAAGGAAATTTCAAATTATCAAATAGCATGGATATACAAGAAAGTATAAAATTCTTGACAAAAAGTACAAATGTAATATTTCTAACAGGTTTTCACGAAAGAGGTGATGCACGATAGGGATTCTTCATTATTTTAAATTTTAAATATCAATAAATATATCATAGTACAAAGCTTCAAGAGAACTTTCAAGTGTCCATTAACCGAAAAATGTACACATCTAATGATTAGAACAATTAAGGAACGCCTTCGAATGTTTGTTTTAAACAACGCTAGAATAAAGAAAAACCTATGCGTTTGATAAAAAAGTTGTCATGATAGTTACCTTATATGTATTAACAAAAATTTCTGATGATAATCCTTCCGCAAACTTCAAAATTTCTGGAAATGTTTTAAGAAAGTAGTCAAAATTTAAAATTAAATCTAAATTATTGTCTGCTTTAACATTTTTTCCAAAATATTTGAATTTAGACTCAATTGTAAGTAATTTATGTACATTGTTAAGTCGTCTCATAACTTCCTGTAAATTCAAATGAAAATTAAAGATTTATAATTCAATGAAAATAATGATTTTTTTTATATTGAAAGCTTCAAATTTGTATATAATATGAGTTCAATCAAATGAGTGTGATGCCGTATAAGTTTCTCTGTTAAACGAAGTTTATTTATTATAACAACTAAAATCACTAAATAATTATACAATATTTACAAAATTACCTGTTAAACAAAGAAACGACAATTAAGTTCAAATGCCTCACACTTCTATTTACTCTCAATACAAATATTCAACTGATCGCTTCTAAGTTTAACGGTAAATACCAACATCCCTCTTCTCCTTGCATACACAATACATCTCAAGCGCGCACACTCACACACGAAAGAAATATCAATTTCTTTACATGTATATTCTTGTATAATCTTAATCTAACTAAAGTCCCAATCAATTTTCGATTGAAGATAGACTTTTGGAAAAAAACTGATGTACTTTTAATTTTTATGAATTCCGAAAATTTACTTTTGGAGTGGTCAACATCATTGCTGGAATGTCAATAGATGATAAGTTGTGTTATTTAATTTCAAGATTGAGTAAGTCTGGGTCTTCGGAGTTTGGCGTGAAGGTATTTAAGGTGAAGTGATCATCGAACTTTCGGATTATCGACGAAAAATTGCCATTTGGAATAGAAAGGCTTGTGAAAGGCGAGGTGCAGTCAGCATTGTGATTATTGTGAAAATCTAAATTACATATGGCTGCCACGGCTTCGTGCGTGGATCGTTTTGCGTTATCGACGCGCACGCAGCGGCTAACCGAAGCAAAAGGGGTCATGAATATAACGATGCTGTTAAGGAAAACTAGCACGTTTACATTTAAAAATGTATGGAAACGTGCTACTCTTCCTTAACAGCGTTGATAATTATGAATAATGATAAATCGAAAGAAAATATAATTATTCTAAATATAAAATGTTCAGGGCACCGGATGAGCATTTCACTACTCGAACAATTCTACACGAATTATTGACCGACGATCTGGTCATGAAGTTTAGTTTCAAGGGGAAAAAGGGCAAAAACGTACAGAAAACGTCAATCAAAAAAACGCACCTCTACAAAAAACTTGTGGTAACAGATAATAATTTTGCAATTTTATTGAAATTAATAGAAAATCATCGTTTTTTTTCAATTGCAGTTGTCCTTGTAAAAAAATCAGATTTTACTAAAGACTTAATCAAATCTACGACCGCATCGTGGCTGAAGGAAGCCGAACAAAGAGTACAGCGATCAGTTGCCAGTCAAGTTCTTCAAGACAATAATGAGCCATAAGAATCTCTTAGCGTTTATTAATAAACGGATAACATTTAATCATTCTAATTTTGTATATGTATAAAAACATCCATGACTTTTTCAAGTAATAATCTATTAATTTGAATTTTCGCACCAATTAATTATTCTCTGTATCACTAAATCAGTCGATTTCAAAAAATTGCACAATTGAAACAAAAACTACATAATCTTGATCATTTGTTGATTATTGTACTACTCTTGTAAACTTTTTGGGGGGACTTCGAAAGTAAAGTTGCGGCAACGTTTGTGAAACCATGCCCGCACGAAACCATCTTTTTCAATTAATTTTGAAAGTAAAGTTGCGGCAACGTTGCAGACTCCGTCTTACATCGATTCTTTAACGATCTAATAACGTTTTTGAAACGTTTCCGCATCGTTAGAATTATACTAGTCGGGACATTTTCTCTGTTCCGAAAACGTTGCGGAAACCATACTGCGGAACGTTGCTTAGTTCCGCGATCGTGGTTGCCGCAAAGTTGCGGCAACCTTTCGTGTTATCTGGGGTTTTCTAGTATTGTATTTTGCGATTTGCACCTACAATGAGAAGGCAGACACCCTGGTCCAAACTTGACCCGACTACGAGATCACGAGACTCTTCGAGCTCTTTTTTAGGTTAATAGCCAGTCAAGTTGGCGATCGGTAGTAAGCAGGAGCTAGCCAAAAACGCTATAATAAGTGAAAAAATCAGCTAGACATGATTTTTGAGGTATTTTATGGGCACGAGAAGTTTATCGACACAATATTAAAATTATAAAGTACTTTTGATTTCGTATCAAAATTTCAAATTTGTAAAGAAAGGATTGAAGTTATAATTAATGTTAGTACTTACTTACCTGTAAAAAATAACGTTTTTCTGAATTTGAGATTAATTCAAGTACAGCATTTTGTCGAAGTTCAATAGAATTTTGATTGAAAAAAGGCTGAACGAGTGATTCATATAAAAATTTTTTACCGAAAAATGTTGTACACTTATTAATAGTCTTGTAGAAATTGTTACTTGTACGGGATCCATGTTTGAAAGATGAAAGTCCTAGAACACGGAGTGTTTGATGATCTGTAATAAATAAAATTCAAAATATTACATCTGATCTAACAATTTTTTTGAATGAATAGTAAGCGAAAGAAGCGTTGAAAAAACTTATGCGAAAACCCTCTTTTATGTACTGATACGAAAAAAACTTTTTAACATAAAATTCATAAATTGTAAAATTATTTATTAAATAATCAAAATTTTGTGAAAAAACCATTTTAGTAAAATTTGAAAGTAAATGAAACATTAAGAAGAACTTGTGAGAAAACATATTCGACGGAAACTTTAATGAACTTTTCGAATCCGGTGTCACATTTTCGATATGATAATTAACGAGTTAAAAGTTATGGACGGTTTTATCCAAAAAAAACGTGGTTTAGAAAAAAAAAATTTTTTTCTTTTCGAATTTTCACATGAAAATCTTTCAAATCCTGATGTCTTCGGTACAAAGAAAGCGTCCATGAGTCTTTATCTTAAAGTTATGATGGTTCCGATTAGTGAAATATGATTTTAGGTACAAAAAATGGCGACTGGAAAACAAAAAAATACAAGGAAATTTTTGGAAATTTTTGGAAATTTTTACTCAAAAACGATGGATTTGAGGAAAAAATTTTACTAAAAAATGAGTTCCTTGATAAATTCTAAGAATCCATCGTTTTTGAGTGAAAAGTTTCGAAAATTTCTTTATATATTTTCGTTTTCCAGTCGCCATTTTTTGTACTTAAAATCATGTTTTACTCATCGGAACCATCATAACCCATGGACGCTTTATTTGTTCCGAAGACGCCAGGATTTAAACGATTTTCATGTGAAAATTCGAAAAGAAGAAAACATTTTTTTTTCGAAATCACATTTTTTTGGATAAAACCATTCATAACTTTTGACCTATTTGTTATATCGTAAATCTGACACCAGATTCGGAAAGTTCTGCGTCGCATATGTTTACTCACAAGTTCTCTAGGCCCCATTTTCAGCAAAAGTGCTACTGTTAAAAAAAGTACCAAAAATGTGTCCATCCTGGACTGGAATGGGTTAAGTATGTCCAATTTTTTTAAGTACGTATGTTATTAACTTGCTTAGTTGCGCTCGATATCTGTCAGTTAGAATAAATTCACTCCAGCTTATAAATCAGAAAAACTATTGAAAGGTATTCTACGTGGGAAAATATACTCACCAAGTTGAACATAATCTGCTTCATTTCGAAATTCAATGCTTATCGATTTTGGGTTGTAAATCAATTCTTTCACATGAAAAATGTAATAAAATATAGCTGACACAGTAGCAAGACACCATATTCTGAAAAATACATTTTGGATTGATAACTTCTTTTATTTTTGATTTTAATGTTAATTTCGGCAAAAACAACAATAAATTGAAATGTTGGGCCTACGTCTAAAAGCGTCCGCTCTAGTATGCCAGAGATAAACGGAAAGCGCCGAAAGAGGGAGATTACGCGCGGCTCACCTCTCTGTAACGCTCGGCAGTCAGTAGCTTAGAAATAAAGCAAACATACGCACATCACCTACAGCCTTCTCATTATTACCTATCCATACAAATACAACAGAAATGAAAATATGTGCAATCATATTTTCATAAAGTTTCCTTTTAAAAATGGGGTTATTTCTACTTTTGTATATAATTCCAATGAAATAAGCTTATTTTCAAATCAAAAATACAAATTCTAGTACAAAAATATTTGCCAACCTTTTCCGAGATTTCGATCTCAAATAGTGAAAAAGTTTCGTGAACTCCATGTCCAATAGTAAAACACTGATGCTTTGCCAATGATTCGTTAACTTACTAATGCCGATAATAAAAATTCGCAAAACAGCCCAAGGCTCCTGCTGAGGGTAATTGTAAAATAGTTCGTTAACTCAAGACGACCAAAAAAATCGTAATAGTAAATGTGTGAAAAAGAAATCAATATGACACTAATTAATGGTAAAGAAATAGTATTTTACTATAAGACACAATCCTTCTTCTTTGGCTTAGAAGACGTCTAGACCGCCTGCCTGCTAAGTCAACGATGTTACTGAAGACGTGGGTTCGATATCCACTAGGAAAAATATCATTAGTGATTTATCGC